TACTTAATGATTTTCAATCATTTCTTTATATAAATCGATGAATTTTTTAAATTCTCAAACTTCCTTAAACTTCTTGCTTGCACTAGAACCTTGGAAAGATTTATCCAGCAATCAAATATGACCTTGCCAATACTAGTGCTACCATTAACCTGATTTCATTGCTCTCCACTTCAATCAGTGGCATATTAATAATTACAGATTACACTTGCTCAGTATTTATTTTGATATTTATGATAATTTTTATAATATAAAAAATATTTTAAATTGTTAATTAATTAAGGGCATTCAAATTTTTACTGTTATTTTTAGATTTTAAACTGTCATAAAAAAAAAAAGAATTATTTTTATTTGTGACAAGACTGAGACAAATAACTTTAATTAATCCAACAAACGTGCTCTGAATATAAAAAATGAAAAAAAATAACGAATAAATCACTTCTTCCATCAGTTCCATTATCCTTCAGTCAATATTCTCCATATTCAGATAGTTTTTATCGTTGCGAATTTGCATGTGAAAATCGTTAATTAATCACGAAATTTACGATGGTATAAAAGCTCGATAAAAAATCTTGTTCTTATATTTAATCTTCGTTTGTATTTTTTCAATATTTTTTTTTACCGGTTTTACAATTGTACACGTTGTCGTTGAAAGAGTTGAATAAAAAGGAAAAAAGACACAAATGAAATCGATTTTTACACTTTGTATCTAGAGACGACCAATGTTTATTCAGACAAGAGTCGTTATAGTTACAAAAGCAATCATCAACGATCTCTAAAAGATGTGAGAACACCTGAGTTCTATAAAAATACAATGTAGAAATAATGTAAATTTATTTTTTTATCTCTTTTGTTAGATAACTTTGATGAGTCTTTTGTTTATATCCAACATTTCAAGCCAATTTTAAATTATTTCTCACTTTGATATACTTTTTGTTAATACTCTTGTAATATATTTCTTATTTTATTTACTCAAATTCAACTACAGATGATTTTTTACTGACAATAAAATTTGAATTTATACAAACTAGGATTGTCAGGTCTACATGAAATATTTTATTCCCTACATTCATCAAAACTAAATCTCATGAAATCCTGATATCACATTTCAGTTGTCATGAATGATAAAAAATAAAAGATGTAGATTTGAATAATAATATATATGTCTAAATTATTATAAAAAATAAGTTTTAAAAACTTTAAAGTTTATGTTTGTTAAAATACTATTTGTTGCTACAGAAAATCCTCTTATTTTTGTTACAGTCACAATTTCATTAATCTAGTGGTATTTCGGTACATAAAAAATATCTAAGTTTAATTAAATCTGTTTAAGTTTAATTAAATCTTGGGACTTTCCTTCTTTTATTAAAATATTTCTTTTAAGTAATTTTTATTATTAATGCATACCAAAATGCATCGTTGATAATCTTTATTCACAGTAAATAAACAAATAATTTAAGACTTGATATGTTTATTTAACAATATTCATAAGCAGTTGGCAATCAGTGATGTTTCAGTTTATTTGTCAAAGTAAATATGTAGTAACACAGTGTGAGAAATACGCGTAGGTGTAAACGAACATTGTAACGAGAATATTTTAAACAGCATCGACGTTTAATTTGATTTTAATTTCATTCAAGGATGGCGCCGTAGTGACCAAGGACATTTGCCCTTCGTCATATTGAATCTAGTGGCGCGTAGGTGTGCATTCAGATAAAGCCATGTTGTATTCGGCAAGTAGAGTGGGTCCACGTCGAGTCTGACATCAACAGAAAGACTCAATCAATTCAAATAACAACAATATGCAAGTTTAGTACTGAACAAGAAAGACAAATGCGGGTTCATTATATCCAACGATTCATGAGAATATTCTGCAGTTTGATAAGAATCGAATCCGGGCCACTTGTTTCATCATCCTCTTTTACATCAAAAATACACATCCAATTTAATCTTCTTCAAACTTTATTCTCAACTTATTGGAAGTTAGGATGGGTATTTGTAAAATAATCAAGTACAAGTTGAATTTCTATTTAAAAATTTATTAATTAGTTCTTTATTATTATTACTGATTGCATTTAGAGAAAACGTCCTTACATTACAGATAGTCGTACAGAACTGACTAAAGATCATAAATTAAAGTATTATTTAGGCAAAGAGATCTAAGCCTCTTCTCTATTTGTTTAAACATTACAGATGGTTATAATAAATAAAACACATGCAATACTCTGAAGATAGAGTACCAAAAAACTTAATAAAGAAAGAGTCCTTTGTATGACCCAAGTGTCTGAAGTCATAAAACAGGGTTGGGCCTTGGTTCTTTTCTTTAAAAATATGTTTATAATTAAGTGTTGAGTTTAACCATAAGTTTAATATTTAAATAAGATTCATTTTTGTTCAGAGAATCCAACATAACTCTTATGAATTTGTTTATAAAGAAATCAACCCTCCCAAAGTATTTCGAATACGAGAACAAGACTATTTTTAGTAACAAAGGGTAAAAAAAAAATTAATTTTCATAAGAAAATTGCAATTTGCATATTATATAGTGTAATTCATCGTCAATTTTCCATTCCATAATAATTATACATATATACTTAACCACTTAGTTTAATTCACAATAGCAAAATGGTAGAAATGAATTTAGCAGCAGCAACAACGCGTGCTCAAATGACAGGACAATTGCTAGCCTAGACAAAAGGAAAGGAACTTTGTACCTTGTTTTAACTCTTATGAAAGGGATAACATCATAAATGTGTGCAATAAACAACCATCTAAATTCCATTACTTTATGTACGATTAAATCACAATATAACTTCTGTTTGTCTTTCTTCCCAGTTGGTATTTCAAATTAATTGATCATAAAAACAATATTATTTTTTGAATTTATTACCCGGAAATCTTATCTTTGCTCTCATTTCCTTATGACATTTGCGTGAGAAACTATTCAACGCAAACATTATCAAAACATCTATCAAATACCATATTCAATTTATAATGAGCCAAATTTATTCTATTTATGAATACTAAATTATAGTGAGTCGGAAAAAATTGATTCAACTTCAAGGATTTGAATAATTCTTACACGTAACGAGAAATTGATTTTTATTACATCTATTAAATAATATTGTCTACATTAAAACTCATTAATATTTATTTAATTATATTTTGGATGGAGAAATTTCAAATTTCTCGTAATATTGATTTATTCATGAAAATAATGGCGATTCTTTGGTACCAATAACCAAAAAACACAACTTATTATTATAAATAAAATAATTAATATTTTATTTTAATTTATGAAAAAAAAAAATAAATAATTTATAAAAATTTTAAATTTTATGATTAAATACGCCATGATAAAAATGATGTTAAACTTTTTCATTTTATTTGTATAAATAGTAAGAGGTAGAAAAAGTTTTTAAAGAATCTTTTTGTTACTTATTAAAGCACTTTGAGTAAAGTTAGTTGCTTTTTAATGGATCAACACTTTCAATCTTTGCTAATGTTTGCTTAAAGAAATTACCTGACATTGTCTACCACAAAATATGAAATCAGTCTTTTCAATAATTAGAAAAAGTTAATGGTCAGCTTAGTAAAAAGGGGTTAATTATCTTTCAACTTATCGTCAAATTTCGCTATATTTCTATAAAACCACCAAATTTTGGTAACTTTTGAACAGTATATTATTCAAGCTTACCTTCGATCGTGGCTTTTATTCATAACAGTTTTGCTTCTTCAACTCCCCTGATTATACACAGCCTTGACATGTTTGAACATCAAACAAAATCCAACCCAGTGATTCGTGGTTTTGTATTAACAATCGAGATGAGCTAAAAAAATTCAATCATCAATCACTGACCTGTCCTAAAACTAAAATAACCAAAACTTATGGAATATACAGAAAACGACTTGTAGAGACTAAAAATAAAAGAAAAAAAATAGTCTCTAGTTGGATCTTTTTAATAAATCATGATTCTCTACCTGTACCTTATAATTTTGAACAAATCAACAACAGAATTCACTAGCCTGAATATAAGCCAATATAAACATTTCAAAATAATATCCAAAACGAATTTTCTATGAATCATATTATAATAAATTATACAACTCATCGATTGAAATTTTATTTACTCCACTAAATTATCAAGTTATTACATACATTTCATTTTACACTCGATGTTGTATTGAATGCTTCAGTTAATAGCTAATCATCTTTACGAGGTGGATCATAATTTTTAAATATTCATAAACTTTTAAATAATTAAACTCTCAAAAAACAAATAAAATTATGACGATGAACTTGGAATATTATTCCTTTATCTAATAACATTTTTAATATTAAGTAATTACTCTACAAAACTGGATTTGTCCCTTTGTAATTAAAAAAATTATGAGATAAACGAAATGATTCTTTCATTTAGAATGAAATATTGAAAAGTTTTATGGAATCTGACAATGTTTTCAAGATATCATAAAATAGCATTCGAAAAATTATTATTTCTGTAATGAAATATATTTTTTTTTTAGAAATTGATCCATGATTATCTTGACTTTTGTAGTTTATTGCTTTTGAAAAAATAATCGTTTAACGTCTAGAGAGTATCAATTAAAAAGCTTTAAATATTTTTTCTGCAATCCCTATACCATTTTTCATTGGAAATTTACTTTTTTTATTATATGAAATCCTGACTATATATCAGTCTATTAATAAATTATCTACAGTCTTCTTTGCTTCCTTAAAATATTTTTTTTTTACTATAAATGATAATGTCTCAATCCCAAAAATCCTATGTGATCTATATTCTTAACCCTGTAGGATTTTAGATCAAAATGATCTAAAATCCTTTTATAATCCAGCTTTCGATACCTACACTCTCATAATCTTTTTTTTATGTAGTGAAAAAGAGTATGTTTACAAAAACACATTGATATGTATGATGTAATAAGAGATTAAATAAAAGAAAAATATTCGAAACAGCTTTTTATGATTATTTTGTTTACAGGGAGGAGAAGAATGAGGAGAACCAACTGTGAGTTGTCAACATTCAGAGTTTTTTCCTGTCTAGTTTAGTTTCACTTTCCGCCTCTTGGTCAACTGTGTTATACTCGGGGCTGTCTGCTAATTAGACAACACTCTGCTCATAACAGCTTGCAGGTATTTGCCAGACAATTTAGATTATAATATCATCAAATATCTATAAAGAATAATGAATTATTTACTTCTTATAATCATACTTATTTATAATTCATTATTATTTTTAATCATATCGTAATTTAATTAAAAAACAACGTTATATTATTTGATATATCTTTGAGAAATTTTATTCCTCTAAGCTATCCAGTTGGAATACAAAGAGACTTTGATATTGCGTTACTTTTGGGATGTTTGGTTAGCAATGTGGAGATGTTTTTTTTATACTCCATATATAAAAAGACTAATATCATATATTTATTTCATGAAATAACAATTTGATATGAGATTAAGTCATGGTCATGGTAATTTTTATTAATTTTGCTATTTTCCTTGATTAAAAATAGCCTCTAATGTCAATACTAAAAGTCAATACGTAATCAAATGTAGAATTTATATAATTTATTGATTGATAAAAGTATTCATTCCTAATCTCATTATCAGTTAATTTTCTTCCTCGTTAGTGTCTTTTACTTTTTTACCGTTAGTCTCTTCACATTGATGGGAAAGTGAAAAATGTACTTCTTACATTTACTCTACATTTTAGATAGAGTTTAAAAATAGAAATAGTCGATTTTTTCTAGTTTCAGAATAATTCAAACATTTTAGTTGCAATAAATTTTTTATTTTCTACAGATGATGTAAAGAAAAAAATAAATAAGAAATAATATAAAAAATGCACAAATATGTTATAATAAATAAAAAAAACAAGAAGTTTACTTTCTAATATAAGATAATATATATACATTTTTAAAAGATTCATTAAATTGATGAACACTTGCCCCAACAACAAAAAGTAATAATTTTTTTTTGTTGATTAAATGAATAAGCGAATTCTTCTTAACAAAACTTTTTTTATCTTCAAGAACATTTTTGCTGTTGACCAGTCTAGTCTAGTTTCAACCCAAGGTTAAAACTCTAATATTCCCTATAAAATTCAGTCCAAGTTCAATATGATAATATTATAAAAAACTATTTTTCCATCTTTTCCTTTAACACTTTGGATGATCGTTTTTGTCACCAACACCATTACCCTTTGTTTGACCCTCTAGTTATTGTTGGATATTATTTCAACTTCTGATCATGAGTATTTCCAAAGCCTTGTATAATCAATCACGTTGATGATATAATATTTGTTGAAAAAACTGCTAAACAGAATGGGTAAACTTAATTACCCTTAAAACGAAAAAGTGATTGTATCATTTTTTCTTTATTCAAATTTGAATACTTGATCAAAATAGACTTACAATAAATACTTTTTTTTATATATAAATATTCTGATCTTCTATTGAATACAATCAGGAAATTAAAAATGTCTGGTTGCAATTTAAATCGTCATGGTTTCCATTTTGTCAATATTCCAACTAGTCATTTATGTTGAGATAAACTCATGTCTATAAATGTTGTCTGTATTTCTTTGAAAAGGACTTGCTGAAGATATTGTTTACCCAGTTTATTTATTTAAAGATTATTTTCTCATATTAATATGAATTTTTAATTCACCGTTGACATGTAGGTGGGTTCGTGTTAGGCAAAAACATGTATGTTCCTCGATTATTTGGGTCACTACGTTGTAAATATTATCTTTGGGTTGAACAACACTCATGAATAGTCGCTTGGGTTTTGATGATGATATTGCGTACCAACGAAAAAATAATTTTTTGTGGTAGTTGAAACCCCAAGGGGATGAACAATATGTGTAGAGCCAATCGTATGGATAAAATCAGATTAGAATTTTGCTAACATTGAACAATTGCTTTATCATAAAACCAACATCTTCATGAGCACATGGTGAACTTTGCTATTTTACAAAATAAATTTATAATTATAAATTATTAATATCATTGAACTGATTATTTATCATTTCAGTTTAATACAAAATCATTGTCTTAGTGAAGAAAATGATCATTATTTTGATTTAACAAGAACCTTGAAAAATAATATTTCAAGATGATTTTTTCACTGCCAGAAACTTATTATTATGCAAGAAAGTATTATTAATTTTTCCATCACTATAAAACTCACCATGAAAAGATTTCGATCAAAGGATCATGTCGTTTATTAATTAAATATATTGTATACAAAAGTTTAACGTTATGAAACCACCGAACGCCTCATTATTTCTTTTTGCTATGCAGTGATAACAAGACTTTGAAAGAAAAAAACCTCTCGTTTAAAAGCAGAGATAAAACAAGACAGTGAAGAGGAAAAAAATAGATGATTTGAGAAGAGAGAAATATCAGAGATTTTTTTTATGAAAAAAGGAAAGAAAGGATCCATCAGAAATTTTTGTCCTGACATCTATGGCTTGTCAATATGAACAAATTACCCGAAGAGGATTTTGACAGAATTCGTGAAATGGTATAAAATAACTTTACTACCTTCCATTCATGACTAAATTTTTTTTTATCTTACTCTATTGAGCAGATGAATGAAATTGGGTTGGACCTATCCGTTTATCAATTACCACATAACCACATTTGATTTTAAAATTTCTTATCAATTGGACTTTGTGACAAAAGTTTTTATTAACACATCCTGAATATTGAGCCTTCAAAAAAAGTACTCCCAACGGTTCAATTAAGGCTGCAAAACTCTCCAGGGAGTAGTTCTTTTCAATATAAAGGATGTTGTATATGATGTGGTCAACAACAAATATGTAGAAAGATTAGGTAATTAACATGTTCATTTACAGACTTAAAATTAAAAAATTGAAATAATAAATAATAGTTAAAATAAATTTATTATTTATTCACATGAATGTGTATTTAAAAAAATACCATTTAGTTTATTTAAGGTATTTTTAAGATTTTTTTAATGTCATTAAAATGATAAAATGAAATGTAAATTTATAAATAACCAGCAAATTAGCTTGAACATGAGAAAATACTCTGTTGCTACAACACGTTAAAGTTTAGTTTTTTGGAGTAGTTTTAATTTCTTCTTTAATCTATACAAAAACATCTATCGATTTAATAACTAAAAATAATTTTTATTTATCAGATAAATATCTGTATATTTTAGCATATTTTGTTTTTACATAAGTTTAAAAAAGTAGAGAAGAAAAGACGTGTTGCATTAGTGAATGAGAAGTACATGTTGGAATGTCAAAGTCGCGTCTAGTTAAGTTGGTAAATGAAGCAAAGTAACGAATGACGCAAAAGCTCAGTGACATGTTGTTGTCCTGTATTACTACCATGACTTGATGCAAATTTATTCGGTGTCCAGTCTACGCAACATTAAAGATCAAGGCCAAAGTAAAAACATATGGCGCATAAAAATAAATCAATTACTTGTTATTTTAGATCAAGTTGAAAAATTAAAATATTCTTCTTTCATAGTTGTTTTAATTTGAAAAAAATTTCATTAGAGACAAAAATATAAGTAAAATCTGTACAACATAGCTGTTTCTAATTAAAATTAGATTAAATACAAGTATTTTGATCTTTGAATTTATTGAAAGAAATTCTAAAAATTACCACCAAATAATTCCCAACGGATTCAACATTTTTATATTTAAATGACTCAAAGTCAATTGCACTTGGTCTACTTCTCTAAATAAATATTCATGTTGAATGTAAAATATAATTTTAATTCATGAATCGTGTGCTATCTTATTGTCCCAAGAGAGTAAACAGCATGTGGTGGTAGAGAGATAAGGAATAAACTAAAACGTTTGCAATCACATTAACTAACATTATTTGGTGGTTGTATGGTGGAATAAGGGAACCAAGGATAAAGTAAAAAAGACTGAATTATTTCTTCATCACACATTAGCTTGATAAAAGTCGTTGGCCTGATAGGAACAAATGAAACAAGAGGAACCCTTATGATGGCTTGAACGTTAACTAAGGCTGACGACCTCACTGTGTCTTTTTCCAACTTTACGTTAATTCTCTATACTCTGTCTTCGTACTACAATGAACTTTAATCGTTGTAGCTCACGGCAATATGCAAATCAACGCAGAAATCGATATGCAAATAAATAATGAGCAAGTCACGAAGCCACTTTTCCGTGGTACATAAGAATCCAGCTTTCATTTCATCCTTTCCTCTACTACATTACTGTTAACTCTCTCGAGAGCTTTTTTAGGATTCCTGGAAGTACCTTCAAGATCGCTAAAAGCTCTTTTATGAGACTTTTTAGTATAATCCTCTTTGTTGTATGCTTGGAACATATCGTAATAGTTATTGTTTGGATTATCCAATATCTTGCCTTGTCAAGTACTTTGATGTCATTGGCCTCATCACAGTTCTTCGACCTTCTGCATATCAACTATCTGTCGTAATCATGTTACTTCTTATATGTTTTCCACCATTACCTGTCTGCCTACATTTTTTACTCAAACTTTTTATTTATTATCACGAATTATTTCAAAATTATCACAGAATATTTCATGTCTATTCATTGTTTAGAATACAACTGTATATTATAAAATAATTTTGATTGTTTAGTTGGCTTTATTTTTCTCAAGTACATTGATCTCATTCGATGTTATCAAGCGATCAGTCTACTTAATTATTTTCTTCGTATTTGAAATTGAAAAGTAAACGAATTTATAACCACTTCATGTCCTCATATTATTTTTATTATTGGTCAATATTATTTTTCTAGCTTTATAAATTTTTATTACAGGTATTTTTAGAGCCATCGCCCTCATAACAAGTTCTTTGAACTTTTTGATGTTGTAAGCCACCACGAATATCCCATTTCTCGTGAGGTTTGTTTTTTTTTTTATTGAACTTGAACAATTTATTCTAGCCAAGTTTTTTCCTGTCTTAGAATATGACTCTGTAGATAAGTTTTTAGTAAAGAAAACCAAAAAAGTCAACTAACACATTTTCCAGAACGAAATTACTACACTACTATGTACAATCTCTTACTCAAGACTCTCTAACTACTAGTCTTGAATCATGGAAAACACGGGAAACTTGAGAATTCTCTTGAAACTGTACTTGTTTTACGAGACTTACCTATACTTACCATTGTGGTTGGAGAATACTTGTAATATTTATTTCTTTGATGGTTATGCTATAAAAATATATTAAAAATGATTATAAATTTAGCTTTAGAAAAATCTTCATACTAAGAATTGTACAATTTAATAATAGCAACATGATTTTTAATATGTTTATCAGAAAACTTGAATGCTACAGATGTTTTGATAAAATTAAAAAATTTAAATATTCATATTTAAAAGCATTTGGTATTATAAAGAATTTCAAAGCTTTTCAATTCAACGTCAAGCTTTTAAATTTAATTCTAGAAAATTCGCGCTTGCTTTAACTCTGTACTCAAGTGGAAAATGAACAGTTTTCGTTCTCATATTGACTCTGCTGTGTGCATAGAAAATTAATGATTTTTATAAGAATTATTTTGTACAAGTTAAATATTAGAATATATTACATTTAAAAAAAGAAACTATAACTTGTACTCTTAATAGTCATTATAATTAGTAAATCCAATTATTATATTATATAACGATTAATTAATAAAAGAGAACATTTTATTTTGAGATGAATAAAAATGTTAACCGTTAATTAAAAATAAGCTTTTTTCGTATTGTTACCAATATAATTGAAACAATTATAAAGAATAAAAAAAAAAATGATTACCTTTATGATAAAAATTAGTAACTAAAAGCGAAATTGATGAAAGCTGATCTTTAGGAGATGCAATGAAAGATGAACATATTGGCAATGAACAGAAACTTGGCTCTAAACACAGAAAAGCAAGGTGACACGTGGAGACAGGGTGACGCCCCATTGTACATTAGAGTAGCAAGCAAGAAAGACGGAGATGAGCGTCGCGGCGCCGACCTTGGGCCGCTGCACTCAACTCTTGGGATTGCCTGAAGGCCATGGTCGTCGTTTTCTATCTGGATACTACATGAGAATACCGTCGATCGATCATTACTGAATCGAAAGTCATTCCACGCTTCAAAACTTTCCTGCTTTTCATGCACCACCGGGTGCTGAAAATGTACAGCTACATGCTTTTACGTCAACTTAGCTTAAGCTCGGCTATCTCTTGACAACTCCATTTCAACTAATATATTAGGCCCATTCAACAGCCATACTATCTCAGAAAGTCCATTTACTTTTGACACTATGCCTTAGTCGTTATATGAGCAAGTGAAATTTATTATTATGCCAAGAAAATAAATTCTGACATTGATGTCATCCTTTTGTCGTGTGCCAGAAAGTCACCAAAAATATTTTTGGGTACACGGGCAATATGTGTGTTCAATAAAAACCTACTAGAACCTACCAGACGCTTGGCAACTTGCCCATTCGACCCCTTTCTTTATATTCACGTTCTTGCCATGTGTGAGCTTCGATTCTGCAAGTGTTGCACCAACTATTTAGGGTCGTCTACGTCTATGTGCAAACTCCTGATATATATACCAAAACATACAGTATTATTAAAAAGTAATCACACTATTTCATTCTTTTCCTGAAATTTAACACCAACTCGATATAGTTTTTTCAAATATTCATTAATATTACCTACACTTTAGCCATAATTTATGTTTTTAATTATTCTCCAACATTTTATCATATCGACTTGTTTATTGGATTCAATAGAATTTTATCAATATCCATTTCAAGCTGGAATTGAAATTGTTGCTAAATTTCAAATGATCAATGACTGAAACATTTTTAATCAATTTAGTATTTTCGTTGGAGTTATTCTATTTGAACGATACAAATGACACTTTTGACAAAGCTGACATTTAGAAAGGTATTAAGATAACCCCCGTTCATATTATATGAATACTCCCAGTGATAGTGATAATTTTGACGACGACTGTATAGATACGGGATTGGAATGTATATCTGCACTCTACCAAGTTGAGGGTCACGGTCAACCCCTTCTCTTGCATCACAGTTTGCCGACCGTGTATTTCTCCACTCTTATCAACCCTTTTCTTCGTGCACGTGTGTAGAATCCTGCAACGTATAGTGAAAAAGAGGCGAGAAAAAAAGTTCACAAGTACTTTTAGTGTTTGTTGCAACACAATCTTACTTGACTTGGAGGATATTTCAACGTTCTACTGCAACGTTCAAGTGAAGTTGGTGTCAGTAAAGTCTTTCTGTGATTGCCTTGTTAAAGTTTCTCACCAACTATAGCAGCTACAACATAGACTTAAGGCACTAATAGAGCTTTGTTTCACTCTTTATTGCATCATGATTCATTAACATTAATACCATTCATTTCAAACTATTTATTCATCATCAACAAATCCTCAAATTATTTTATATCTTCGTTTCTCTTTGTCTTATTTGATCAACTTGGAAATCCAATTAAATGTCACATATTAAAATGCACTCCGGATGTTGACACCGGATGCGTGATGTGATTTCTCATTGAAGACACTTACATCACCGGTAATTTATAAAAGTGAACTTGGTGACAGCTTCCTTCTATTTCACATTAAACTTCCTACGTAACTAACATTTCATTCCATTCAATTTTACTTGACTATTCATCTTGAGGCAAAAAATAAACGGAAGAATGAAAACAGAAATGACTATTTATTGATTATTTTAAGATTTTCTACCAATGAATCATAATCAAGAATGGCTTCTAATGCGTCAGTGTGAAATAAAATAAATTTGACTTTATCAGTGAATACAATTTATATGATAAGGACAAATTAATCGTGGATGCATGAGTTGGATGGCAATTTGAATATTCATATCCCTCAGGTGATGGAAACATGAACTCTCAGTAGCTTGGCATCAACCCATCCGTTACATACTTGCTTGACGGCAACAAGTACGATGACACTTCATAACCAATCGATTATTCAAGCTTCTGGAATTTCCTTTTCAAAGTCAATAAATAACTCTTATACTGTTGTATCTGTCTAAGATAAAATAAGACACGCTGAATGACAAGATTAATAAATATATATAAAATCGAATTGATGAAAATAAATTTATCATCTAGAGGTTTCAATTATTTTTGAATTATTGATTAAAAAAAAGTTATATTTCTTTCAGAAAGTGACGTTCTAAATGAATGTTTAAAATAGAATTATAAAATTTTTATTAACCATTATTTTGCTCATTTTTATAATTGTGTTATTAACACTGAAACTGATACAATTAAATGAAATAAGTTATATTGAAATGACTCCTCTTTTCTCTTCACTATTTGACTTGAATGTCATTATTAAAATGAAAGTACTCATTTGAAAGCATAAAAAGAATTAACTCGAGGTAATTCACTCTTCACTCAATGAAATTATTTATAATTAGTTCTGGAAAATTAAATAATTACATTAAGTAACATTAAGATCTAATTTAAAATCTATATTCAAAAAGAATTATTAAACAATTTTCATTCATTTGTTAATCTCTTTTTTATACGATGAATAAAAACTTTTCAAGTAGTATTAATATTTGAACTATCTTAAAAAGCTATCAAAAGACCTTAAAAATAGTTAATAATATATTCGTAAATGCCTCCTTTTCGGATACACATCAGTAAGTTAAGTTATTTTAGTAAAAGTGTGAAGTAATTTTTTCAAAAATAGATTCCCTCAAGAATGAAAACTTCTTCAAAATTACTAACAAGTTTTTTTTTTTCCAACACAGTTGAGTAATCATCCATTGTTTGTAAACACTTGATAAGAGAGTAAATTTTTTTTTCTTTTTTCATAGACAGTATCCACTAGCTCTTGAGCAATATAATCGCAATACCAGTTTGAAGGAGTGTCTGCTGGAGTTTGTCAATAACGAAAGAAAGAAGTAGGGCAAAAAATGTACATATTCGTTTCATATTTTTTTCAATTGCACTTGGTCTTTGGGAAAAGAGATGGGAACATGGTATTACACGTTACTTATTCATTCACACATTAGAGAGATTAAGATTTAATTGTGTTAAATATTTAAATAGTGATTGTGTACAATCAGAACTATGGATCAACGTGTCGAATAATTAAAGGATAATCTTTTTACTGTATAACAATTATTCTTCTTGTTTATTTTGATGAAGCTTTTCAATTATTTATTTAGGCTACAGTGTAGATTTTTTTATGCACAAGATTTTATAAGTTAAGTACAAAAGAAAAAAAACGAAAGAAAAATTTCAAAGATAAAGTTTAAGGATATTGTCCTCATAATTTTCTTCATGCACTTCAGCATATCATCAAAGAAAACTTTTAATTGTCTTCAAACTTTTGCTCCGAAAATTTATCGACTTTTAAGTTTTTAATACTTTTCATTGAGTAATAAAATAATTAACCATTCTTTAAAAAAGAAAAACATGGTATTGATGCTTTCAAGATCGATATATAATTGAAGATATGGCTTTCAGTTTTTTTATTAAATCTTTGTAAATGAAATAAAAATGAAAGCTTGACATTTTTTTCTCTGGTGATTACTCTTAGAAAGAATGAAAAAATTATTGAACTGAAATTTAAAAGCATCTTTTTCTTGTATGATTTGAACCATAAGTCCTTGTTACTATTTATAGCAAAACCAGGTAGGACAATAATGAAAAGAATCACGAAAATAGATGTAACAGTCTGAGGAAAACGTTAAAATAAAAATAATAAAAGTACTTTAGAGAGTTGTGCAGAAGATGTTCAACACGAAAGATCTTGAAGATTTGACCATTAATTCATCTCATTCTTTTTTCCAGGTCGCTGAAAAATGGAGTTCATGGAGTGAATGGTAGCTCATTTGTAGGATCTATGAGAAGCAGTAAAACCAGAGTCAACAGCACAAGATCAGAGTCTATCTCATCAGATGAAGGTACAAGAAGAATAAAAGTATAAAGAAGAACATCACATATCGGCAGATTGTTAGAACAAAATGACGATGGGTTGGTTGCTTCCGGACAAGACTTCACTGTCAGACCATCAGAAGTGTTTCTCGTGGGGATAAAAGAGTATCCCTTGATTCTTACAATGTCCAGTGCAGTATCAAGCTCACTTACGAGCACTGTGGCTGACCAAATAACAAGTACGTTATTGCCGACAGTGACAAAGATTGGCACAAGGGATGACTCAAGTTCCCTCTCATTCATTTTGGCTTTCTCCATCGTCTTTGTCCTCGCCCCTGTCACCATCAGTGGGAATACGATGATTCTGGCAGCATTTTATAGATATAAAAGACTACGGACAGCGTCAAATTGTCTTCTAGCATCTCTTGCGGTCAGTGACTTTGGGGTGAGTATCTACTACATAGGGATCCTTTGATGAATCCATCAGCTAAAAAAAAAACTCTTTGACTCTCCTAAAAGCTAGAAATACTGACAATAGATGTATCATCATTATTTAAATTAATAAAAGTATCATAACATGTAGTCTAACTATTTTTATTCAACAGGTTGGAGTATTCATACCTTTTGGTGTACACTTAGAACTTTCTGGAGCACCTGAGAGTGGAATTTCAAGTTTATGCATTCTACCATATTGCATCGTCATTACTTTATGCAGTGTGAGTGTTCTCGTCACTGTTGCCATTGCCGTAGATCGACTTACATCACTTGCTCAGCCACTTCGTTACAAAAATATCATCACTCATAGTAGTGTGGAGAAATATATTGCAGTTTTTTGGATTTATGCTGTCATTGTAGGACTGACACCACTTATTTATGCAAAAATTATAGGATTTAGTCAACTCAAAAGGTAAATAATGTAGTACATTATTTATTATTAAATTGAACTTTAAAGAGAGAATAAAGAGACATTAAAATTTAAAATTATGTTTTAAAATAAAAGTATATTTATCATTTATTAATTATTGTGAAGTTTAATTTTTTTTATACAATAATGAATATTCAGAATGCAAAATTCACCAATCAAAGCTCAATAAGCAGCTTACTAACTAAATAAATGAAACACTCAATTAAACCGATTAAATCTATAACGTACTCTTACTTTTGACTGAAAGCTTGAAAATATGAAAAATAGTTATCCCAATATCAGGAAAGTTCTTTTGCATGAAAAATGACCTAATAAAATACATTTTGTCATTTGATTTGTTTCTTTTAGTGGAAATTGTCGGTTTGGAGCTGCAGTACAGCCACCGGTTCGAGTGTTCTTGGTGATTGCAGTTTGGGCGCCAAGTGCTCTTGTTTTACTTGGCTGTTATATTTATGTTTATCTCGTTGCACGCGCCCACGCCCGTGCAATCTATACAGTTGAATTATCGTTCAGACATCAAACACAGACACTACCTCTACCACGATATGGTCAAACTTTGGCGGTTACTGTGGGAGCTTTTCTCATCCTCTGGCTTCCTTTTCAGGTATAATTAATATTCATTATACATTATGTACCTTTAATGATTTTTGCATGACTCGTTGCATTTTATTCGTTATTTCAATTTTATTACATGATGAAATTAGGTCAGGCCTTTGTATTCTTCTATGTATGTGAATATGTAATTGTATATTTTTAAATAAAAAATAAATTAATAGTCTACTTGATTAAATAATCAGTTTAAAAAAGAAAATCTTTTAAACCTCTATCTATACTATATTGGATTTTATTTAGCATTTAAATCTTTTTATTAATAATATTTCATTTTTCCTGGTGGTATTCTTCTAATTATATTTTGTTTTATTAACTGAAAATAACTATTGTTCCAATTTTAGGTTGGATTTTATTTATAAATGAATTAAAAAAAGCAACATGGGTTGATGATGAACAAATTTTATGTAAAAAATTGATTATGATTTTGATCAATAGTGAATTTTCTAAAAAGTTATTAAATGTTTATCACGTTTTCTTAATATACTACATTGTAAATGCAATGAATTGGTAGTCAAACTTGACAGAGAGAAGTACGGAACTAGTTGGTTTCAAGCAAAATGTAGGTACTGTGTGCGCGGATGGAATCGTAAAGTGACAAGCACTCAGTAACGAAGTTTTCTTGTCTTCTATATTGTCATTGAGTTCCTTTAGTAAATTCTCTTGCTTCTTTTTCATGACGACAGAATGTGAATTTAAGTTTTAAATACGTTGTGGGTCAACCACATCACTAGTGTATTGAGTAGATTCTTTGGCATGGTAATTTTTCGTTACGGCTATTGAAAAACGGAAGAAACTAAGCCGTCGATTAAAGATGATTTGAATCCAAACATGAACTGACCTCCTTTTACTCCTGGAACAAAGTTAAATTCTTAGCTATGCCACTGAACGGTATATTGAGGCCAGCTTGTGCATTATTTTCGTCACTTCCGACTCTCTTTTCTCTCTTTATACTTCTCTTTTATTATATCCTATCTTTCTTATTTTTATATTGTATAATAAGTCTGCTTACTTATTCTAAAGTATTTATTATTTATGATAAAATGGAAACTTCTGAAAAATTTTTTAATTAACTCATTCGTTCATGGTATTATTATATTTATAATAGAATTAAAAATAAATATGATATTCAAGTCTTCTCTTTAAACTCAATATAATATTTTGCATAAAATTTAGATGCAACTGCAAAAAATATTTTTTGATTTATTTTTATGTATTTACATTGCCAAGAAAATGATGGATAATTTTACACTGCATTTTGTATTATTATGTTTTCATAAATAACCATGAATATTGAATTAAAATATTTTATTAAATTCATAAAAATTATTATTTAATATTCGTTTTTAATATTCATGATAAATAAAAAATTTTCTGTAATTCTAAATAATTAATTTTTTATTTACAGACTTGTATGCTGTTAGATATAGTTTATGGCAGCCACATCCTTTCAGAGTGGTCAGTTGTTTGGCTTGGTCTTCCCATTCTTGCTCACAGTGGTGTCAATCCCTGGATTTATGCCTTTCATCACGGAGAGATGCGAGTTGCAGCTGGTAAAATTGCAGAAGATATCGTGACCCTTTTTGGCATTCATCCAAGTCGTTACGGATGCTCTCCCGTAGGTCGAGGTGGTTCGAATCTCGAACTTGCTGAAGTAAACAAGAGCAATGAGGGGCGACGCCCGCCTATTGAAGATTGCTTTGCAGCAAAGCAACAAAATAGCTTTTATCCGAGAGATAAGCGACTAGAGACGACAAATAATGACATTGAAATATCCCCTGAAGCCAATGATTGCGAAAAACATTTTACACACTGTGATTCAGCTGCTGAAATCGTTGAAGAAGATATTCATGATCTTGCGAAAATGCTTGGGCCTGAGTACATAATTGACAGATGTCATGTAATTGACACGAACCATAATGTTGATAAAATAAGGAACCTCAAATATTTACTAGATCCTACTTTCAATAAAATTCGTCATTTAAGACGTTTAAATCAAAAGTCTACATCTTGCTGTCATGGAAAAGACCATAAGAAATATTTAAATCAGTTCAAGTTTATTTCATATCAAAATCTTAAGAGTGATATAAATAGTCGAAGGACATTTCGGCTAAATGCGTTATCAGATCCCATGTTGAATACAGAAACACCGTGCGTTGAATCAAACGATTTAGGTGAAGGACTTCATAAAGATATATTACATCTTCATCAGCGAAGAGATTCAGTTCTTGCTTCCATATCTGATTCAAATATCAAAGCTATAAATCTTTCAAATCTTCATAATTACCAAGTTGTTTCCGAATGTCATGAATATTCTGTTCAAAGTCTTGATCATTCTAAATGTTCCCATCAGACACGTAAATCGGATAGAAGGACACGAGAGGTAAATCCTAAGAGAACTAGAAATGAAATAGCTGCTAAATGGAAACAAGCTTCTAAACAGCTTACAGTCACCGCTAATAAGCTCACAAGTTTTTTCCATCCAGAGCATCATCGGCTAAGTAATCATCACAATGTGAAAGCAACTGTTGAATCACCTTTGAGAATTCAAGTGGTACAGAAAAATTTAGATTTCAAGCACTCTGAGTCTATCGGTGGTTTTGATAAATCAACAAAACTTTTGGAGCCAACAAGATTTATGAATACGTTGACTGTACCGACTATTCATTCGGAACCTCCAAGTCCTGTTGATCCACTTCCTTTAGATGCTCTTTGTGAAGAAGATACATTAGAAGAGCCTGAAATACGATATACTCAAACTCGAAGAGGAAGCTCTAAAAGTCCTGTAAGACACTCCGATCCATTTCCTTATGTCCTTTTGAACATAGAAGACTTTGATAAGGAATTGAATATAATCTCAAGTCACACACCTTCCATAAACCCTGTCGAATTAACCACAGCTCTAAAACGAACATCGAAAAATTCAGAGGAAATAAAACATTCACAAAATTTATTTCCTGATCATGACACCACAAGATTTAGTTCTCGTAGACCATCTGATTTACGTTGGTCTGAATCTTCAAGAAGTCAAGAAGTTTTATCTAATTTAGATCAACATCAAAAGTCACCCTCTTCATATTCTGTTAATAATGTACAAACATGTGATAGCAGCAGTGATTTGAATGACGTCACATATTTAAATTCATTTATGTGCCCTGATGCATTGAGTTCATCACTCCGAGAGTCATTCTTTGATGCACCGTCCATTCCAGATTCAGACACGTTTGACGAAACTGATATTAAAGACTCTCCAAACGATCTTGGGCCTAATCATTGGATGCTACCTACTGTACATTCGTCAGTGTCATCAGTGAATATAAGGAGTCCAAACTATAGACACGTAGATAATGAAAATCAAAGTAAATCATCAGAATCAATTATGTTTAGACGTAGACATGCGATTTTAAGACTTCAACTAATGGGTAATCGAGGTAGATTATGTGTGGAAACAAGCAAGGAAACGATACCTAATGATTCAATAAAAGAATCCAATAATGCTCCTCTTGCTATTTCTACACCTATAGAAATTTGTACACCAACTTATGAACATACTCCAGGAAAAATTAAAGGTGCACCTGGCATTGGTGTAAGGGTTTAAACTGGCCTAGAAAAGAGAAAATTTTTATCTTCAATTTTTTTTGTCCATACAAAAAACGTATAAAAATATGACAACGACTTCAAAATAAAATTATAGATATTTAAATACTTCAGAGATTAGTCTTTAAATCATTGTAATTTTTTGAAAAATCAAGATTAAACTCTTTCGATGAGAAATTCTAATAATGAAAATAATTAAACAAAAAAATGAAAATAAAAATAAATTTTTATTTTAAATATTTATAATGATTGAACTTTTTTTTACTAAAAATCAATATAAGTTAAGTTAGAAATGAATTTAATTAAATTAATTACGCGTAGATTATTTTTTTATTGATTTTATCTATTAATTACTCTTATTGTGATGTGTAATTAATTTATCTTCTACAATCTTGATATAAATAATAATAGTGGTCACAACTGTATACGTAGTATCTGAAAAATCTTTAGAAACAAAAAATTTAATTTTTTATTACGTGAATTGCTGTAACATTTAATTTACTAGACATTTATAGATTGCAGCTTACTCATAAATAATAGTCCTAATGATAATCATATTTCTTGGTTATCAAAATTATTTACGCAAAAGAAAAACTATTCATTTATGTACCAAAATGCGGACCGAGTAGGTTGATTAAGTAAATTGGAAATTAGTGAATCAAAAATCTTATTAATTTTCTTAAGTATAAAGAAATTGTTAATGTTTGATAATAAAGTGCTGGTATGGAATGGGAATAATTTTCTAGTCAATTATGTGGCGATAAAACAATATTCTGTGATAGGATTTGAATGAAAATAATTTTAGTACCTGTAACAATTAAATTGATTAATAAGATGATTCATAGTTTCGATTCAAGTCATTATTTTTCTTGTGCCAAGTTGAGCGAATTCAATTGCCAAAGATTTAAGTGCAACAGTTGGGTTCATTAGATTGAAGAAAAATATTCTTCATGGACCAATAAACTAAAGTATCTTTAAATCAACAGTGAGTCCGAAGGATTTTGAAAGATTCTTTGACTCTTCATTTTTTTATATATATATAAAATCATCAAACTGCGAAGAATTATATTGTAAATGAAAGGATAAATGTATTGACGTGAGATATCTGTATAATTAAAATTAATTGTAAAGTAAAAAAAAGTGTTTTGTAGTAATATATGGCTATTAATTAATGATAGGAAATATTTAATAAAAAAAATAATTATATTCTTCATAATTATTAATATTTTAAAAAATCACATTCAATTTTAAAAATCATTCATGCATCTCAATTGCCAATGACGTGATACAGAGCTACTTTTTATACATCAATTATCACATATAATAATCATTCATCCAGTTACCTGTATACTCGTGTACCTCAGAAGAGTTTAAAAAAGCTCATGAAATAACTTTGTAACCACTGCGTCCAATTATTACAATATTATTATAATAACTAGAAAATTTAACTCAACTGCAACTATTAACCATTATAAATATATTTTTATGAAAAATCTGATTTATTTTTCTTCTAAAAAATTGATGATAACAACATGTATATTGATATTTATGTAAAATCACGAATTGCCATAATATACCTAATTTACATTTGTTATTATGCAACATCAAAAATCAATAAAATAAATCTTTTGAATTCATTAATTAACTTATTTATTCACTTAAAAAAATTTTCTCAGTTTTAAATTATAAAAAAATTTTTTTTTATACATATATATTTTTATTCATTGATAAATTTGAATAATTCAAAAATTTACCGCTCATAATTTTTCAGTTGAGAATTATACTAGTGCTGCCATCATTATATGTATACTTGATCGATAACTAGTGATTAAATGGTAAAGTAAATTTCTAGAACTTTGAATTTTTTCATAATTTTTGTAGGTTAGATTTTCGGTTACCTTTTCATTATGTTCATGAAGAATATCGGAAATCGTCTACAGAGAATTTGTCACGTTTTTACATGTGTGTGTGGTCACCTTATATCAGTCTCGTGTAATTTTGGTTATTGATGACATATGCCAATAAGTATATTCAACAAATTAATAATCCGTGTTTAAATTCAGTAACAATCAGTATTTAATAATTACTTATTAATAAAATAATGGAACCTGTAACAGACGGAGTAGAAGACCTAGAAATAAATGGTAAATCTGTTGAAGATATTGTAACACCGTGGACAGTAAATAGTAAAAATGATGCCGGTGTTGATTATGATAAATTAATTTGTAAGTAATGTACTCTAAATGTTGAATTATTATTATTATTTTCATGAATTATAATTGATATAAAGTAAAATGAAAAATGATTTGTATTATTAGTGCGCTTTGGAAGTTCAAAAATTGATCAAGAACTACTAGACAGATTCGAAAAGATAACTGGGAAATCATGTCATCGTTTTCTCCGAAGAGGAATATTTTTTTCTCATCGAGATATGCACACAGTTTTAAATCTTTACGAGCAAGGAAAACCCTTTTACCTCTACACCGGAAGAGGTCCAAGTTCTGATGCAATGCATCTCGGTCATTTAATACCTTTTGTTTTTTGCAAATGGCTGCAAGATGTATTCGATGTGCCTCTGGTTATTCAACTAACTGATGATGAAAAAGCCATATGGAAAAATCTGAAATTAGAAGAAGCAATTCGATTAGCTTATGAAAATAGTAAAGATATAATAGCTTGTGGATTTGATGTCAAAAAGACATTTATTTTTTCTAATTTGGAGCATATAGGAAATAATGTTGCTTTTTATCAAAATATGATAAGGATTCAAAAGTCTGTGACTTTTAATCAAATCAAAGGTATTTTTGGTTTTGGGGACAGTGATCCTGTTGGTAAAATAGCCTTTCCACCAACTCAAGCTGCTCCAGCAATTTCAAGCACATTCCCATTTATCTTCAAAGATGCTATAGTTCCATGCTTAATTCCCTGTGCTATTGATCAAGATCCTTATTTTAGGATGACTAGAGATATTGCACCAAAACTCGGTGTTCCTAAGCCCGCACTACTTCATTCAATATTTTTTCCTGCTTTACAAGGATCTCAAACTAAAATGTCCGCCAGTGACTTTAATTCGGCAATTTTTCTTACTGACACTGCCAAGCAAATTAAAAATAAAATTAACAAACATGCATTTTCGGGTGGACAAGCAACCGTTGAAGAACACAGACGTCTTGGAGGTAATTGTGATATTGATATTTCTTATCAGTGGCTCAGATTTTTTCTTGATGATGATGATAAATTAGCTGAGATTGAAAAGGTAAGCATACTAAAGTATATTTGCCAAATTACAAAAAGATTTTATTTCTCTTTTGTTTATTATTTTCTAGAATTACACAAGTGGAGCTCTTTTGACAGGAGAATTAAAGAAAGAATTAATTGAAGTTATACAAAAGATTGTGGCAGAACATCAGGAAAGAAAAAAAGCTATAACAGATGAAATTGTAAAAGAATATATGAAACCAAGAGACCTTGGCTTTAAATTAACAAATAATTCGATTAAATAGAAATAAAAGAAAAATTTTTCAATAAGGTATTGGAAGAAATACAGTAAAGTTAAGCGAAGCCTAATTCTCGCATGAACTGAGTTATATTTTTGTCTATTTAAAGTTATAGTAGTATCGAATGCTATTTATTGTGATGATTCAACCGTAACTAAATTAATTAAATATTTTTTGCTCCAAATTTATTTTCTAAATTGAAATCAACACGAACAAGAAAATAATACTTAATATTATAATTATCCATTACTATTATTATTATTATTATTTATTTGTTTCTTCATAAAATTCGTTAAAATAAAAAAAATTTTTTTTAACTTTACTGCTTAATGAATTAATTATTAATTATCAAGTGCCTGAAATATAATGATTTTTTTTTGTAAATAATTCACAAAGATAATATGATTGTTTAATAATTAATTACAACAATAAATTCAACGAAAGTAAAATTACAAATACATTAATATAAAATTATTTATTTATTAATAGTTATGCGAAATTAATGAATAAAAATATTTATTGTTTTATATTTTTCTGAATGAAAATAAACATGGAATAAAAATGAATAAGTTTATAAATAATTTTATATTTATTTTATCATTAAACAAGTGTGATAAAGAAAAATTCTCCCTAATAATTATTGATGATGAAATTGAATGTTTGCTGATAAAAAAAAATTATAAGATACAATAAGTAATCTCAACTACGTGAATTTATTATCTTAGAATCAATACAACTTTGAAGACATTAAATAATGAATCAACAGGAGTGAATAGATTTCTTGGAGATCAATCACATAAAAAAGTGCTTGCCTGTACGATCTTGTATGAGAATTGTATCAATGACTAATAAATGATAAAGACCAGTAGTCTCAAAAAGTAATTAGTAATTGAGATAAAAAAATATACTATAGCAAATAAATGCATAACACATCATTTGAAACCTAGGAGAAACCTTCGAATTTCGTTGATTCATTCGCTGATCGCATTTGCATTGAGCCTTAACCAATAAACATTGCGCTTGGCAACTGGAAAGATTTTCCTCGTTTATTATTGGTTAAAAGTGACGACATGATATTTCATTCTATTTTTATCCAGCGCAGACGCAGATGTGCGTCCAGTGCGTGTCCGCCATTCATGCGAGTCGATTTTGCTGTTTCTGTGTGTATAGAATAGAAAAGCAGCTTGGTGAGAAAACAGAGACACGGTGACGGTGATATTCGCGTGGCTTAGTGAAAACATGATACCAGTGGATTATTAATTGATAGCTAAACATATTTTGTGTTATAGAGTGATGACGATATCGGGAAAAAAAATTAAATAACGTAAGTTTACGTACTTTTCGATACTTTTTACAATATTCACATCAAAGAATGAGAACCTATTTTCGGCGCAAAATGTTATATTGCATGCTGATTTTACACACTTAAAGATTTGTCTAATCTGCTCTTGAGAGCAAAGTACATAAGCTTTTTAGTCGTTAAAAGTTTCCCCACATCCTTTTTCCTTAATAAATAAACAAATAATTTTTTTTTTTTTTTCTGGAATCATTAAGAAAATATCCTGATAATAAGCTAGACTTGAATCTAGTGAATATTTCTGTCCATAAGTCATTCACCCGTTCTCAAGGTTTTCCATCATCCGTTCTGCTTCCATCATAGTGTAAATTTTGAACTAAATTTATCATTTTAAGAATAGGTCATGTGAAATTGCGTTAATAAAATTTTTCCGTTACCTCAGTTATGTATGTCTATATATCTATAGTTTATACATTACCATTACATCAGTTATTGAATAATAATATAGACAGAGACGAGAATACAAATCGTGTTGGTTTCATTGATAATTTTTTTTCATTTTTTACAGGTAAAGGAAACCGTTGATCAATAAAAAAATGCTTATAAAATAATACACTCAAGTGCAAAGAATAGATAAAAGGAGAGAGAATTTGAGACATACAGAATCAAGAAGAAATAAAATATCAAAAATAAAGATTTAACTGACTCAAAAATATTACATCATGGGGGCATTTTTGGATACACCGAATACAGAAAAATATAATGAACATGGTTCCGGGAATGATTTGAGGTATGGTGTTGCCAGCATGCAAGGTTGGCGGGTAGAGATGGAAGATGCACATCGTGCAATCACCGGTCTTGAAGGTGGTCTTTCAGATTGGAGTTACTTTGCTGTATTTGATGGGCATGCAGGGGCGTTAGTGTCTGCACATAGTGCAGAACATTTATTAGATTCAATAGTAGAAACAGAGGAGTTTAAGTCAGAAGATGTAATAAAAGGAATACATTCGGGTTTTTTGCGATTCGACCACAAGATGCGTGATTTGCCAGAGATGAGCGAAGATAAGTCAGGCTCAACTGCTGTCTGTGCATTCATATCACCTAAACACATTTATATTGCAAACTGTGGTGATTCACGAGCAGTTCTCTACAGTTCTCGTTGTCCTGTATTCTCTACAAGAGACCATAAGCCTGCTTTGCCAGCTGAAAAAGAAAGGATCCAAGCAGCAGGCGGTAGCGTTATGGTTGAACGAGTCAATGGCTCTTTGGCAGTGTCTCGTGCTCTTGGTGATTACGAATATAAAAATGTCGAGGGTCGTGGACCATGTGAACAATTAGTTTCACCAGAACCTGAGATATTTGTTAGAGATAGAGACATGGAGCACGATGAGTTTCTTGTCCTTGCTTGTGATGGCATTTGGGATGTAATGACCAATGAAGATCTTTGTAATTTTATATACTCTAGACTATTGCTCACCGACGATTTAGAAGATGTTACTAATCAAGTAATAGACACTTGTCTACATAAGGTAATTTGTTTCAAAATAATTCTGCCAATTTCTATATAACTATAATCATTCATAAATATCTTAGTAAACTAATACATTTTATTTTGTATCTCAGGGTAGTCGAGACAATATGAGCATAGTATTGGTAACCTTCCCAGCAGCTCCAAAGCCAAGCCTTGAAGCTCAAAAAAAGGAAGCTGAATTAGAATTGGCCATCGAAAGGAGAATTAAAGGTTCACTGAATTTTTCATATTCACACTCAATATTTTCTCTATGCTGTTGCTTTAACTCTCGTACACACGTTCGCGAGAATAACTGACGATTGTACGTCGCGCAGCGCAGCAAAATGTAAATAAACAGCCGCGCGACGTACGAAGATTAATTTAGGGCAATTAAAAAAATTAAAAAGTCGCTCATGCTTATGTTTATAAACACGAAATGATAATGATAAAAGCTTTTAATTAAATTCGAAATTAATAATATTTTGCAAGCAAAACAAATAATTGGGACCAGTTTGAATGAAAATTTTATTTTATACTTTTAAAAATAACTTTGAGGGTCAACTTTTTCTTATTTTTTAAATTATTCAAAACATTTTAATGTCCTCTAAACAAAAATACTTCAATATTAATACAATCAAACACCAATAAGATCTCTTTCACGATCGGTAATATTATTACTTAATTAATGTTTGTTGAATTTATTAGATTTTATTTTTTTCTATTGCTGTGATTTAATTATCTAGATTTTTGGAAAAACACCAACAATTCATTATATATAAGCGTATCTAAATGAGTGAATTTGAACTTGTTAAGTATTTCTTCTGATAACTAGTCGTGAATGTATTACTGTAATGGCGCATCTGCCACGTGGGAGTAATTATTTAATGAAAGAAACCATTTATTGATCCAATTATTTACGTTTGTTTCGATTAAAATAGCAGTCAGAAAGGGTTACCTTTGTTAATAGTTTGATAATTCTACTATTTAATCACTCTTCTTTTAAATATTTGATTGACAACTATAATCGTTTTATTTATTAACTTGAAAGTATTTATAAATGTAGGTTATCTATTGTGATTTATTTTTTCTTAATCATTTGCCAAAGATACTTAAAAAAAAACACTGAGAAAAAGAATATTTTAAAACCTAAAAATCATTCCAATTAATGGTATAAAATAAGATAATTCTTTACAAAATTTCCTATTTTTTGATAATTAATGAAAACAATCAATTAAAATGTTTTTAAAGCAATGAATTTTACTTAAAACAGTTGTCTATTCTCAGTGTTTTCCTTCAAAAACATAATAGTTGTATAAAAATTGTATTCTCTAGAAAAAGATGATAGAACAAATTTTAAAACGAAATAATGTGCCAAAAACGATTATCATTAAATAAAGAATAGTTGATAATAAACATAAAGTATTAACGAACAAAAAAAAATTAAAAAATAGTTGAACAATTTTTTAATCATTTAAAATTTTTCAGAATGATAAATAATTTCCCTTATGGTATTTAATTAAATCAAATTAGTGGAAATTTACTTGGAAAAAAGACAATTTTAAAAGAATAAAATCAATTTATTATAATGATTTACTACATAAGTTAGAGTACAAATGGATGAACAAAGTCAATAAAATGTTGAACGCTGTTGCGTGAAATCTAGTCCATGAAATAGTATGTAGTCTTAAACGTTATCATATTATTTAGTACAACAAACGTATTTATTATTGACGTAACAAAAGAATATATAAATGTACAAATTCAATTAATCAAGTATTTATCATTTTGCATAATTATATAATATTAATTACGAAATCCACCCTTGGAGTTATCAATTTAAAGAAACAGTAACATAAAAGAGCCATTGAGAGATTAATTTCAAAGAAAAAATCTTAAATATACATTTTCTTTTCGCGATAAAAGTCATTTAATGGCGTCACAGGTACGTGAATATTTATTTACCTCACATTAGATTTTGATTTAAAAGTAAATTGCATATTAATGTATTTTATATTTAAAAATAAAATCGGCAATGCATTTCTTATGGAAGATTGTTGCTATTGCCGTTGAAAAATTTTAATAAAAAAAATTCAATAATTAAGTGTTTTAGTCCAAGGCAATTCCAAAGGTGGATTCTTATAGATTAAAATAATTAATTTAAAAAAAATATTTAATTCGTAAATATTTATAAATAATGAATAGAAAATGTCATTTCACTGTCATTCGTATCCATAAGAAATGTACTGTAATTAAGATTAATTTCACATAGCAATTTGATGCATGTTTTGAATTAATTTATTTCATTAGATATTTATCGTAATATTAATTATCTTTCACTTAAATTTATATAGAAGTCATGATAATGTTTATACAGTATAAAAAAACCAAACAAGCATTAATGTGGTAAAATTATTTTCGTACTTTGATAATTTTTTATCTTATTATTGCATTCACTAACACACATTCACAAAAACACTCAATTTAATATTAATTTTGTGGTTATATATTTATAATTTATAATCAAAAATAATTTAGATATTTTTGCATATGATAAAACTATTTATAACTTTAATTGTTTAATTTACTAAATGTTGAAATTATTTAAATTTTTATATTGTTTTTTTTTGTTTATTGACAGAAATCGTTGCAGATCATGAAGAAACGGACAGTTTTGATTATTTACAACTACTACAGATTCTTCTAGATCAAGAACTCCCCAACTTGCCCCCTGGAGGTGGTCTTCCAGCAAAGTATGTATATAGTATTATTAATGAACCAAAAAAAAACTAACAAAAAAAGGATGTGACGCACCACCAAACTAATTGTACTGAATGTGAGGAAAATGGCTACACTGATTTCAATGTTACTCACATCACTAAATCTTTTAATAGATTACGTAAAATATGTTTTAAGATTATGCTTTTAGCACAAAGACTTTGAAGGAGTCTATAACAATTTGGCTTTATTCCAATCTACATAATTAGAATTATTCTGCAATAGTGTAATTGGAATATCATCGTGGCCTTGTTTTCACGCTTCAAGTAAAAAACCTCGAGATTTTCGCGAACTTGACTTTTTTAAAATTATTTTTATCATTCCTTGATTGTCATTTACATCAATATCAAATCAATGATCGCTTATTTATATGAAAATGAAAACATTGTACTAAATGCTTTGTTTAATTATTTAATTAATTGAAAATGAAAATAAATTGGTAAATAATTGATTATGAATTTTTTCTAGGCAGCCACTTATCGAGCAAGTCTTTCGAGAAGTGTGTCCCAACAAAGTGCAGAGCGTAAGTCTTGAATATGATTATCCTATGAAGTAATTTACTTCGGCGTTGTTCTTAAATGTTTGAAATGAACATGTACAACTATAATAATTGCACAATTCCTACCTTCACTTATTCGTGCTAATTTTGTTACAAGGGAGAAATTGAGCGGTTGACAGGAGAATTATTTAAACGCTGAAGCCATGAACTTGCTTTTGTTCAAGCCTTCGTACGTAAATATCGTGCAATGCTTCATAATGGAATTTTGTCTCAATAATCCCCAAGATATCAAAATTAACATAAAACAAATATCTTTAAACTCTTTAATAATTTATTGTTTTAAAAGAAAAAAAAAATTTTTTTAAGATTTTACTTTGAAATTTATTTTTGTATTAATGGTTTTCAATTATCGAGACAAAATGATTTTTTAATGATTCTCTACAAATCATTCCTTGATATAAACACTTTTGCTTTTATTGTTTTTTATTATAATCAAATTTTGTTCAACAAAACATTCATGTAATACAGCTATTCTTTTTTTTTTTCATTGAACGTTTTCCGAGCTTATATTAACTTGGTGCATTTTTCTTTTACTTTACTGATTGAATATTACACCATTGTCTCAATAATTCTTGCTTTAACGCTAAAAAAGTAAAAAAAAAAACAGACATTCGAATGAAGATGATTAAAAATATTATAATAATAAAAAATTGGAAATACAAATTTATAATAAACAATTATGATGATTATGTTCAAAATGAGTTGATGAATTTATAGATAAATATTACATGTAAATTCATTAATAATATATCATAATTATTAGTTATTAAAAACAGAAATGAGAATAACAATAGTCGAAGAAACTTTTACAGAAAATCAAATAATATAAAAGTATAAAAAACCTAGAAATAATGATCAACAAACATTTAAAAAAAAATAATTCCGAAAATGTTTAACAACTTAATTTTTTGCATCTCTTAATTAATAATTTAATCTCAATACGTAATGTATTAACATTAAAACGTTTATGATATATTGTACTTATTAAAAAAAATTTTCATGTGAAGGGATGAATAATGATTTATTTAATAAAATTGATAGTGACTAGTAAAACTATTCAATTATACGAATTTAAATAGTAGTTTAATATGTGGCGATTAAATAGTAAAATAATTTATAAGTCATGTTGTTGGGTAGTTTCTAAATGTTTATCTTCAAATAACAAATGATAAATATCTATTCTAAAGTTAAATATTTCAACCTCCATTGTGTAATGAAAAAACTACATAATAATAATTATTACGAGTATAGAAATCATATATTTTTGTAGTTGCAGTGGACTTGCACTTAAAATATTTTTAAGTAGCTCATTTGTCTTCTCTTTCACATCTATAAATAAATTTTTATTAATGATTATTAAAATTTTAATTAAAAAAGCAAGTAGAACAAATGTTGAAAGAGATAATAAAAATTTATTCACACACTATAAATAAAATGAAAATCTAAATAATGCATAATAAGTTTATATAAAACTGTACATAAATATAAAATATTAAATGCAATGTCCACAAATATTGAAAATAAACTTTCTTCACATGATAAATGAATTAATTAAAGATGCAAAAATAAAAAATAGAAAATGTAAACAGTAAATAGTAAATCTAAATCTGTAATACTGTAGCACTGACGAGGGTCTTGATATACATTATCTTTTCAATTAATAAATTTAACTTAATTTTTATTTAAGTTCGTCATCGTACTCTATTATATTTTTTGATTAATCACTCTATGCTGAAATAATGATTCACGTATTCGTATAACTTTTGTGTACTTGAAATAATCAATATTAATAACCATTAAATCTTTTAAGATTCATTATCATTAATATTTACATTATTTAATAAATTTTCTTTAATTATTATTAATCATTGTTATCCAAATTATTTCATTATTTTTGTAAAAATAGTTACATTGGAGTCACCTCTAAAATAGGTTGATTTTTTTCCAAAACAATTCTAATGTCTGTTACTAATATTGTTTTAACTATTGATCCAATGTAGCAAAAAAATATATATTTAAAAAATTAAATTTGTTTAAGACCATCTATTATTGATTTTATGGGCTAAATTTTCAGGAAATTATTATAAGTTTTATTATAATGACTATTTTTTGTTTTTACGTAGAAATAATTGTATTTTACATTTATAAATTATTACAGATCACTTAAATAAGCCTTTACATTCAATAAAATAATTTTTTAATCAGTAAATTCTTATATTTATCTACAATACCAATTTTATGAAATTGTTTTGTATAATAATTTATTAAATTTTTAAATAAAAAATCAAATTTCTAATTGTATATAAATTGCAAAGAAATGTAAAGACTTATTTTTCAATTTTTGATACTGTTTTAATTTAATAGATTGTTCGTAATAATTGATAATATTTTTTTGTTTCTTATAATTACTTTAATAATTACTAATAATAAACGCGGCATTATGGGGTTGATGAGTTGACTCTAAAAATTTTTTAACATATCTTTAACATTTTTATAACAAACTTTATCTTTATTCTAAAGTATTCCATTTTTCAATGGCTTTTCATTGAATGCTTTATTTGACAACTACTAAAATCATAATCCTCCAAGGATTGGTCCAAAAATCCTTTAATCCTTTTCCTTTCTATTCCTTAGATCTCGATGACGCAGATAGTCAATCCCTACGAGGTGGACAAACCCAAACCTTGTTTAGACGAAGTTAACGACGACTAGTCAATCACAGATAAAAAAACGTCGTCCATTAAGCGCAATTTCATTGGGGAATAACAAGCATTGTAACAAGGAGAAAAGAGGAAGAAAAAATTAATACATAAAACACTCAGGGGTCCGTAGAATATCCTTGGAAATTCGTGTACCTGAAGTTGTTTCTAAATCTTTTTTGGATGTATTTCGTCCATCATTGTCTTAATAATTTATCACAATTTACATTTATTATTATTCCTTTTACCTAAATTATTCATAAAGAATAAATAGGAAAACTATGTAGTAATAATTATAAAAAACATTTTTTCAGCAGTAATAATTAAATTGATGAATTTGGATATAATTAGAGTAGTTTTCAAATAGACAGTTAATTAGTTGTGATCGATGTAAAAAATAATTGGAAAAAAAATCACATATGTAAGCTATTCATTGGCTGATTAATTAATAAAAATATAATTTAAAATAATTATAGAAAATTTGGAAGATTGTTAACATTCTGATACAATTAAAATTATAGAATAATAATTGTTCATTGAGTGATGTCATCATAAACTTATTTTACTAGTATCATTCTTAAATAATTAATTTAAAAGCATTTATAAGAGAACTTTAATATTAAAGTGCCAAAAAACTTGGTTTTTAAAACTTATAATAAATGAATAAAATTTATGTAAGCAATGAATAATGAATGAAAATCTATTAGTTCAATTGTGTATAGCGATTAATTGATAGCAGTGCAAATTATTGTACCAATACGTATCATAGTAGTTGCATTGCTAATATAAAAATAAATCAATATTAATAATTTTATTCGAAACATTTCATTTGACTCAAGTTACTAAAAAATGTATTAACGCTCAGTGTATTTTTATTTTTTTTATATTAAGTTTTAACAATTGCATGATTTAAAATTTTTTTTTATTCCTAATATTGTTTCAGTAAAAGTATTTAAATGTATAAATTTTTAAAATTTATGTAAAGAAATTCGCATTTCGTCTCTGCTGGAGACAAAAAACGCTATAAAGTAAAAAAAATTGTGCTCTTTAAACCCGCTTCAGTGCTCCAAACGTAATTGTTAATAAAATAGCGTACCTTGTAATATGATTGCAGACGTCAGAATCCAGTTAGTCATATGAATTTTTATACACGTGTGGTAAATGCTGTGACAAAAATCTCAAAGGTCTCATACAATCACAAGTAAAATGTGGAAAAATAATAATTCAGCAGCAACTGGCTCGACATCGGAATAAAAGTCATTGTTAAAAATTCATTGACTTTGATAACAGTAATCATAATAATAAATATAATAGTAATTATGGTAAAAATAATATTGAAGATAAAATTAATATGAATAATAATAATAAATAATGATGAATGGCGATAATGATAAATGATTGTACAAAATAGATGTAAGTTATAAATGAGTACTTTTCATCACCATATGATCCTGAAAAAAATTATAATATCCAGTGTATAATATGAGTTGTACATTGTAAAATGATTTTTAATTTTCCTTTGATCATAAATTTGTTTTTGTACAAAGCATTTTCATTGTATTCAGCTGTGGATATTATTAAATTACATACTAATATACACAAGCATACATCCTGATATACACATAAAATAATGAAAAATTATGTTTAAGTTAATAAATATGTAAGTCCTTGATATACCTCGAATAGGAATAATCCTATCGAGTAGTTTAGAAATAAGTGTAATAAAAATATTTTATGTATTTCATAGAGAGTGATTGGCTATTCGACTTTAGAATGAGGCCTATTATGTTCTTTAAATCTATACTATTGTATAATTAAACATCAATCTTTTAACAAATTATACCGATTCATACATACTTCTCCTGCCCCTTATAATTATTCAAATTTATCTTCATCATAAATTTCCATTCAAGCATGAACTATTTTTTATTATTTAATATTTTAAAATACATTTGATCTGTATTAATGATGCATTTATAGATATGTTTGATTATATATTTAAAAGTATTTGATGAATAATTTGTTTATAATGAAAAATTTTAAAGGTAAATTTTTAAATGGATTGAATAAAAAATTTACTTAATTCGCGATTTTTTTTCTTGTTTTTTTTTATTGTCACTTGTAAACGACTAAATGATTCATCTATCTCCTCTTAGCACATAGAGAAGTATGATTACAGTATGTTTTTTCACAACACGTACATAATATTTCATAATAATTAAAAAAAACATCCCAAATATTTAAGAGATATCACATAGAAATATCACTTAAATGAATTAATAACAATATAAAGATTTTCTCAATGATGTCATTTGCAAAATGAATTTGATATTTTTTCTTAAAACTTATTACGAATTATAATATTTATAATCAATATTATTTATATATACACATTTAATTTATTATATAATAATTATTTATTACGAGTGGAACACAGCAAATTGATCAGTATCTTTATTTACTCGCTGCTATCGTTAAATAGCTACGATTAAGTTGTACTTATTTGTTGATTTGTGCTGATTATATATACATTTATATATTCAGTGAACTGTGGTTTATTTTTTTATATAAAATTCTTATTTCTTATGAGGAAAGATATTTTGATTAAAACTTTATACACTTGAAGAAGAATCAACTATTTATCCTCCTGAAATATAAATTAATTCAAGAATAGTCTTGAATTTTTATGTAAAATTGAATATATCACATATTTGTTTTATAACTATTGTAACGATTTACACTTCAACTAATATTATTTAATTTTTATCTTTCAATGAATAATAATTATAACAACTACCAACTTTGTCTCAGTTACTTTAGTCAACTATCGTCTATTGTGCTTGACATATATTTTCGTTGATGAAAAAGTCAAATTTTGCATAAAAAAATATAATCCCAAACACGTGAAAATAAAAGAAAAAATTCACATCACTGTTATTATGAATTAAATATTTACTTTTTGTTTGTTAAAATTATTTTCTATCTATTAGTAGTCCATCCTCGCCAAATTGAGGCAATACTAGCTGCTGCACTTGTTACTAAACCTCCAGCAACACTTTGATTAACTTGGATGCTTGATGATTGTTGGCTAGTTATAGCACTGGGATTAGGAACTTGCATTTCTGGACAGGCAACATTTGGAACCTACATTTCACAATTATATTAAAGGTAACAATAAATTATTTACTGTTTATAAAAACATTTTAAACTTACAGCCTCCCATTCCCAGTTGAAAGCGTCTTCCTCTTCATCAGAAGCTGAATCATCACTATTTTCTAAATCAGGAGTCAATTGATTATGTAACTGTTCTACTAGACTTGGATCTACTTCCATGGGACCAATTCTGTAACAAAATGATATTCTTTATAGTTTATAAAATGCTATTATTAAAAATTATTCTAAAAAATTGTTTACATTTCCCTGATTATGTAGACCTTAATAATCTTAATTATTACATACCTGCCAAGATCACTTATTTCTGTATTAAGCAAGTGTATGAGATTTTGCAAAGTATGCATTGGATGTAAAACTCTGAGGTCTGTATTTTGTGTAAAACAAAGATGCAATACATTGCTATTAAGTCTCGCAACTTTTCGTGCAAATTTTTGATCAGACATTTCATTACCACAAAATTCGCTGTAAAAAAGTAAGTTATTAATTAAATATTAAACTTAAACATTAAATTGCATTCTTATAATAATAAAAATAGTTAAAGAGTGAAGTTTATAAAAAAAAATTTAGATATTTTTTGCTTACTAATGAGATATTTATAAAACATTCATATTTTTTATGTAATATAAAGTATTATTAAACCATAAAAAATATTTGTAGAAAGTCTATTTACTGTAACTTAATAAGTGATTATTGTTTATCATTTTTTTATAAATCATTTGATATACCTGTATGTTAATTTGTATGGCAATCGAACATTGATGTAATAAGCAAGTACATTCACAAGTTGTGTAGCATAAGTCAAAGCAGCGCTGATATTATACGCAGGATTGCTAACAGTATTTTCTTTATTAGCTTCTGGGATTCCGTCTTTACTTGCAGCAACTGTAACAAATTTTCATCACATTCTGTTGAGTGCACATGAAACGTTGAAATCTTGACGATTGATGCAACCTCTTAAATAAATCGAAGTTATTACTATCTGATAAAAAGAAAATAATTAAATCAAAATAGTTTACCCCAGAGTGAATAAGCACTATAGTCACCAGAACCTGGTAGGGTTGGTGCAACAATACGATGATGCATTTCTAAACTATTTTCAGATTCGCTAATCCAACGTCCTCTTACATATGAAGTACCAGAAGCATCAGCTAATGCGCATGTTACGATATCTGAACTAAGATTCTCTTCTTCGCTTCCGTATAAACTGACAAGTAAACAGTCATAAGTCAAATTGTTAACTATTTAACTATTACTTTCATCATAAAAGGATTGATAAATTGCTGTTTGTGATAAATACCTTCTTTCAGGTTCAACTTGGCTCAATGGAAATATATATTGAACCAATTGTTTAGCTGCAGCTCTTATAACTTTTTTTAACTGTTGTCGTTTTCTATCAACATCCTCTCGTTTTTTTTCTTGTTTAATCTTCAAGTTATTGACATATCTATGAAGTTTTTCAACTCTCTCTTCATGTTTTGGTAGTCTTTGTACCAATTGAGAATTAATATCTTTCAAAACATTGAGTCGTTGATTTCCTTTATAAATCATTTTTATTAAAAAAAATAGAATTAGACTTATGAAAATAATTAATAAAAATAAATAATATGAAAGTACCTTTATATATGCTTTGTTTTGTTTCATTTACTAAAGCCTGTAAAAGTCTCACTCTTTCTTTACACATATTGATATCACATACCTAGTAACAATAAATAAAAATTTTGTTTCATTATTTATAATGATACTCATGCATGAATTGATCATTTAATTATTAAATATTAAATGAAAAAATTTATAGAATAGAAACATAAAAATAAGTACCAATTTATCTTTTTGTCTATATTTTTCAAAAAGTTTTGACCATTTTTCTTCCAATTGTGCTCGAGCTGCTTTCAATCGTAACAACCGCAATTGTTTATCCGCAAATCTAAGATAATAAATATGAAAGAATAAATTTTACACATATTATATATTGTAAGATAAAAAATAAAAAGTTTTTTATTATGATGAAAAGTATACCTTTCAGAGTAAACAGAAGTTGAGTGAATAAAATCACCATTTTGAATACACTGTCTGCAATAAAATATTCTTCGACTATAATGACACAACGGACACTTGAGAAGATTTACACTTAGTCGACTTGAAACGTCTTCCAATTCAGATGAAAGTTGAAAATCAGCGGGAGCCGTACAAGAACCATCAGAACTGCTTGTCGCCATAACCAAGAGTCCAACAAATGACGATTGGAAGTCTGTTGTCACTCATCAGCTGATTCATTGTAATATTTACTATACCATGAAGAATATACACTATACATATATATATATATATATATATAGATATATGTTTGATTAATTGCATAGATATATATAAATATGCGTTGTGAACCGCACCTTTTCTCTATCATACTCTTGTGTTACATATATATGTATGTGTATAACAGCTAAAACACAATTCCAAGTGATGTGCCGCTATGGCGACGTTACCACCTCGTAAAAATCCAACACCAACGAAAATATCCAAGGAACACCTGACACCATTGCAAACTTTATTGCAGCTTGGTTTTCCTAAACATCGAGCGTGAGTTCCCATTTATTTATCAATATTTTTTCATCATCAAATTTAATTTCAAAAACAATTTTTTTTAAACTTCAAGTTAAAATTTTTATCATGCATATCCCACTTTGAATAAGTAAACAAACAGCTGTTAAACTTGACCTCAATATTCATACCAAGATGTTTATGTCCTTTACAGGAGTTTTTTATACATAAAAAATTCCTTGATATTTTATTACAAATGATGTTAATTGTATTTAAATGTTATGGGTTTAAAAAGATTGAATTTCGATTCATGAGAATGCTCTTACTTTTATCTGAAACTTTATTTTATTATCTGAAAATGATTAGGGAGAAGGCATTAGCTGCTACAGGCCATCGAGGGGCTCAACTGGCATCAGATTGGCTTTTAGCACATGTTCGAGATCCCAGTCTTGATTCTGAAGAGCCTAGAGAATACATTCTTTATGCTTGTCCAACTGGAATTTTTGCAGAAAAGCTGGCAAAGTTTTGGGAAGAAAGCAGAGAGTTAGAATGGAATAAGGCACATAATTACATGCCCCATATTACATTATTAAGTTTTTTCAAGGTAACAATTAATAAAATTATAACAAAATATTTAAGAAGAGTGAAGCTTTTTTCACAATTGTTTTTAGGTACCTGATGAATCTGCTGAACAAGTAGCAAATGCTCTAGAAACTTTAATTGACCAAAATAAATGCATAGACCGTGTCAATTTAGAAACATATATATCGCCTAATTTCATGGGCCTATTTGTTGCTGATAAACATGCCGAAATCTTAGAATCCATTGCCAACCGATACGTTAATAAATTGGCGAGCCTAGGAATCACTGCCGAAGTTCATACACAATCCCTTCATATTTCTTTGGCCTATCAATTTTCAAGTGAATTTTTTCAATCACTTCGATCTATGGTAGAAAAGCTTAATCCCATTTCGTCAACTAGCTGGGAGTTAAGACTTTACTCTCGTGATGCTCGTTTTCGAGATACTCATGTCCACAAAGTTACTCATGCACATATTCCTCGCGAGTATGATGAATTGGAGTTAAGACCAGGAGATTATATTTATTTACCTGCAAATGCTTGTGATGGTTCTATTGATGGTTGGGTTGAAGGTGTTTCATGGTTAACTGGCACTTCAGGATACTTACCTCTTAATCACACTCAACGTACAGCTGAGACTGATTCATGGACCTTGCACGCTACAGTACAAATACCTGAGACAAATACCGATGCATCAGAATCTGAAATTCCAAGATGTAGAAAACCTCCAGTTCTCTCTTCAAGCGAATCTGTGGATACTCCTGATGGAATTGTCACTGATGATGAACCAGTAAGTGATTGTTCTAAACAATACAATAACATTAAAACATGTTTCTTAATTTTTTTTGTGTCTAGATTGAAGGATCATTACCTCCTTTAACATCATCAAGAGAAATCTATATTTGCCGACATGGAGAACGGGTAGATTTTACTTTTGGAGCATGGATTCCATATTGTTTTGAACCAAATGGTAGTTATATACGGAGAGATCTGAATATGCCTAGAGAATTACCAACAAGAAATATTCAAGATTTTCAAAATGATAGTCCTCTAACAACACTAGGTGGGATCCAAGCTAACTTAGTTGGGGAAGCAATGAAATCATCTAATGTCAAAATAGACGTTGCCTTTGCATCTCCATCTTTAAGATGTATTCAAACGTTGTCGCAAATTTTAAAAGGACTTGAATCAACTATTGAGATTAAAGTTGAGCCAGGTTTAATTGAATGGTTAGCATGGTATCCAAATGGTCTACCAACTTGGATGAGTTATGAGGAATTAATGAAAGCAGGATTTAATATTGATAAAAATTACATACCAATAGTAAAAACGAAAGAATTGCCAGCACGAGAAAATGCTGCACAATATTATGAACGAAGTCATAAATTAATGGAACAAATTATTGATAGTACTGTAGGTAATATTCTAATAGTAGCTCATGCTGCATCATTAGCAGCTTGCACAAGACAATTAACTGGTGGTCGGGTACCTTCTGCAGCAGAAGTTACACGGTTAGTTCAAAGAGTACCATATTTAGCTTGTTTAACTGCTCGTAAAGAAATAGATGGATGGCAGCTTCATCCTCCGCCATTTCCACCTATTACTCACACTAGCAACAATAGATTTGATTGGAAAATATTAATGTAATTGTTTAAATCTATACTCATTCTGTTTAACGTATTACAAGAGCAATCGTAAAGACTGTTATGATACAATGAATTTTTATAAATTTAAGGCCTCGTATGAATCAAATTTTACATTTACTGTTATATTGTATAATATTTATCAATTATTTAGTATTTATGGGGTAAAAATTATTTCTTTGACATAATCAAATTTTATAGAAGAAAATAATCATTATAAAATCTTTTAGTAGAAAATTCAATTCGAATTTTGCATTTTACATTAGCTTTAATGTTCATTTATTAACTTTAGAAGTTTTATTACTTTTTTTTAGAGAGATCATATTTTAACTTGAAAAAAAGTGCTAAAAGATATTTTTATTATTCTTTTTCCACTTAAAGTTTTTATAATACATCGGAATGATTCTTTTAGGTATAAAAAAAATTGTTAACATTCCATTTCTTTTTCTTATTGTCAATATTAAAAAATATCAAAAATAATTATAAATAATTATGAAAATGCTCAACAATAAATGAGCAATTCATAAAATTAGAATACGTAAATAGCATTAGGACCCCCGTCAATTATCAATAGATTTAAAATTAATGGAGAAAAAAAAAACGAATTTTTAATAATTATAAATTGTTACGCTATTATGTCTACCAAAGATTAATTATTAATAACTTTATAGTGTATGAGAAAATATTTTATTAACAAAGTATATAATTGTGCATGAATATTATTTATCTTCGTATATAAGTTTATTGAACATTCCAATATTATTATATTGTCTTTAAAAAGTTTACAAAAATGTTAACGAATCTGCAGTACAAATAAACATTTCTGAATATTAAAAATATTAGAGATAAATAATTTTTTTCTATGCATCACTCATACATGACCTGATGCTTTTAATTTTTCAACAAGAGTATCTACATCAGGTACAATTGAACCTGCTTGTCTTACCGGTGGATCTTCTACAGATATTATTTCAATCCGAGGTGTTGTATCTACATTTAATTCTTTAGGAGTTAATTTTTTAATTGGCTTTTTCTTGGCTTTCATAATATTGGGTAGTGTTGCATATCGTGGCTCATTTAAACGTAAATCTGCACTTAAAACTGCTGGAGTCTTTACTTTAATTACTTCTAAACCTCCATCAATTTCTCTAGTTATCATTAGTTCCCCTTGACCATGTTCAATCTAAAAATAATTTTTAAAAATATGTACCGATTATAGAAACTATTTAATTTTGATAAAATATAAATACTTTGCTGCAAAATGTGCCTGCAGGCCAGTCTAATAACCCAGCAGTCATCTGAGCTGTTTGATTACAATCATCATCAATCGCTTGTTTTCCAACTATTATAAGATCTGCCTTTTCATCTTTAGCTAATTTAGCTAATATTTTAGATACATGAATGGGTTGTAATGTTTCATATTCAGATCCTGATATTTCCACATGAATTCCCCTGTCTGCCCCCATGGCCAATGCAGTTCTCAAAGTTTCCTGAGCTTGAGCTGGTCCACAGCTTATAGCTATAACTTCTTGGGCTAGTTTTTTTTCTTTCATCCTCACAGCCTCCTCAATGGCTATTTCATCAAACGGGTTCATTGAATGCTTAACCCCGTCTGTTACAACACCAGTCTTATCTGGTTTCACACGTATCTGAATAAAAAATTAGTAAAATATGGTAAAAGATTTTAAGCTTTTTCTTCTGGGGTAATATTTACTATCTATAAATATTTTTTCAAACTATTTACGATGCAAAAATATCAGTGCAAAAAATTTCAATTGTAATCATCCTGTTATCTTTTAATTATTAATTATGTCACGTACCTTAACTGCATAATCAATAACTCTTTTTACTCCAACTAATACTCTAGCCATTTTATAATATTTTTCTCATAAAATATTTGCAAATATTTTATCTAAAAATCTCAAGGCAGACCTGGATATACTGATCTTATTATGTATTACTACTTTTCGGAACACTTTAGAGTTCAGAAGTCCAAGTTTTCTATCAAAGTATCAAGAGAGGGGATTGATACGTCACAATCAACAATTAAAAAAAAATAATAAAAATTTAACGTATTAATAATTCAATAAATTTCATTCACATTTTCTGTGAAATAAAATGAAATAGAATATGTTTCTAAGACTAAAAAAAATTTAACAAATTACTTTTTAAAAAAAGAATTTAATTATAATTTTACTTTTTATAGGTTATTTGATTATTTTGATACTTTTGGAATAATTATTTAGATTTTCTTATTGTAGCTTGGATAATTTTTCATTTCTAAAATAAAATACATGAATTTTAATTCCTTATATCAATAAAGATTACTCCAAATAAAATGAAAAAATTATTTCAAAAGAGTTTGTTAATCCTTTCTAGTTTCTGTTTGACAGTCATTGATAGCGCATGCGTACACTCCACGCTAAGTGACGTGGCTTAAATGACGGGTGTAATATTGTTAACAACTTTTTCACGAAATATAATAAATATTGTGCAAATAATGATAAAATTATAATGTATTAAATCTAAATCGTGTGTTTATCAAATAAATTTAATTATTCATTTATCAATTATAATAGTTTCATAAATAAAGGTGAGTATTTATGTTTAACCTAACGATTCTTCTCATTTTTGTAATTTACAACAAAGTATTTATAAATAAATAACTGAGTATATAGTAATTATTTTAAAGAAATGACGACGTACGAGGATTTTATTCAACAAAATGAAGATAGAGATGGGGTTAGATTTACTTGGAATGTCTGGCCTTCATCAAGAGTTGAAGCTACCAGACTGGTTGTACCTTTAGGAACACTTTATCAACCTATTAAAGAACGTTTGGATCTTCCACCAATTCAATATGATCCAGTTTTATGTACTAGATCTACTTGTAGAGCTATCCTAAATCCTATGTGTCAAGTAGATTATCGTGCAAAATTATGGGTATGCAATTTCTGCTTTCAAAGGAATCCGGTAAGTCACTAGAGTTAAAATATGCTAAAAAATCAATAATTATTGGAACGATTTCAAAATTAATACATTTTCTTTTAGTTTCCTCCTCAATATGGTGCTATTTCTGAACAACATCAGCCTGCTGAGCTTATTCCAATGTTTTCTACGATAGAATATACTATCACAGTAAGATATTTATTGTTTACATAAATAATTTTTTTTATCAAATTATTTTACTAATAATATAATTATTGATTATTTTAGAGAGCACAATGCATGCCACCAATATTTTTATTGGTCGTTGACACATGTATGGATGAGGAAGAATTAGGAGCTCTTAAAGATTCTCTTCAAATGTCTCTATCTTTGCTACCGCCCAGTGCCCTTATAGGTTTGATTACTTTCGGTAAAATGGTTCAAGTTCATGAGTTAAGTTGTGAAGGATGCAGTAAGAGTTATGTATTTAGAGGTACAAAAGATTTGCAGCCGAAACAAGTTCAAGATATGCTTGGAATTGGAAGACCTGTTCCAGGTCAAGCTCAACAACGAACTCAAACCGGACAACCTTTACCACCAGCAAATAGATTTTTACAACCTGTTCACAAGTGTGATATGAGCTTAACAGATTTATTAGGCGAATTACAACGAGATCCATGGCCTGTTGGTGTAGGAAAAAGACCTCTACGGTCTACAGGAGTGGCTTTAGCTGTTGCTACAGGATTGCTGGAAGCTAGTTATGCCAATACTGGTGCGCGAATCATGTTGTTTGTTGGTGGTCCATGCTCTCAAGGTCCTGGTCAAGTTGTTACTGATGATCTTCGTCAACCAATTCGATCGCATCATGACATTCAGAAAGATAATGCAAAACATATGAAAAAAGCAACTAAACATTATGATTCCTTGGCTGCTCGTGCTGCTGTTAATGGTCATATTATTGACATTTACGCATGTGCCTTGGATCAAACTGGTTTACTTGAAATGCGTCAATGCTGTAATTCCACTGGTGGGCATATGATTATGGGTGACTCATTTAATTCTACTTTATTTAAACAAACATTCCAACGCGTTTTCGCTAAAGATCCCAAAAAAGACTTGAAAATGGCCTTTAATGGAACTCTAGAAGTAAAAACATCACGGGAACTTAAAGTTTCTGGAGCTATTGGTCCTTGTGTCTCTCTGGGAGTCAAGGGGCCAAGTGTAGGAGATCAAGAAGTAGGCTTAGGAGGTACTTGTCAATGGAAATTTTGTTCATTAACTCCTTCTACAACAACAGCATTATTCTTCGAGGTTGTGAATCAACATGCAGCACCCATTCCGCAAGGTGGAAGAGGCTGTATTCAATTTATCACTCAGTATCAACATAGCAGTGGTCAACGAAGAATAAGAGTAACTACAGTAGCTAGAAATTGGGCAGATGCTTCAACTTCTTTACATCACATAAGTGCAGGATTTGATCAAGAAGCTGCCGCTGTTTTGATGTCAAGATTAGCTGTATTCAGAGCTGAAAGTGATGATGGACCTGATGTACTTCGTTGGGTTGATAGAATGTTGATTAGACTTTGTCAGAAATTTGGGGAATATGCTAAAGATGATCCTAATAGCTTCAGATTGGCTGAGAATTTTTCTCTGTATCCTCAATTTATGTATCATCTTCGTAGATCTCAATTCCTTCAAGTATTTAATAATTCTCCAGATGAAACAAGCTTCTATCGACACATGTTAATGCGAGAGGATCTAACAAACTCTCTGATTATGGTTCAACCAATTCTTTATAGCTACGGATTCAATGGCCCTCCTGAACCAGTACTGTTAGATACATCTTCGATTCAACCTGATAGAATCCTTCTCATGGATACTTTCTTCCAGATTCTTATTTTCCATGGAGAGGTATAATTAATTTATTCTTAATTAACCACTTAGTATATTTATATTGAACTATTTAACTACACTAATTAATTATATAGACAATAGCACAATGGAGGCAGCTCAAATATCAAGATTTACCCGAATATGAAAACTTCCGTCAATTATTAGCAGCACCGGTTGATGATGCAGCTGAAATATTAGCCGGGAGATTCCCAGCTCCTCGTTACATTGACACAGAACAAGGTGGTTCCCAAGCTCGATTCTTGCTGAGCAAGGTTAATCCAAGTCAAACACATAACAATATGTATGCGTATGGAGCGGTAAGAAATTTTTTTAACGATAATTATTTTTTTGTTTGAAATAATCATTGATCATCTTAATTAATTATCATATTGATATCATTTATGAATGCATCATGAATTTATTTTTTGAAAATGTGTTAACTAATTTTTTTTTTTTTCATCATGATTCTGTGAACCAGGGGATGCCGTTACCAAGTGGGGTGTGTTTTTTTTTGTTTTTTTTTTTTTTTAGATATTATTATTATTACTATTTGTGAAATTTTACTTTATTGGTATGGGCAGCAGAATAACTATTCCATGTTTCTACTAACAGTCATTAACATTAGCTTTATTATTATTTTTTATTCATTTAACTTATATTTTCAACTAATATCTTAATGACTTTGCTTAAGAATATATCTTTATTGATTATTTTTTTTTTTTTTTCAATATAATACTAATTTATTATTTCATACAGGAAAGTGGAGCACCTGTGCTTACGGATGATGTCAGTCTTCAAGTATTTATGGAGCACTTGAAGAAATTAGCCGTTTCATCAACTGCTTAAAAATAATTGCAGTATGAAATTTACTATAAAATGATATAAATATTATATTCCTCTTACAAAAAATACAATTAATTAATTTATAAATGTAGAAATAATTATATTCGTGTATGTAATTTTAAGTAATATGATTGTTTCAGTTATATTTTTTTTATTACTATAGATACATATTATGTTTGATAAACCCGTATGATAAATTTCAGCAAGATTATTTCTATTAAATAATTAATAATAAAAATTGTGAATAAATAATAAAATACTGTTTTCAATCAAATCTTGTTTTAATTTAGTACTTGGAAAATAAGTACAAGAATTTTGACAGAAACTTCACATCCGCTAGAGTATTTATGAACACGTATAATAGCATACCCTTTGGTAAAACATATTTACAATAATATTGTAGTATGTTCATTGTAAAATAAATCAAAGATTATAGTAACAATAAATTAGTGACTATGAAAATACTTCACTCACTAAATATTTCACATTTGCTGTAAAGAAGCCTGTAATAATTTACCTTAATTTATCTTAGATATATTATAATTTGTAACATCCACAACACGGATATCAATCAAGTACTATTTACATTTGTAGAATAGTCATAAGTTGACATAATTCAACAGATTAACTAACTAAGAAATCGTATAGACATTTTCTGTTCAACGTCGGTCCTTTCAAGTGCTTTACAAAATTCTTCAAAGGAAATCATATTATCTCCATTTTCATCAGCTTCAACAATAGTCCTTTCTACAATACTGGTTAGCTGCTCTTCACTATTAAACATTCAAATTATAATGAATAATAAAATTATTTTTAATAACTTAATATTTTATAAATTCATAAATAATTCCATTATACCTTATATTTGCACCAACCATCATGTGTAAAATAGCCAATAACTCATCTTTAGAAATCATTTCATCGTTATCTAAGTCATACATTTTAAATGCAACTACAAAATAAATTAGATAATTGTTAAAAACTATAAATTATTACAATAAAATAAATGATTAAAACCTTTTTATAACTTACATCTTAATTTAGCTTGTCTAGAATTTAATCGATTAGGACTATTTTTCTTAATAGGCCTAAAAAGGGCAAGAACTTGCATAAACTGTAGAAAATTGACTCGATCATTACCACTTTCCTCAAAAAAGGCATTAACAATCCTTTCTCCCAACGGATTTATTGCTAGTTCTGGAATCCGTAAAAAATCTTCACGGCTTAAAGTACCACAATCTCCACGATCCAGACTCGTAAATCTACTGTAAAGTCGTTCTATTTGGTTTGGAGTAACTAAATCAAGTTTAACATTATTATTTCTTAGTTACTACCTAACCATAAAAATTTACGAAATAATTTTATTGATATTCAATTACTTACATCCAGTTGCTTCCTGAATTTGTGCAATCTCCTCTTCACGTAAAAGAAGACTCGACTTGTTGCCCATTATTGACTTGGAGTTAATTAACACAATTACGAAAATGAATTACAGACTATTTTTAAAGATGCTTTTAGATGTTATTAAGTCATTTGCGTATGTAAAATTTTAAGAATCAGAGGGCAAAGTACGCAAGATATACCTAATGATATCAATCACTTCACCATTGAATTGATCTCACAGGTTAGGAATATTACTACTTTTGTAGATCCAAATTCGGCCTCTTTGGAGTTTTCTCTAGCTTTGTACAAAGAATACTGTCTTACCTAGAAGCCCAAAGCCCATTGTGCTTCTATACCAGTCTCTCTTTCCTGGTAAAACAGTATTCTTTGATTTTAATGTCAAAAATTTTACAGCGAATAGATGGCGTTTAAAAATACTTTTTAAACGCTAAACATCGTGTTTTTAGTTTCTTCAAAGTGCAATTGAAAATCGTATAAATAAAGTGAATATTTAACTAAATATAATAGTGAAAAATAATAATTGAATAATTATACTTGAATTATAAATTCAAATTGAATAAATTTAAAACTTTAAAATCCTCAAAAAAACTGAATGCTTGAATGAAAGTTAGAGTTGGTGTTGTTGGTGTCATCAATCTTTTCTCCATTTATTAATGTATTCGTGATAATCTTTCATCATATATTATCCTTTAAATCTATTAACTATTACATAATTTAAAAAAATATTAAAAGAAGTTGATGTTAAAATTTTTGTTTCAATTTTAATTTTTGTCTACTCTGATTGGTTGTTTATTGATACTCAATCCCCAATCTGAATCATTAATAGAAGCTTTGAAGTGAAGTATCACAAATTAAATATGTACAGTGTGAAAAGGGTTTAATCACAAAGAAAAATATAAAATTATGTGAGAAGGACTATAAAATAAATAATAATTAAATATATTATTGTGCTTGCGAATCAACTTGTTTATTATATTATTTTAATTGCAATTAAATAATGTTATTATGACAAGTTATTTATTTAATGTAATTTTTGGTTTACTCTAATTTAGATTTATAAAAGGTATTTTATTCTACGTACAATAGAATACCAAGTATTCTATAACATATTTAACACAGTGAAATGATCAAAATGACTATTACTCAATTTATCATCCTATATAAATATAAATAGAACGTATTTATGGGCATACGTGATGGTGGTAGACATAAAAGCAAAAATAAAACAAAAGATGGTGAATTCATAACGGATATAACGTTATTTTAACATTTTGAAATGTAGCGTGAAAACACGAAAAACTTTGTGATAAAAAACAATATACGTATCAGTATAATAAACTCATGTATGTACTTTTAGTACATACGTGAGTTAGTAATGATTCAATAGTCCAAGTTGAGACTATTTGGAAAGTGAGAGAAAAGGAGTGGAGTTTAAATGAGATTTAATGTCGAGAAGGTGTCGAAAAGATTCATAGACAAAGTTGGAAAAAAAAAACAATAAACGATAAAGAGAAAGTAATGTTCTAAAGGAAAAGTGTAATAAAAACATGAACTGTTAATTAATGACAATTTACATATGTATAAGTGACAGAAGTGCAAAGCGTCGTGCAAGTATTATAAATGATCATTTGGCGGATTTAGTTTTTATTTGGCGGGATAATCTGTCAATTAATGATTATCAATATACTATTTTTCCATCAAGTGTTTATATATATACATATGTATTTATATCATGTACACATTCAATAAGAATCCATGTAGCTATAATACATTAGTAGTTGAGTCGTCAAGTCGCCTAGCGTAGTACTACGCACACACATTTACTATATACACATATACATCAAGTTGAGGCCTCAAAGGCGGTAGAAAAATGGCGTCCGATACCGAAGCCTCCTGCGTGAGTGACCCAAATTTTGCTGTTATTTGTTCGTTTCTTGAGTGTTTTGGTAAATCATGTGGAATTGAATATCCAAATATTGCTGCACTACAAAAAATGGTGGAAAATACTCAAGAAGGTGAGTGATATCTAAGATAGTTGGTACATTTTATAGCTTTACATACATATTCTTGCCGTTATTATGTTGAGTAATTGTGTTGCTAGTTACCTACTCTAAACTTTTATTTATTTTGTTTATTCTAATGCCGAAATTTTATGAATTACTTAAGTAACACCGCTGCACTCTGGTGGAGATTGACTGTTATTTTATTGCATATTATTTTTCAAACATTTGTTTATTTTTCTAAACACACGTCATTGTATATAATCATTCATTTGACTTAACACTATCACCATCATCAACATCACTTACACAAACGCACTATACTTATACTACTTTACTACATACCATTAATGTATGTACTAACTTTACTATCCAACAACTTGATTTTCAACATGTATAATATGTAAATATATATATATTAAATCTATTTATTAGATATATTGCTAGTAGTTTTTATTGTTGTTTAAAAAGAATTACAATTATTTTTAATTGCAAATGAACTTAATAATTCTTGAAAAATAAAAATTTACTGTGTAATATAAATATTTATGTATTAAATGTGACGTTCAAATGTTCAATGATTTAAAATAACTATGCTTTAATTAAGATAAAAACAAATACATTATGCAATATAATTAAACAATAAATAAACGTGATTAAAATATATTTTTTAGTACCCCAGCGATTGATAGATTTACATATCAAATTGTTGAGGAAAACAAGAAAGAGTGTAACACCAGAAAAATGGGAACGAGCGTTAGTCAAATTTTGTCACACTTACTCCAATCAAGACGGATGGGAATTAGAAAGATTTGGTTATAAAAAAGCTCGTATCAGCGTGAAACTACGCTTACTCAAGGTATTATTCAATGATTAAATTATAGTTTAAAAGTATTATCATAATAATTAGCATAACTGTCTGTGTCACTGACAGCAGATAATTCCTAATTAATATTCGGAAAGTGGAATTGTCATTTTCATAATTATTAAGATAATTTCTCATTAAATTAATATATCAGATAGTCAAATAAAATAATTCATTTATTCATTATATTTAATAATTATTAACAAACTAATTGATCATTTACAGGTGCTTTTAGAGTCTCAATTTGATTTAAATCAAAAATTTAAAAATGAAGTTAACAAATTAGCAGCTAATCAACTACGACTTGAACCCTTAGGACGTGATAAAACAGGTTTAGCTTATTGGTTTCAATTAGATGAAGAGTGTAATATGAGAATATATCGTGAAGATGCAGATGAGGAAAACTGGGAGCTAGTTGCTGCGTAAGTGAAAGAATTTATTTATTTAAATTTTTAACATTATATTTTTATAATATTTCTCAGATAAAAACTAATAAATTAAATGTTTCAATTTTCAGTGATCGTGAAGGTGTTGTAAATCTTATAAATACCTTGGCAGAAGGTGAAGACATTTCTTTGTCTGTCAATAATGAAGACAGTAATAGTTTGGAAGTATCGGAAAAGCCAATTATCGATACTGGTCAAACGTCAACGTCACCTTCCAATATAGAATCCTCTGACAAAGTCATGCAAAAAATTTGCAATAATATTAATAATGATTCAGAGAAACAACCAATAACAAACAATATTAATAATACAAATAAAGAAGAAACAGTAAAATTATCGATACAAAATAATTTTCATAAAGAAGAAAAAAATCAAGAATTAAACGAACAAAAAAGTCAAGAAAGTATTGAAATCAAATGCAAAACCAACAAAGAAGAAATTGTAACGAGTATGAATGAAAATCATGTTGGTGAAGACAAAGAAAATAATGATAATGATGAGAATGATGATGACGATGATGATGATGATGAAGATAATGACGAAAATGAAGAAGAAGAAAATGAAAATGAAGACGATGATGACGATAATAATAACAACAATAATAACAATAATAACAACAACATCAATAACAATGATAATTATTATAATTATAACTACAACAATAATAATAATAATAATAATAATAACAATATTAATGACGAAGATGAAGAAAATAATGAAGGAGGTGATGACGATAGTAATGAACTTCAACAACACAGTCATAATATCGATAACCGAAGTAGTAATATTATTCGCAATAAACTATCAAATTCCTCCTCCAGTCAATCGACAAGTGATACTTCGAGGAATCAAGTTTCATCAACGCCAATAAAATCAATTGAAACACCCGTTATCACCTCGCCTTTAAAATTGGCAAGTATTTCTGACTCAAAACACGTATTAGATGAGAAAGTAATGCCAACTGGTAGCCAATCTTCATCTGCCACTGAAATATTAGCTATCAATCCAACATCTTCTACAAGGGTTATTATGAGCTCAGAAAAAAGTATAACTGAAAAAATACTAAATCAAAATACTTTCCCATATAGTAATATAATTGAACCATCTATGAGTAAGAGTACTATGAACTCTATAGATAAATTAGCTGTTAATTTGGGAACAATTCAATCTGTAGGAAAACCAACTGCTTCCAAATTACTTGAAAAAATAGCAGAAAATTTATCAAAATCAAATGGTGATAAGCAAAATTTATCTCTAGAGAAACAGTCCAGTTTTATTAATAAATCTATGAGAATAGATAATCAAGGAATAGATTTATCAGCAGTGCCTCCAAGACCGAGTTGGGACAATGTGAATGATCATAACACCCCGACAAATTATTGCGGAATTGATCTTTCTAGTCGCAAAAGTACGGCTCTACCTACGGCTACATTATTATCATCTTCTTCAAATGATTATCAATCACAAGGATTTCAATATAAAGAAATGGATTTAAGTACGAAGAAAATATCGAAAAATGATATACCGAATTCATTTTATGAATCACGAAGTACATCTGGAGTATTAAGAAATCATGGTGTAATTACTGACTTAAGTAAACAACCGATACCACCACTAGCATCATCATCGACATCTTACGAAGGCTACGATATTCATCTACCTTCAACAACATCTCTTCCTTATCATCATCAACGTCATCATTATAATGCTGCCAGAGTAATACCTGAAAAAGGTGATCCTAGATTATTACCAAGTTACGCGATGCTTGCAGAAGCTAGTAAACTTATGCCTATACGTAGTACAACTTCTCATAAACGAATTTGCCATGATTACGATCAACATGAAGAGAGTCAACCAATAATAAAACGATCACGAACAGATTCAATCCTAATGCAAGAATCAACCACAGAAAAACAATCATATCTAGATAACGCAGAAATGAGAATGCATTCCGATGATCAGATTACTAGTGAAGCGATTGAAGAACCAATTATGATGATACGAGGAGAGGGTTCAGGAAGTGATTGTGACGCAGCCAATCCTGAAATTGGTGAGAGTATTGAAGAGCCAGTAATGTTTTTTTATGGTGAAGGATCTGGTTATGACTGCGATATGGGAAATAATCCCGATGAAGAATCTTCTACTGACAATAATAAAAGCAGTGAATCAAATGATGAAAGTAATACATTATTAGAATTATCAAAAAATGTCATTTCAACGAGTGTTAGTGACCAACAGCAAAAAGAAGACGTTGAAAAAAGTCATACAGTGAGTAATTGTATTCAACCGAATGTCTCTACTGCAACGACTGATCTGAATACAGTAAAATTTAAACCTACTCTTGGAGTTCAAGTAATTCCAATGACTAAAAATAATTCATCTGTGAAGCGAACATCGAGATGGGATGTCGGTGGACCAGAAGATAATCATAAATATGAAAAACATGAATGTGAAAATAGTAATTTTATCATATCGAGTGAACAGAACATATCATTAAAAGTGGATAGTAATGATGTAGCAGTTACTGAAGGTCTAAGTAAAAATGATTGTAATAGATCCGATTTATCATTAAAACAATCTCAATTCCAGCAAGATACTCAAGATTTTCAAAACATAAATCAAACCAATACTTTAAGTGATATTTCACCGACATCAAGTATCGATAAAGAATTGGAATCCCATGTAGCATCAAAAAATGTAGATCATCCAATTGAACTTCCACAAAGTAATTGTAACGTTGTTAAAGAACAAAATGAAATTAAACCTAAAGATGATGAGATGTGTGATACGATTGAAAATGATGAAGCACCAAGATTTTTCTTTGGTCCTAATTGTGTGTCTTATACGTCTACAATTTCCACAAATTATAATCACGAAAATAATACATCTGCATTATCATTATCTTCAGCATCTTTATCACCATCATTATTTTCGTCGACAGATCAACAAATAAATCAATTAGAAGATAAATCTTGTTCGGATAATAATCCATCAAATTCAAAAGTTATGCAAGATGAAGTTAATGTGAACGAAAATTTTAATAGTATCAGTCTTAGTGAAGTTAGTAGTTGTGATAACAAAAATGTTGACTGTGGCAGTGATAATAAAGGTGAAAATATTTTACCAGAAAGAACATTAGAATCATTAGATGATATATCTACTCAAAATTTACCTGATGAAAAAATGGAAGAAGATGTAAATAATGAAGTAAATAATTCCGATGTTCAAACCACTTCTACGGAATCTAATAATGATGATGTTAAAGAATCAGAGTATGATAATCATGGTCATATAAAGCCAGAACAAAATGAACAAGAGAAAGCAGTAGATGAACTTACAAGCATGGATGTAACAGAAGAACTTTTACCAACTTACAAACATGAAACTTCTACCAAAGAAAATATTCAACATGAGTGCGAAGACGAATTGAATGACCAACAACGGAAAGATCGTAATACAAGTAGTAATCAAAAGGATGAGAATATTGAATGTTCCTCAATGGATCTGAAAGAGTCATTAAGTGATCCGATAAAAAATGAGTCTATTGAAGAATTGAAGTGTGAGGATCCAATCATGAATTGCCTCGTTAAAAAAAAAGAAGAAAGAAATGAAAAAGAAGAGACAAATCTCATTGAAAAAGAAGAAAAAATCAACACAATTGAGAAAGAAAATACTAATGAACAAATCAGTGAGTCAACTGATAAAATAAATGTTTCTGGTTTTGATGAACTTCAGAAAGAAGAGTCATCGAAAAATATTGCAGATACTCTTTCGACTAATGATAGTGAATTAATATCTGATTTGCAAGAAAGTAATAGAAACTTTAGTGATGCTAAAAAACTCAAAGTAAATTCAACTTTCAAAGTTGATGAAGCAGCTGAGAAAGAAATATTATCTGAGAATAAAGAAGATAATAGTTTGATGGAAAAAGACTCATTTCCATCTGAAATTATTTACTCTACGTTCAATAATAGTAATAATAGTTATAGTAAAAACATAGTAGAAAGTTTGATATCAAAAGACAACGTATTAACAGATTCTATAAAAAATGATAAAACATCATCAAATGAACTTATTTTTCCTAATAAAAATGTTGATTTACCCATCGAAGTTAGCGTAGATTCAAAGGATGTGACAGAAATTACAGAAATCAATGAAAATATGGTTGAAGAAGAATTGCATGAGAAAAAATCAGTGGATATTCAAAATTGTATATCAATAACAAGTCAAAAATTGGACGACAAATCAGAATTATCTAATGTGAAAATGGCGGGAAATAATGATATAATAATGTCTCACGCAAGTGTAATTCAACCAAAATTGATAAGTAATTCCAATACTTGCGATGTAAGCAGCGAACAAATTACGAAAATAATCTCTCCAGTTTCAGAAAAAGTTCAACCATCATTAGTGGCGAATTATTGTAGTGAAGATTCTGATATCAGTGATACAGAGATATATGATGACGTAGCTGTAAATAAAAGTAAAAATAAAATAGAACTTGACATAGTTGATGAATTAACAGACGTAAAAAATGAATCATCAAATCAAGGAGAAAGCGTAGTACAGAAATCAGAAATGAATGTTGTTATCCAGAGTGAAAATACTGATAATTCAATTGTAAAAATGGATATAGAGAGAAAAGATGAATTACCTGAATTAAAAGAAAGTGAAAATGTAGATTTTGTTTATAAAGATAGTATCAAAAATGAAACTGAAGATATTGTAAATAATGAAATGGTTCCTAATACACTAAAAGACATAAAAATTGACCCAATTTTAAATATTGAAAAAGTCGAAAAAGTCCTAGACAAATTACCGACCATAAAAGTCTATGATGATAGATCTGAAGAAAAAGAAAAAATTAACGAAAGTATTAACACAATGTCTGTAACTTTGTCCAATCAGAAGAGTGAAGAAATACAATCAAATTTAAATGAGATTAAAAGCACAGAAATCGTTAACAAATTAAACGAATCAATGACATCGGTAGATATATTAAATGACCAAAGTGCTGAAACAAACTCAGAAAATATAACTTTGTTAGTTGAAGGTGAATTATCACCTGAAGTATCAAAATGTGACCATGTAAACAGTGATGAAGAAACTGTTAGTCCTCAATCAGTCATTAAGGATATTAAAAGCGAAAAAAAATTAGAATCAAATTATGAAGAACTAACGACTTCAATTTCTGGTAATAAATTGAATGATTCTTTAATTGTAATTGATACAGAAAATACTTCCATTGAAAGTGAAGATAAGTGTGTAGTTAAAGTGTCCAGTGCAAGTACAGACGAAGTTAAAAAATCAATAATTGAATCAGATTTAAATTCAGAGTGTGAACAACTACAACAAGAATCTCATACGAACTTGGTTCCTAGTGAGTGTGACACTAATAAAGAAACTGTTTTTAAAAACGAATTACATGTATTTGAAAATAATTTAAAACAAAATCTGGCAGCAGCTGAATCTTTCAACGAAACTACGTTGGAGTCTAGTAAAAATAAAGTTAATGTTGTCAGTAATAACACTGAAATCACAACAGTTATAAAAGAAGATGAGACAAACATTGTTATCGCAAAAAATGACACATCTATCACTAATAAAAATGATACGACTAATGTTTCGAATAAAAATGAAACAAATATCTCTGTCATTAAAGATGACACTAATTCTGATACTATTAAAGAGAAAATAAATGTTATCGATGAAATTAAAGTAGAGGCTATTGTTGAAGAAGATAAAATTATTAAAGAAGTAATGGTTAATGATTCTACCATCTTAACTGTTCAACCGGATGAAATTAAAGAAATACCTGACAAGTCTGAAGAAAAAAATATCCAATTGAAAGATGAAGCAAACGTTTTCTCAGATGAAGAATCATCAGATGACGATAGAGCTGATTTTTCAAACGCAATGGATTCCATTCAAACATCGGATGATAATGATGATAATGAAAACGATGATCGAAGTAATAATGTTCCTAGTATGGCATTAAAATCGCCAAACATTGTTGAGTTATCAGCTAAAACAATTGATAATGATGTCAATTTGTTAAATACTAATATGCAGTTGGATGTTCATGTTGAATCTGTTGTAAATCAAGTTGGATATGAACAACCAGAATGGAAATCTATTTCTACTACTGAAGTGTTTTCGTCTAAAAAATCGAGAAAGCGACGAGATAATGAGATGAGTTTAGATGTTGACAGCGAAGATGAGACATCAATAAGCAGAAAAAAAATAAAATTATCTGAAATAAATTCACCAGATGTTTTATTAAATGAATCTACGATGGACGATCGACATGAAATTGAAAATAAAGAAAGTGCTAAAGAAGTAAAAGTGGAGAATGAAATAAAAATGGAAACAGATCAAGATGTTCAATTACGGGAAAAGGAAAATACTGTAGAGAGTTCTAAAAAAGAATTAGAGAAAGATTTGAAAGAAGAAAAAGATGACAATGATAAAGAGAACGCAGTACTTGAAATCGAAGAACAAGAGGACATCGTTAAACCAGCTTCAGAATCTACAATTGTACCTGTTAAAGACGAGTCTTTAATATCTGCTGAAAATACAGTTGACATGATTGAACCTAGTAAAGATAAGCCAACACAGCCATCTTCAACAGCAGGACGTAAACGACGTGGACTTCGCAAAAAGGGCCGAGGTTTTCGTAAAAAAACTGAATCAAACACTGCAAGTAATACGGTAGCCAATACTGTATCTGATAAAACTACAGAAGAAGATGGAAAAGTAATGAATGATGAAGGTAAAACTGACTTAGCTCAAACATCAGAATTAGCATCGAAAGCTCAAAAGAAACGTAAAAAAAGAAATACAGTATTAGGTTTGGAAGTTGGTATTGATATATCATTGACATCAGATGATAATAATTTACAAGCTGAAATACTAGCACAAACTGACGACACAGCTTCCAAGAGTACAGGGCCTGTTGTCAGACAATCGAGAAGAATAGCACAATTAAAAATAAAAGAAGAAGCTGATCGACGTAGAATGGAAGAGGAGGAAGCATTAGATGAGATAAAAGATAAAAAAGATGGACATGATGGTAAAAAAAAAAGGAAAAAGAAAGGAGAGAGTGATGAAGAAGTCATTATTAAAGATATTGAAAAAGATATTAAAGGAAAGAAAAAGCGGAAAAAGAAGAAAAAAGATGCTAATCTTAAATTTAACGAATCAAAACCTTGGCAAAGTTCTTCGGGATCGAGTTCTGATGATGATAATGAGGATGAAGAAGAAGAGGAAGATGATATTGAAAGTGAAGAAGAGTCTCTTTTATTTAAAAGTGATCATGAATTTTCACCTGAGAGTGATCTTGAGAAAGACGAAGAATCTGAACCAATGCGAAGAGCAAGAACAGCACGTAAATCAGAAAATGATGTTGAAGCTGAAGCAGACGATGAATATGCTTGTCAGAAGTGTGGAAAAGCAGATCATCCTGAGTGGATTTTATTGTGTGATACATGCGATAAAGGATGGCATTGTTCGTGTTTAAGACCTGCGCTTATGTTAATTCCTGAAGGTGATTGGTTTTGTCCACCATGTCAACATACAGTTTTAGTAAATAAATTACGTGAAAGTCTGAAGAAATATGATCAAGTTGCTAAACGACATGAAAATGAAATGTTGAGAAAGAAAAGACTGGCATACGTTGGTATTAGTTTGGATAATGTTTTACAGAAAAATGATATACATAGGTCACAGAAAAAAATGAAAAAGTCTGGTAAAAAACGAAATCATGATTTTAATAACAAAAATGGAAGTAATAATGGCAATAGTGAAAACGATGATGATGAAGATGATGAAGACGATGATGATAATAACAATAATGAAGATGACAGTGATGAGGATGATGAGGATGATGATGAGAATTATGATAGCGATGTTTATAGTAAAAATTACAATAATTTCAATATTCACAAACGTGGTTCTATTGATAATAGTTTCAATGGAAATGATGATGATTACGATGGTGAGGGTATAAATAATGATGATGATGATGAAGATGATGATAATGATGAAGACAAATATACAACATCTTCATCCCAATCTGGTGACACTGAAACACCATCAAGTAGCGATGAAAGTGAACCATTTTACCAACTTCGTGAAAGACGATGTGCTAATACAAGTTATAAATTCAATGAATACGATGACATGATTAATGCTGCTATTCAAGATGAAGTTGAAGCTGTCCAAGGTGCTGGAAATCAAGGAAGGGGAAAAGATATATCTACAATTGTTAATGCAGAAAAAGAAGAGGCTCAAGCGATAGACAAACAGTTAGAAGATGAAGACGATGATATAGAAAAAAATTCAGACAAAGACAGTGATAAAGAATATGTACTAGATAAAGATGCTGAAATAGATGAAGACGAGAATGAAAAGAGCAAAGCTTCAGTAAGAAAAATGTTAACGAGAAAGAAACATCGTAAATTGAATAGTTTAGATATAAGTAGTGAAGATGATCCTGATAGTGATGAAGACTTCAAAGGAACTAGTTCAACTGATGAAGAAGATTATGAGGATCAAATTGAATCATCAGACGATAGTTCATTCACAGAAATGCGAAAACGTGGTAAAAAAAATTACCGTCCTGTTAGAAGATCTACCAGAGCAGCAAGAAAAGCTCGTTATGATGATTTCATTAATGATGAAAGTGAAGATAGTGATAAACCTAAGAAGAAAAAATATAAAGCAAGTTGGGATGAGTCAGAAAGTGAAGAAAGTGATAATTCATGGACTAAAAAAAGAAAGAAGAGTAAAACAGCAGCATTTTCGAGGTTTAAATCACTGGTGAAAACTAAATCTAAAAAGAAAAACAAAAAGAAGAGGAAACGTATTATAGAGCCAGAGAATCAAAGCGATAATGAGGATGAACTTCAATTTAATGAGAATGAACACGATAATGATAATGATAATGAAAATGAAATAAAAAATCAAAATATATTTAAGAATGAAACTGAAAATACAAGTGAAAATGTATGCGAACCGATGGACATTAATGAACAAAAACCAATACATGAAAATGTTTTTGTATATAAACATGAGTATGAGTTTATGCCACATCAAACAACAGAACCTGAAATGAAAATAGAAAAATCAGTTGCAGAAACAAAGTTCGAAGAAGCAATAAAAATAAATCAAGGAATGGAATCGACGACGGAAAAATTACCTTTGTTCATGGAGCAGTCAGAAGTTCCTCCTACGTTATCTCTATCTGTTTCTACAATTGTAGATGAAAGTAATACTATTACACCAAGTAATGATGATAAACTCAATAATCAAGTATTACCACCAGAAATCCCTAAACAAGACTTTCATGATGTTGGATATAATACTCAATACTACTGTCAAAATATTCATGATAAGCTTGATAATAAGAAAGAACGTATTCCTAAACAAAAAAAGACTCCTACAATGAGACGAAAAATTATTTATGGTGGTTTACCAGATGATAAGCCTGTAGAAGACGAACAACCACTTGGTAGACGAACTCGGGGTCGTAAAATTAATTATCAAGTTGATGCAATGATGTCTGATAGTGAAGAAGTAAGTGAAATTGGTTGTAAATATATTTTTATCATTTAAAAATAATTCTTATAGCGGTTTTTATATTATAGGAGTTAAAAAAAGCATTGAAGAAAACAGAAGAAAGTGAAGATGAATTTATGGTTAATGAAGGTGAAGAATTTCATGACAATGACGATAAAGATTCAGATTCTGGTAATTATTAAATATATTTTTGATTAGTATTTTATAAATAATTAAATAATACAAATTCTTTGATTTCTTAGGAGACATCTATTCGCCTAAAAAAGATGGATTAAAAGGAAAGCATAAATCACCCAAAAACCGAAAATTAAAGAGGCAATCTGCGACAGATAGTGGAGGAGAGCAGAAACAAAGGAAAAAACCAGGGCCTAAACCAGGAAGTAAGAATAAGCCACGTCAATTAAAACCTATTATGTCTAGATATGAAGGTATTTAATATTTTTGATTGTCTACGATTCAATAAAAAAATTTTAAAAACCACTTATCATATTTATTCATGATTAGTCAATAGTTATAATTCATTTTTCTATTTATTAAAGGTGGTATGATGGCTGGAGATATTTCTGAAGGTACACTACCTTCGGCATTGGGATCATCGGCAGGCGATCTTGCTGAATTGGATGATGAACAACTCGAACAAATGATGATGGAAGATGAAGAATATGGTAGACGTCAGCTTGAGTTAGCAGCTATTGAAATAGCAAAAAATAAGAAAAAAGAAGAACGAGAGGCAAAGAAATTGGAAAAAGCTCGATTGAAAGCATTAGAAATTCTTGCAGCTGAACAAAAACGAGATTCAAGTATTGGTGAAGGTACTGACGGTGATATGCCGAAGAAAAAGAAACGTGGTCGTCGAAGTAAAGCTGAAATATTAGCAGAACAAATGCGAAGAGATGGAGCACCTCAATTAACAGGTAATATACCTCCAACTATGTTACCGAGTATGCCTTTTAGTGGAAACTCCTCAAGTAGCTTAACAACGGATGCCATGATGCCTATAGGTTCAGATGTAGATCAAACAAAAGAAAGTATGAATTTATCATTAATGATGTCAGGACAATCTGACACAATAGGGCAGGCTTTTAATCCTGATGGTACGCCGATTATAAAACCAAAAAGACGTGGTCGAGGTAAAGGCAAGAAAACCTTAGCATTAGAAGCCGCACGAGCTGCAGAAGCAGCTGCTAAAGCTGCAGCAGTTGGTGGTGGCTTATGTAATTTATCAGGTATGGATTTAAAGTGTGATGATATGCCCACCGTTCTTCCTACGGCTGGTAGTAGCACATCAGGTTCAGCACCGTCGACACCACCGACAAATATAATTGTTACAACTCAAGGATTACCTCCTCCGAATCCACAAATAGTCTATGCTCCACCTAGTCAACAGTCAGTTATAACAAAAATGCTACAGTCACAGCCAGTTTCTAATCCAACAACACCCCCTCCTCCACAGTCGTTTGCTGCGGCGGCTGCTGCTATGGGGCAGAAATATTTTGGCTTACCCACTAACGCTGGACAAATTATGCCTAGTCAAAGGCCAGGTTACGATATACCACCGCGTGTAAGGATACCATCACCGTATAATTCAAGTAGACCAGGTACTCAAACAGGAGCTTTACCACCTCATTTTGCAACGACAGTTAGAACGGGAACACCACCTATTATGAGAATGAGGGTTCCGGGACCTCCGACGCAACTTTATCAAGCTGCACATCATCCGATGGATCCTTCTCCCTCAGGTGGTGGACCAATATCAATTAGCGGGAGTCGGGATCGTGCATCACCCCTTGCACCTGCAATGATTCCACCTACAGCCAGTAGTCCTTTGGCTAAAAGTGCTAGTGGTGGAAGTGGAAATGGTGGACCCACTCCACCTCCATATGTTAGAAATGGCCCTCCACCATTGTCGAGATTTTCAGACATTTCTTCCCAACTTGGATCAAGACATCAATTATCACCATTCACAAGTGCCTCTCCAGCGAATCACAATATCCAACAGTCTCCACCACCGTCTCATCGAGCAGCCGGTAATTTCTCGCCGTATCAACCGCAACCACCACCACCTCCTAATTATCCTCATTACGGTACTTATTCTTCATCAGTACCTATATCTACACCCGATGATAGTACGGTAGCTTATCAAGGATCGCCATATTCATCAGAACATTTTTCACCTGCAACCGATAGTCCACAAGCACCACAAATATCCCAAACACAACCTCCGCCACAACAAAAGCCACCATCTCAACATCAACAAAAAAAGCCCTCTCTACCACCTGGAGCTCATCTCGGTGAACAACCATCACATGTTCCTGGAAAGCAATACGATGAAGAGGGAACTGGAGAATTTGGAGGCTTAGTTTCTTATTTTAGCAGTCAAAGAGAAGATGATTTAGAATCATAGCACGAGTGAGTTTTGCTTGGTCAACCATGAATTCATCAACAGACATACAAAAGATTGAATTCACAATCTTTCAAATAATAATTATATCATACATAAGTGTGTTTGAGTTTTTACAAACATATTTTGTGATATTGATATCGTTGGTAATGATAATATCGTTATTATTTTATTTATTAATAATGAAATTGGATTGTAATGTAAAGGTTGGCCGAGTACCTGCTTCAGAAAAAACTAAAATAATGGATGATATCTTTCCAATGGTAGCAGTATCAAGACAAATAGCAACTTGATAGTCATAATAGCAATTTCTATCAAATTTTAATCATGATTATTTTTATTTTTTTAATATATAATATTAAAACGATCGTAAAATATTTGTAAGCAATTTATACAGCTTACTCACAATAATTTGAACAGGCACAATTCAAAGTTAATTGGTATTATGAATTATTTAAATATAAGATCAGTTGTATAAAAAACAAGATTAAAAGATGAATAATTATTAGTGACAAAAGATTGAAAAATCAATAAATAATAATTAAAAAATCATCTGTTTGGCTTAAGTGCCAGTGTTAAATGTAAATATGTAAATACATATGATATTCCCATGATAATCTACATTAATTGAATGTATCATATTTATACGGTCACCCATGAAGCTATAAAGATAATAAACAAATATAACAACAATATTAATAGTAATTAATATTAAGTTGTGCATTATGCACAAATGTAATATGTACGAAAAAAATCGAACAATATTGCATAAATGATTTAATGGAATGGTATAAAAGCTATTAACATGATTAAGAATACAATGAAATTATATTATAAAAAAATTATTGTATTTTATGAATTTTACGTCATATTTTTATTTTATTATGATTAATTAATAAAATATTATGTAGTGAAAATATATATTATTAGTTTAGTCAAGAAAAAATTAAATTTAAGTACCAAGTTTAAATTTTGAAGTGCAAAATTTTAACATTATATGATCTCTTAAATAATGATTATATAATGATTAAAAAACAAAAAAAATTAACTATATTTACAGACATGTTCTGAATTAATTGTCATTTCTGTTTTTATGAAAAATATATATATAATGATCTCTTAAGGACGAAAATAAAATAGCACAAAAATTGTGCAGTAAAATGAACACATCGGACTATTCATATTTATCGTGATAATTATGATCATAATAATGATGATCGAATGTTTTATTACAAGTGTGTAGATACACACATATGTAAACGTTAGAAATTAGCAGCTTATTGGAGTAGTTTTATTTTATTTACATGAATTTCATTTACAAATGAATGGTGTAATCATTATTTACAAATTATTATTTTATTACTTTTACACTTGTAAAATGAATAATAACATTAGAATGTAGATTGATGTGTACTATCTATCTATAAGCTTGTTTTATTACTTAAGATAATTATTGTAACTCCAGGGTTCTCATTAATATTATGATGATATTATGATATTATTGCGCTTCAGGACTACAGTTTATTATTTTTACCTCGTCTTTTAGAAAATTATTTTTTTTTGATATATTATTGAATTTATTTACATTAATCTATATCAAATCGAATAATATCTGAGAAATCAAAATTAAATAAATAGAATATATATATAAGAATTTTTTATTTAAAAAGATATAAAAAATTTTATTTGATTTATTATTTTGAAACTTTTTCTAATATTTAAACTATTTAAAAATTGAGAGAAATAAATGATCAATAATATAATCTTGCAAATTATAGTAAACTGAATTTTAATAAATAACTTTTAATAATATTTTTTAATATTAATTACAAAAATTAGTATTAATATATTGAATCTTATTATATGATTATTTGATTATAAAACTTTTTCCCGCCATTAATACGCATCCAATAGGTTAGTTAATTTTACGTGATATAAGCGCTGCAAGCGGATAATGATAAACTAAAACAATAAGGAATCGAAAAATGGTCGGTTCGTCAAACCACCTCTTTATCTTACATGTACATATGTATACATACGGTGGTGCAAACAGAGAAAGCCATTTCTTTGCGAAATGTAGGTGTCGTGGTTAATTTTGTTGACAAAAAGTTTCATGCAAATTTATTCGTTTTCATTATTACACTGTTATAATTTCTCGATTCAATTACATATGTTTCTATAAACAAATTTATTCAAAATTATTTACTATATCGGCTAAATTTAATACAAAAATAATTTTTATACATATGTATATATCAAATACATACTATAACTCTAATCTTTCTATAGTTCTTATCATTATATCCAATGTATATATGTATATGTATTTAAAGAAAAAATAGCCCATTCTTTTGGCATCCTAGCTAACGTGATTATTCCATTTCTCTGATAATAGTGTATTAATAATTACAGTTATACATATATCAAATATTTTTCAATCTGTATTGAGAATAATGTCTTACTATTTTGGAGTAATATTTTAAATTGTTCATCACCATTAATACGGTGTGATTATTAACGACAACAATTATAACAACTGTAAGAATGAAACAAATATATCGTACGTAATACAAAACAAATATTATATTTAATGTTTCTTATATCATGATATTATTTTGTATCAATATGAATTCAGTACAAATGATCATTTTGATACTTAAACCATCTTTTATATTTTTCTAATTATATATGATTTTATTTTTCAGATAAACAGTTTAAGATGATAAATTACAGCTCAAAATTATGATTGAATATATCAAAATTTTTGAGTAATATTCTCTTAAAGTAATCAAATCAATGGCCCTACTGTTTACCAGCATGTGGGACTCGTCAATGTTTATGAATACTTTAACACCAAAATTTGACATTGAACTGACCGGTACATCATCTTTGATATCTGGATTAATATTAATTTTTGAATGGTGGTATTTTCGGAAAGATGGAACGTCGTAGTAGTAGTAGCAGTAGTAGTAGTAGCAGTAGCAGTAGCAGTAGCAGCAATAGCAATGGCGGAGCTGTTGGAGGTGGTGTAAACGGTAATACTGGAAATGGAGGAGATTTGAATATATCTGAAAATAGTTCAACAAATGTAAATGGTACAAACAGTGCTTCGATTAGTCAAAATATTCCAGAATGTAAAGTTTGGAGAAATCCTATTAATCTATTCCGTGGTGCAGAGTATCAAAGATTCTACTGGGCGACGAATAAAGAACCATTGACATACTATGATATGAATTTGTCAGCTCAAGATCATCAGACATTTTTCACGTGTGAAGGAGATGCTGGAAAAGTTGACTATGAAATAATGCAAACCGCTTGGCGAGAACGCAATCCAATTGTAAGAATTAAAGCAGCTCACAGTGCTTTAGAACATAATTCAGAATGTGCACCCGCATATATTTTACTTGCTGAGGAAGAAGCTACAACTATTGTAGAAGCTGAAAAAATTTTAAAACAAGCTCTCAAAGTTGCTGAAAATAACTATAGAAAATCTCATAATACTCAACATCAAGGTCCAATAGCAGAAGCTATACACCGACGAGATACAAATGTATTAATATACATCAAAAGAAGATTAGCTATGTGTGCAAGGAAATTGGGAAAATTAAAGGAAGCTGTAAAGATGTTTCGTGATCTTACAAAAGAAGTACCACCTATTATGAATGTTTTAAATATCCATGAAAATCTCATTGAAACTCTGTTGGAAATGCAAGCATATGCTGATGTTCAAGCTGTTTTGGCTAAATATGATGATATTAGTTTACCAAAATCAGCTACAATATGCTATACAGCTGCTTTATTAAAAGCTAGACTTGTAGCTGACAAATTTTCAGCAGACGTTGCTAGTAAACGAGGCTTGACAACGGCCGAAATGTCAGCTGTTGAAGCTATTCATCGAGCAGTAGAATTTAATCCACACGTTCCAAAATATTTATTGGAAATGAAGCCACTTATTTTACCACCTGAACATGTACTTAAGCGTGGTGACTCTGAAGCTATAGCTTATACATTTTTTCATCTAGCACATTGGAAACAAATGGAAGGTGCATTAAACCTCTTACATTGCACGTGGGAAGGAACTTTTAGGATGTTGCCATATCCATTGGAAAGAGGTCATTTATTTTACCCATATCCAACTTGCACTGAATGCGCTGACCGGGAATTGTTACCATCATTTCACGATGTAAGTGTATACCCGAAGAAAGAGTTACCATTTTTTATATTGTTTACAGCAGGATTATGTTCATTCACTGCATTGCTAGCTTTATTAACTCATCAATATCCTGATACAATGGGCGTCGTTGCTAGAGCAATATTAGCTTGGTTATCACTTCCATTCTATTATATACTAGATAAACTAGAATCTATTTTACCCTTAAATTTGTTACAACAGCTCTCTCGAATATAACTTGGAGTATCATTGATGTCATTATTATTAATATCATCATTTTTGTAGTAGTAACTATTATTACTATTATATGTGATATATTCATGATATATTTATTATAAGACTTGTATGACATTTAATTGACTCATTTTCTATACATTTAATATTACATTAAATTTTAATTATAAAACTATTAATTAGATTTTTATTCTTAACTGTATATCAACTGCTTTTCTTTTTTTACATATATAGTATTTAAATATTTTTCGTCATTAGGGCGTGTGTATGTATGGATGCAAATGTGCGTAATTATTTCCGTATACAATTGTAAAACCAAAATAATGAATAAATACAAAATGAATAATGTCAAAATTAACTACAATATTTATTTTGATCAATTAACATTTATTTTTTAAAAATTAACTAAAGTTGAGTTCACAATGTTTTGTTTTTTTTTTTACCTTTTTAATAAGATAATAATTTTTTTTATAAAAGTTAAAATTATATTTTTGTAAGTACTCAAGTGTAAAATACTAAGGGATTACAACCCCCAGAAACTGGCGCCATCTAAGAAGTAAAAGTCTATAATTCAAATATTTAATCATTGATATTTGCACTTTGATAAAATCTCATGTTCTTTATCAGATATTTTCAATATTTGCATATAGGATTTCAATGTTAATAATGGAAGCTAATATTAATCCAATTGTATATTATTTAAATTATCCATAATCATTTTTATATTCAAAAGTGTTATTTTATTTATTTAATAGATTATTAAGAGGATATTGTTTCAAATAATTTTAGAATTTGAAAATAATCTTTTAACTAATTATAATTACTCAACTAATCCAACTCCAATAAAAGTAATAAGTTAAGTACACACAGCAGCAAATATTCCAATGTTTCTTTGCTTTAATAAAATGAGTAGTAAATCAAATCAAGTATATTGAATTAACATGAGCAGATTTAATAATATTCCTAACTTATTTTTTACCAACCCAATATGAGTAATTAAAAATGATTTATTTATTAAAATTCGATTACGTTGAAAGAAGTTTGTAAATAATAATAATCATCATTACTAATAAAATTCAACTAATTATCATGATGATTTTTTTTTAATAATCATTGAATAATTATTTTGATTAGTTGATTTAAAAGAAAAGTTGAGATTTTATTATTGTTAAAAAAAAAAAAAAAAGAAAAAAAGGGAAAATGTAGTAATTAATGGAAAATGAATTGAATGTAAAAAGGATGTAGTGATAGTTATTATCAATAATAAAATGAATAAATGATAAAAACAAATAACAAATATAATTGGTTATATAGAGAGAAGTTAAGCTGAGTAAAGTCCTTTCTTCTCTCAACTGAATAGTAGTTGTCCCGAATGAATCGTGGTGAGGAAGGGTGTTTACTCAAGGCACGACAATTCATTACGTAATTGAATTGAGTGAGGCCTCGGGTCTCTCCATATACAGTCTGTCTCAGTCACTTTACCTATATACCCTAAAGATACATCTCTCTCCATATACATTGATACTTTAGCACCGATATACATAGATATCCATATACATTGTATCTGTATATAATCTGGTTTATAGGTGTGGAGCTTACTAGTGGAATTCAAAGTATATATGTACACGTTACAAACCACCAGTGAGCAGCAATTTCGATCCACCAGTCAGAAGTACAGTCTGGGCAACAATATACACTTCCTTGCTTTCCTCCTCTCGTCATTTGTCCCCTCTCAACCCTCTCTTTGCCAGTTATACAACTGAGCGACCGAATTAAACGATTAGTTAAACTGATTTCGAGTTAGGGGAATGAATAAGTAATCGGATTTCTCGTTAAGGTAATCGTATTAAGTCCTGATTGGCCCGCACCGGGCACAACTTCTTCGTCGCTTCTCTCTGTTATCCATTCAATCGAATATCCTCGATACTCCTTGTGGTCGTCCGGAGCTGTGTAAAATGTCCATCTACTATATACAATTACCCTTTCTATACTTATTCCCCCATACACTAATATCTCCATAAAAATACTTTATTATTTATCATTATTTTCTTTTTTTTTTTGTAGTCAAATTTAAATTTAAACAATTTGAATAAACAAAAGGGATGTTAATAATTAATTGGAAAAAAAATTTTGAAAATTTTAATTTCATTTAAAAATGTCTGATCAAAGCTTGACAATTCCACTTGCTACAAAAATTCATTTTTTAATTATTTAATTCAACATTTAAATAATTGAAAAAATTTTTAAAATTAAATTATAAATGACGATAAAAATATAGAGAAAATTATAATATATTTAATAACAAAATAGAAATTATTACAGAGTAAATGACAGTATGTCCAATAGATATTAAGTACAAGCTAGTGTAAATTCAATTGACACATCGTTTAACAATTTTGCTAAATTCACTCGGTATATATAATGGGGATGATTGTTTGTTTATGTAATTACATTTATACCAAGCCAATCAGATCCCCCAAATTTTTGGAGCCAACAAATATCATTTCTATAGGAATATATACAATCTCTCAACAAAATCATCATTACATCTGCAATAATTTTAATCAATCGGCAGTATTGTTTAAACAAAATTCAATTGATTGAAAAGTCAAGGGATGATATTTTTTAGATAATTATGCCTATGAAGAAGATGATTAATGATGCAAGTATGAAGAGGAGGAGGAGGAGGATTAATAAATGTATATATTACAAAAGATAGTAGATTCAGAAGCTGATGGTTACTAGCCGAATGCTATTAGCTACATACCCTAGACAGCTCTAGGACATAAGTAGTGTGCCGCGAGTGCTAAGAGGGTGTAGACTGTTATAGAGAAGCAGTGGTGGAGCAGTACATAGAGGTTGAGGCGAGGAAATGTGTGAAATATGTTAATGAGAATTCACATAGTCGCGGTATTCGGGGCGTTACAAGGATTGAAAATAGGGCGTTTTGTCCACGCCTCTAAGATTGGGATTGGTGAGCGACTGAATGGCGGCCAGGGGGGCGCATGGAGTTCCGATGCGTTGTTCTTTGACTAGCCGGAATTCGTTGGTCGGGCGATTTTCGCCCCCGTTGGCAAGTGAGTCCCCGAGGATGGAGCAGCTAACCCAGTTCGTCTCCAAAAGTTTTAACCGGGCAAACGCGAATCGAGACTCTCGAAATACTGCATCTCCACTTAGTTCTGGATCAAATGTTCTTTGTGTTGGTTCTAAAATTGCACCTGGTGCAGCTTCAGGTACCATAAGTCTTAGTGTCGATCATCTTGTTGGATCTAACACCGTCCAGGATTCTACTTTGTCCACCAATTCAGGTATTATTATTTCTTTCGAATTTTATTCAAATTCTTTTTACTTATTTTATCTTTAAAATTCATTTAAAAATCATTCAATAATATTTTATTCAACTATTTATTGTGTATTCTCAAGTGATTGAACTTACAAATATCAATAAATATTTCAATTCACCTTTCCCCAACAAAATTATTATTTTATTTAATTCAATACCTTTTTAATATTATGAATATTTTTATTGGTCAATACATGTTATTTATTTGAGAAAAAAGTATAATTTTCATATACTTATTTTATCAACGATATTTGATAATTATTCAAATAAATGACACTGTCTAAAAATGAAAGAAAAATTGCCAACTGTTAATTAAAAAATGTTTTTTATTTATCATATTTTTCAGATGTAAATAATGTCAATCTAAATTCAAACAGTAATGATAAAACATCTGAAGAAATAGAAACATTTTTAGCCCAAGAAGAGAAACATGATGTACCATCTCCAACATCCCGAGTTCAGCCAGAAGATTTATCAACTAAAATCGTTAAAGATTCTAAACAAAAGTCAGACGTCAATCTATCTCCATCTTTAAATAACAACACGAATAATAACAATAATAATTTAAATAATAACAACAGTACTAATAATAAAAACAATATCATAAATAACAAAACATCAGAGTTAAAATTATCAGTAAAGAAATTACTAGGATGCAGTCCGTCACCTCCACCACCATCTAATGATTGCTCTTCAAGTCCTGTCAGTATTTTTGAGACTAAAGCATCACCAACTCTACAACTAATCAACGAGTTACAAACTCACAGTGATCACTTAAATATCAAGTCACAAAAAATATTAGTCCACGAAGAAAATAATACTAAGGGTAAGTGTATTTAATATTCCCTAAAATCTGATAAAATAATATATATTACATATGTATGTATGGTCTTATAAATATATATATATATATATTAAACGATTGAAAAAAAAACTTGAAGAGGGTAAAAGTGCAGGGTGGTAATTGAATTAGGATTCCCCAGTGTTCAAGTGTGATTGCTTCAAAGCTATATATATATTGTATGTATTTTCGAGGGTGGGGATTTCTAGCGCTTAACTGATAAAATGTCCTATCCAGTGTCTATACAGGACACACAGTTGAACGCACGCGCAAATTTTCTTCAACATTTTTATTTGCAATAATTATTCATATAATCCGTTAAATATCTGGAAGACCTATCATCATTGCCACTATTGTGATTGTATCATTATTATTCAAAAATTTTCATAATCTCAATAAAGTTATCAAAATAGTAATCATTACTAGTAATTGTTGATAAATACTTGTCATATGCAAATGAATAATAGCAATAACTTGAATAAAAAAATTTAAAAAGGTTAAAAATGTAATTGGACTATTGCATTGTTCAGAACAATAACAAAAATAAACTCAAATTAATCGTTAATAAATGTAATGAGATGATGTAATTGTCTCTCCTGTAAATGTGTATACACATATATGCTATTTTTAATTATATCTGTACAGGAAGTGAAATCAATTTCAATTCAAAAATTTAATTTTCAACAGAAATATAAGGTAAAAATTCATAAAGACTGGGTATTTATAAATTTTTGAAATTAATAATAATTCATGTTTACCAAGTAATTCACTCCACGATCAATTGCAACAATTGCATCTTATTTTTATGGAATAACAATTAATAATAACCCGAGGCAACTTACTTTCACTTACAACTACGGTCGACTTATTTTGAAATTTTCTGCTATTAAAGGTTCAAGCTTATCACTAAATTGTTTCTGTCCATTCATTTTATTTCATAATTATTTTTTATTTTTTCCCATTTGATTTATGATAGTTTTTTGATGATATAATGTAAAACATAAATTTGTAAATTTTTAAAAATCACTATTCAATAAATCGGTGGTATATATTATAGAAAAATAAGCATCCCCAAGCTTAAACAAAATTTAATCAGGTTGTCCTTAAAGGATAATCTCATTAACTCTTGATCCGATATTAAACAGGATAAAAATTTTTCTAGTCACCCGGGTGTACTTAAATGTAACTAAATATATTTGTATCAATTTTGCAATATTTATTTCTATAATCCTAACGCAATGATATTCATTCTTTTTCTGGTTATTTTTATTTAATAATTAAATTAATACCAAATGATTTTACTTAAGTAATTAATCAATAAATGATAAAATAGCAATAAACTTGATTTTATAAAAGCATGTTCATTGCTCAAAAGATACCTAAATATATAATCTATCAAACTTAAACTTTCTGTTTTGTTCTGCTTAATCCCTTCCACTTCTTATTATTACTTTGCTAGTTCATCACAGTATACTTGTACACCTTCTCATACTTACTTTCCATTAAATCCCCATCAATTAAACCTTTCATGCTAATTACTATTTAAATTTATTGCTCTCATTTAAGTCTAAAGATTATTCAAAGCTTGGAACTTATAGTTATTTTGTATAATTGAATATACATCTAGTTAATTAATACTTTATTGAGATTTCACAACTAAATTGGTTTTTCAGTGGAAAAAAGTGTTTCTTATCAGTTTGTTTGATTGTGATCTTCGATACTATTTTGAATGAGATAATTATTGAATAAATCATATGTTAATTAGGATCGACAAATTCTAGCAGTCGTGGAAATATTGGTACCAATACAGGCAAGCAACGAAGATCGAGAACAAATTTTACCTTGGAGCAATTAGCAGAACTAGAAAGACTTTTTGATGAAACTCATTACCCTGATGCTTTCATGAGAGAAGAGCTTAGTCAGAGACTTGGACTGAGTGAAGCTAGAGTTCAAGTGTGGTTTCAAAACCGTCGAGCAAAGTGTCGGAAGCATGAAAGTCAGTTGCACAAAGGTAATGTACTTATTAATATCAATTTATTAAAATTCATCATTATCAAAGTCATATTATATCCTTCTAATTGAGTTATTTAATTATTTACCAATCTTTATTATTTGTCTTCAATCAAAAAAAAAATAATTGTTGAAATTTATATAAAATTATCTTAATTTTCATGAAAATTTTCATAAATCAGATGTCATGTCTTATAAACATCATTGAATATTATTTGGTAAAACTGGATATTTATAATATATAGGTGGGATGATTCTAGCACCCCGCAGTTCACCGACGGCGTTAGAGCCTTGTAGAGTAGCACCTTATCTTCCTGCTTTGAGGCTTCATCCTCCTTCAGCAACAGTTCAGCCTGCGACAAATATTAACACAAACTGTAATAATTTGTCCAATTCGGCATTTGATCCAGCAGTCTTTCATTATGCTGCAACTGGTGGATTTTTTTGTATTCCTCCATCAGCTAGTCATCCTACACAAGTCCATCCACTGAGTTTAGCTGCTTCATTTGCAGCTGCTGCTGCAAGATCAAAAAATAGCAGCATCGCTGATCTTAGATTGAAAGCCAGACGACATCAAGAAGCTTTGGGTCTAGACAGGCCAGCGTAGAGTCAAGATAGATTTTTTTAATTGTTATAAATATATATATATATATATATATATAATTAAATATAACAATAATGATAAGATTGTGGAGAGGTTGAAAGGTAATTGAACCCCAGAGTGCAACGAGTTTTATTAAAGAATCTTATGTAACTATTTAATCAATTGAGATTAATTATCATTACTTATTTTAATGAAATAAGAAAAAAATTATTTATTGATTAAAAAACATTGTTTAAAATTTAGATTTTCATGTTATATATTAAAATTTGTTTGTAAGAAAGTTTGGATTTAGTCTGAAATTTTTCAAATATTTATTTATTTTCTAAATTAAATTTAACTTTCGTCATTAATTTTATTAAATTATTCCATCATATCTTCCAAGTGAGTCAAATAATAATAATATATTTAACTTTTAATTATTTTATTCAAAACATTTTATAATTAAACACGAATGTCATAATTATTCCTTTTAACTCGAGATTCAATTGAAATCAATCTTCTCTCCAGCACAATTTATTTATTTAAATAGCATAATTTAAATCTACTATCTAATGTACATATAACACAAGGACAGACTTTTGGCAATATAAACTATAATGGCTAAAGTATCCAAGTAGTTATGAGTAAATTTGGTGTCGCAATAATGATTTTTCAAAGACTAAGAAGGAGTACTTGTGTACATGGTCAAGAATAACGATGTAACTTTTTGGATGATTCACCCTGTCGGGTGTACAGGACAAATATATTAATATTAAGAAAAATATGGTGCCGTATTTCGCATACTTTTTCTCTCTTTCTCTCTTTCTCTTGCTTTACTTTTATTTTATTTCATTTTTTTTGCCAAAAATCTACTGTAAGCCAACTAGTAGGGGTAGAAGATAGAGCCGGCGTCAGAGCTCTCCAAGGGCGCTAATGCAATAACGCAATGCCACGTGGATAAATCAAGCAGTGAAGCAACCAAGCGGACTCTCTGCTACACACCGACGTAATCGTGTTATCAACCTCCTAGTCCCTTGGGCGCCATTATATCTATTTTTTTTACTACTTCAGTTTAACTGATGCATACACAAGGTAATTTTTACAGTATATATATATTTATTAAAACATATATTAATATATAAACCTATATATTTATCATCATTGAATATTTATAATATAATTTGCCATTTCATATTGCAATCATGGACATTTGTGTACCTATATTGAAGACAACAATTAGTGTTATCTTTATCTTTAGATTGATTTTTAATACTCTATAACAGTATATATTTATATATAAATATATATTACAATGTGCTAAGTCAATTTGATGATATAAAGATAAAATTATTGTCTATTACTCTCATGTTGCTCGTAGGGGAAATTGACCTAAACTACTGGACACTTTTTATCAAATTCACTTTGTACACTTACATAGATTGACTCCAATCCAATACTTGTATACATGATATTTCTTATAAAAGTATATACTTTGTTATTATTATTATTATTTTTAGTTTAATGAAAATAATTTTTCAGTATATTGTAATTATTAATAATTTATTAACGTAAATGAATCTTACAATAATAATAATAATGATAATAAGAACTTTTAAAATTGAATTTAATTCACTTCAAGTACTTTAATTATCCATTTGAATAATTACTTCTTTTTTATTGAGTAATCTTGAAATTTGTTTATGATTTGTTTATTTATTGATAGGTCGAATGAATATTGCGATATTGAATGATCTTAGAAATATATCAAAGTAATAAGAAAATAAATAATTTATTTAAAAAAAAAAAATGATTAATGTTGACATTTTGATAACATATTTTAATTTAAACAATTATAAAAATGCCGTATTATAATATTTATAAAATGATTTAATTAAAACTTAAACAAATTGAAATAAAATAATATGTAATGTAAGTTGATTTAAAAAGTAGCAGAGATTTTGAAAGATTTTTTTTTCTCCAAGATTTTTATGTATAAATGAAATATATGAGTACATAACTGTACATATATAATACGCATACAACTTGATAAAACTCCCCCATTTACTTCAGGTAATTTTTAACGAATATAAAGAGCAGTCGTGCGGTTGGTTTATTCCGAGTTTTAACAAGTTTTTTTCATCATGCAAATTGGCTATAGTTTGTGTGGCAACTTTACGAAGGGAAGAATTAATTCTTGTGAGGATGAATAACAACAAGAAATTTTATTATTCTCTATGACTATTTTTTTCCTCAGTTTTATTTTAATCACATCATTTCTTATACAATTGAAAATTTAAAGTCTCATCAGAGGAGTTTCTTCTCTCAAGATTACTCATCGAAATAAAAAAAAAAATATTCATTCATATATATTACTGTGGGGTGATAACTGCGATATAATTCTCTGTGCAAACCATCTACAACTATCAATTACATTGTCTACAGAGTGTGCATGATGTTGGCGTTCACTTAAACCAAGCACAGTGGTTTTTCTCTACGGGGGTTCCAAATTCATTCTGTCGAGCGATTATTAATTGTATCCCAAGAAATTTACACACCACCGATATATACTTCTTATACGACTTTTTTCATTTACATATTGGTATTTATATCATGTATGCGGTCAGTATAATATATTTTCAAATAATCATTTGGTAGCAATGGTCTATATTATATACGTATATTTGTATATAACAGCTGGAAAGTGGTAGCCCCGGGCCTTTACACATAACATCTCCCGCACCAGATATATCACCGCTTGGCAGTTATGTGTGTCATGAATTTTAGATTATCCCCAGATTAGATTAAGGGGCGGGAATGTGTTTCAAGCTGGTATAAGTGTAGAAAATGCTCGATACCAATTTTCAGTTGGTAGTTTAAATTATTTTCAACTTTTTCGACGGATATAAGTTTGTGAAATATCGTTGCAAATTTTACTTTTATATTATATTTCTACAGAGGAGGATTTTGAATTATTTTAGCCAGTAAATACTTGATACTTCACATTTTCCAGCAAAAAAAACTTTTAAACTATTTATTGTAATCAATAATAAATTCATTTTATGGATTTTTATTTCAAGAATCTATTATGTAATGTTTTGTTTAAACTATTCATTATTACATAAATAGTGTAGAAATTAATTAAAAATAATTTCATTCCTATTTTAGAATTAAAATAAATTATAAATGATTTTTTTTATTACACGGATGGTCAGTTAGTAATGACTTAAACAATTAGTAAAATGAAGTAGTATGGTAATTGTAAAAGAATGTGCATTGTGAAGAAATGGGGAGAAAAAAAAAACGAGGAGCTAAGCGGTGTTTTCACCCCTAAGCATCCGGATGTTGAATCAATTGACGTAATAGTGTCGAGGTTGGGTCTTGAGGGTTAAATCGACTATAGTAGTGGGTAATGGTGGAGTGTATAGCCGTATCAAGCCGTATGGCATGTGTAAAAGCAGGGTGACTATGGGGGTTACGCTCCTTCACTATTCTCATTCTATTTTTCGACTCTTTATTTCCTCCACACACACTCCCGTTATCTCAAACTCGGTTACGGACCATTACCACACCTGTTCTCAAAGTGAATGTATACATACACATTTGTTCCAAGACAGCACGAAAATAAAATAAATAGATCCGATGAAATGAAGCGTTTACTGAGTACATCTTTAATCAACATATATCAAGTGATTACTTGAGTCACATAATTTCATTATTTACGTAATGATTTTAACATCTATCACCATTTTTTTTTATCAGCATTAAATTTAAAACGATGATTTGAAAATAAAATATTTTTTCAGTTCATTATATTTATGAACAAATGAAAAATATTTAACTATGTAGATTCATTCATTTATTTGATATTTAACACTAAAATAATATGCTGACATCAAATGTACATTAGTACTTAATAATAAATTCAAGATATTTAATTGTCATTATTAAAACTTGAAAAATAATATTTTAAGTGGATAATTAATGTATAATTATAGTTGTATGAATATAATACAGAATTAAGTAAAATACATATTAATTAATGTGTATAACGATGGTAAAGGGATGTATAATTAGATACTACAATAATATAAAACAATCTTGGTTTCATTTCATGAGAGATAATATGAAAATTTGATTTATTATTTTAAATAGTATCATAAATTACCAGTTAATATATGTGTTAGAATCTAATGTAATAATTCGATAAAATTTACTATTAGACTTATATTTAACATATTTAACATCGTACAATGGAGTACTCTACGTAATACACTACTTTCATGCTATAATAACAATAAAAATGCAACGCAGTATATATTTACTCGTGTATTTATCATATAGTTACATGCTCGTTTATTATTGATATTTTAATTAGTAACATATTTTCAGTCATTCAATATATATTTATTATACGCATACCTATTCACATTTTTTAATTTTATTTATTTAACCTTAAGAGTATTAAAAAATCGAAATCCTGGTAATTACACTTAGATTAAAGGTGACTGATACTTTATCATAATTATTTCGTGAAATATCATATTCTCACAACACTGCAAATTACATCATTATACCTTTGGAATAATTTACAGAATATCGAGAAGCCCCAAATATAAACCATTATCAATAAATGTGACTAATATAGATCAGTTATAAGATAAACGACACGAAATAGCAATGGTCCATATTTGTCACATGTATGTACCATATTCGTAGACTTGCTCTGAATCAAAAATTAGTTGAGATATATGATGATACTTTCAAGTACTTGAATTAAAAAAAAAAAAAAGCTTGCTTATCGAATATTACATCACTTACATTGTAAAATTATTTTAACTTGCATTTAATCACTTACGAATCACATCTAAAGAATATGTGTTTGCATCACGTAAAATTTCACTTTACATTACTTACATGTGGGAGAATTTTTTTTAATATTACTATTAATTGATTTTTATATAAAATTAATGAAATATTTTCATAAATGAGTGGCAATGAATACTTATTTAAGATGGATAAAGCTTATTTATGAAAATTTGCCACCAATTGACTTGTTTATTTATAAAATAATTATCGAATATTGAATCAACTATTATATAAGTTTATTCAATGTATACACTTCATATTCAGATAAACAAAGCCACATTACTTCTATTACATCTATTTGTTCAGCTATAAATTTTTATCTATACATACTATGAAGACTTGTGAGCCTGATAAATGATGATGAGTTACAAGTAATAATAATAATGATAATAATGATAATAATAACAATAATAATTACAATGTTTAAATACAGTTAAAGTACACTTACTTACAATTTTTCAATAAAAAAATGTATCAAAATTAATTTATATACTTTATTTTTTATTGATAAACTTGTAAGATTTCAAAATATAAAAACTTTAAATTTAATTATGGATTACTTTAAATTTCTATACACCTTCATAAATTTAAAAAAGAAAAAAATAATAATATTTAATTTAAAAATATTTAAAGAGTATACAATATCGAAACTGAGTTTTTATTAATAAATTTGATGAATAAAGTAAATGCAATAATTAGACAGTAGTATCATATAATAAAAAATATTTTTAAATTGATATAAAAAAAAAAAAACCCCCCTTATCTAGAAACATGTAACTCAATTTCATTTTCCTTAAGCTTTTCTGTCTTTAAATATCATTATATTATTAATATCACAAAAATCAATGTAGGTATAATAAAAAACAAATTGGATTAAACTAAAAAATAATAATATATAATTTTATATCCGACAATGAAAGTGAATTAAGTCAAGAACTGTCAATAACAATTCAAGATTTTAAACATCATTTCTTTCAAGCAGCATTATAATGATAATATATATATATAAATATGTTTTCGTAAGTAATTAATCTCCTCAGTACACATCGAAAATTATTATTATTATTATTTTCATTATTTTATAAGAAATACTATAAGTGTATCCATTTCAAAGAAAATTTTTTTGTTTTTATTTATTTAAATCAATTTTTTCTATTATTTAATTAATATATTTACTTTAATAATATTTTTTCTTTCTCAAATGCTACTTAATTACAGAAATTCAATGATATTCATTTTGGATATACTATAATTGAGCTTGAAAATTTATATATAACAAAAGAATGATAAATAAAATAAATGATCTAACAATAAGTATGTCTCATCATCATATTTTTGAATCACGTATGTCATATTGTTTTATTACACACGTTTTACAAAATGATAGTATTTTTGAGTCAAATCTGTGTTATTATAAGTCGTTACATAAGTAAATAAATTGTATACCATAGATATCACATTATATGCTCAAAATTAAAATACAAAAGTACTAATTGATTTGTGTGAAAGTAACAATAATTGTGAAGTATATATTTATATTGAAATTTATTATTAGTGAGCTAAATTTGATAATAAAAAATCAATTTTTTTTTCATAAAATTAATGATTGATTTTCATACGTAATTACATATACATAATATTAAATTAACCTAGTATCACAATACATGCGTGGAGTTTTAATTTATGAACGGAATGGCACTGTACACGGACTCGTCCAATCTATTAGTGCAAAAATATTTTCTTTTTCTTTTTTTTTTTTTTTCTTTTTTTTTGTAATTAAAAAAAAAAATTTCTCGTTGACTGAACAATCTATATTTTATCTTGTGTCATAAAAGATAAAAATTTACTTTTATTATTATAATAAAAATAACAACAACAACAATAATAATAATATTTATTATTATTACCATTATTTTAATTAGTAACAAATACATGTATTGTACTTGATTCATTTTGAATAAAGTTTTGGTAGAGAATAGAAAAAATTTAATAAAATCACTCTACGATTATAAATATTATTATAATTAATATTATTTATTCATATTATTATTATTATCATCATCATCATCATCATCAATTAATCAGTTTATCATTCATTCATTCATTTAACTATTGTTTACTCTCTTTTTAACTGTTTAGTTTTAATTGAACACTACAACGTGATATCTATGCTTTATAACGACTCATATTAGTTTATCTCTCAAAAACGTCAATCAATGTTTTTTTTATCATTTGAATTCCTTTGAGTTTTATAATTGGCATTGTAACTCGAAAGTACAAGCACTTGGAAGGTGTTGCAATGCTAATCAAAAAATAGAATTTACCGTGTATCAGCATAAGGTATCGGATTAATATAAAGATTTTAATATGATTTATTGATACCTTTAAATACTAGAGTCGTCGATAAAGATTCCCCATAACTATTTTCGTTTTTACGCCCGTTCCACCCTATATCCCACCCCTTAATTCGGCCATTTATTTAAGAATTGTTTTTTAAGTTCTTCTCACACGTTATTTATTAATCACCCCCATTGATTTCTGTATCATCCATTAAGATGTTGTAATACAAAGCACTTGCAACTTACGTTGGTCTTTTAGGACTTTAACAATGGTGCGAAACGTTGATTTATTATTAATCACCATTTGATTATGAACATCATCAATTCGATGATGATTATATTAATAATAAATAGAGGCCGTGGTTTCACCCACCCACCCTGCTCACCCATTTTTTCATAATATCCCGTCGACGTTGCCAACATTGATGTCGGTACCGTCATCGTCGCCACCCGTCCCCAGTCGGCCTTGACTAATAAGTGGCCGCCTGCAAATTCATTATTAAGATGATACTTTTCTTTTTTGTTATAACCTTTTATTGATTACTTATGTATATATACATATATATATATATTTATAAATACTTATTTTTCGTCATGCCTGCGCGGAAAGTTCACTTTTCCATTGGAGAGGGGTTGAACTTTCCACTCAGGTATGACGAAAAATTATATTCAGCCCTAAGGAGGACAATTAGACAAGCTTAAACCACGTGTTTACCCCCCTCGCCTTCGGCTCGGGTTGTAATTTTACACGTGGTTTGAGCTAGTCTACTTTTTCTCCCTAGGTGTGAAATATACTATATTATTGTACTTACTAAATGTTGATGCAATCGTTCAGACACCATACATATTTTGAAGTCGTTCGCGAAGTTGTACAGGAAATTGATCAGAGAATCGCTTCCAATTTTCAGCGCCAACTTGATTTTTAAATCCGTGTAAAATCTGTTAATAATTTTATATTAATAATAATTCATTTAAAAATTTTTTTTATTCAAAGAATTATTGAAAATTTACCTTTTGAAACATGTCTTTCAAGTCTTCTCGTGGTGTAACCCAGGATGCCACAGCATCGCAAAAATATACAAAGTCTTGAACAACACCAGCTGGATTGATAGTTATCATTTGGCACATACCTCTGAATGCCGAATCTTTCTCTTCATTATCACGGATATTTCTTAACGATGAACACCTATTAATAAATTTAGTTTTAAAAGTATTTATAAAGTAAACTAAAAGATAATTTGATTAAATTCATTAAAAATTTTTTATAAAACATTAATTATTAATTATATAAAATCAACAACCTATATCTTGCTTGTTCAAATACCCATTACATATTTTATAATAAACATTTATATTATAATGGAAGAAAAGGCACAAATACAGTCGAATTTTCGTAATATTTTATGGACAAGTCACTACTTCAATAACGTCACATTTTTAGGTAGTTATTTCAATTAAAGTGTGTAATGTCCGTTGGCTTTACAATGGAGATAAATGAAATGAATCAATTAAGCGAATGTAATAAATGAAGAATATATACTTTGTTACTTTTTTCTTTTGTAAATGATTTATAAATTATTTTGAATTTAAAAAATTATGTTAACTCTGGTGCAGAGTAAATAAAGCAATTGAATAATAGCAGTATAATTCAACTTAATACCGCTACATTAAAAGGACTAAATAAAATATAGAGATTATTGAATTAATTAATTAAACAAATTTTTATAAAATCTTTTTATCATTAATTAATTATGATTTGTTACAACAAAAATATGTGTATATTAATACATATATATTTATAGTAATTATTTTTTCTAAATTTTTTTTTAGCTAATAAAAAACAAATGTTACACATATTTTTGCTATTTGAAAAATATAGAGAAAGAGGGAAGAGAAATAGAAAAGAGATAGAGACAGCAAAGGAAAAAAAAGCGATAGCACGTTAAATGATCCGGTTCCAGAATAATAACGTTAACAAAACCCCATAATAAAGTGCTAATAAAATATAATAATTATAATTATAATAATCAATAATAAAATAATAATAAGAATAATAATAAAAAAATTTACACACCACTGTTGGACAAACTGCTGTAACATGGGGGCGACGTCTTGGGGACACACATAACCGAGGCGACCGATCGTAATGGCTACGATATCGTTTCGTATCAGTAAGTAGACAAGTAGTGAAGTGTAGTGAAGTGACCGGAAACACAAACAATAAGACAAACTGATAGCGAATCAACAATTAACTTAGGTGAATATGCTGCTGTTCATAAATTTCAATAAAAAAATTTATAATTAGAAATAACTATTGATGAATAATAAATAATTAATATCAATTATAATTAATACTGGAGAACATAAGTAAACTATAAAGTGATACCGATGATGATGATCATTATGTGATTCTTTTTTAATTAAGTATTACCGTAACTGTGAAAATATTTAAGCAGCAGTGTGCAATATTATTTTGTGGCAATAGTGGTCTAATTTACTTTTCATCCAGAATACTTACACACTGCTTATAAAATAAAAATATTATTATTTAAATAAAATATTTGTATATATATATATTTAAAAAACAAGAATAAAATTTTAAAAACAACCATAATAGTGTTATAAAAACAAATAAAATTTTTTACTGATTTCTTACTTGTGTTCTTAGAAAGAAAACTGATAAGTTTAATACTCAAAAAAAAAAAAAAGTATCAAATGCAGACACTTTATATGTACTGGAATTGAGTGATGAATTTATAAAAAAATAATTGAAAAAAACAGTAATAATCGATTGACCTTTAAATAAAAAAAACTATGTAAATGTCTATTCCAGGTAAAATGTATGTGTTTCTATGAGTTATCTTCAGTAATAATTAACCATGTACTTACCAGTATTTTCCAACAACGTTTTTGGAGTATTTGGCCGGTTAATAATGTCAATAAGTTGTGTTATTATCAGGGGTATATATGCACTTGTATCAGGTCCTAAAAAATAAAAATAAAAATAATTTAAAAATTCAATAATGAATAATTTTTTAAATTTAAACTTACCTAATTTTATTGCTATTTCACCGATTGCCCATGAAGCATTATTACATACAGATATAAAAGAAGGATTCAAGTTTTCGCCTAAAATCGGCATAAAGTCCGCTGTAAATAAAAGATAAATATTAAATAAAATGAATTGTAAATTAATTTTTGTCTTTTAAAATAAATGATATATTTCTTACGTATACACGGAAGTACATGTTGGAAACAAGCTTTCGTCAAATCTCCAAGCAATGCAAAACTGCTTTGTCTAACTTCTGGTGTTGGATCTTGCATACATTGATAAAGTAATTGCATAATATTACTATTCACCACAAGGCGTTCAATATGACCATCTAATCCTTCAGCTAACCCACTTAATAAGTCTAAAGCAACAATCATAAAATCTTTATCCGGAGCTTCAAACTGATCTGGATTTTGAGAACTTGCAATATGCTGATTTAACGTCTGTTCAACTAATGATACACATCGCCTATAAAATTAACAATTAATGATTGTTTTATCGTTTATAAATTTCAATAAATATTGATGTTGTTCAATTATTAATTATAATGACCTATAAACAGGTTCACAATAAGGTAAAAATCCTGATTGAAGGGCTGTAGCAATGGAAGATAAACATTCGAGAAGTGGAAAAAGATCTTTATCTTCATCCTTTAAGACATTCCACTTATTTATTAACGGAGGCATAAGAATGTTAATATAATCAGGCTTATTTAAATGATGTCCAACTGATTCTGCTAAGGTTCCAATAGCATCATATAAAATTAGTAAATTTTTATGTTGATATTTACCTGGAATTAAAAATATTATATATAAAAACAAATGTATAAATGAAAGAAAAATATTTATTGCTTTAATTTTTTCATAACAGGAAGTAAATAAAAAAATGATTCCTTACCGAAAGCAAAAACAAGAGTTTCTAAAATAAATCCAAGATAAGGAACTAATTCAGTACAGGCTTCTTCTTCTAATGTGGCAAATGCCGAGCAAGCGGCTTCTTGTACTCTTTTATTGCCATCTAATACTCGTTTTAATAATTCCGTCATTAAAGGTTTCAAGTAAGTATCATGTGGTTGTGCACATACCCAATGAGAATATCTACTCAACGTCCAACACGTTATGGCACGTACTAACGCTTTTTTGTCACTTAAACAACTAATTAAATACGGAATAAGTTCACTCAAATGTGGAATCATACCTTCCATACAACCTGTAGTAGAAAAAGAGAAGAAAAATTAAGTACATAAGTTAGCAATAGATAACATATTATATTTACCTTCTGCTATTGCTCCTAAAGCAAGTATACCAGACTCTTTAACTAACCAAAATTCGTGGAACAATGTCTCTTTCAGAATTGGTACTAATACAGGTAATAAATCGTTTCTGAAGACACCAGCTAACATGTCTAAAGCTGCTGCAGAGCATTTTCTCAAATTCCAATCGCTCAAAGTTGAATCATCATCACCAGCATCTTCACCATCTGAATCACAACCACCATTTTCTTCTGAATGTTTATTCATGCTAGGATGAACACCGTGGGTTTTAGTTTTGTGAAATCGTGGTCGTATGTCTTCTTCACGATCCGGAATCATTTCATCTTCTTCAACATTTGCTTTCAATAATATAATGTCTATGTCACTATACGTCATACCACCTATTAGAATTGGAACTAATCTTGCTAAATGTGGACCCAATGCTTGACGACATATATTTTGTTCAGCTAACGATAACCAAAATTCACAAGCTTCTAAAGCCACAGCTGCATTTGGATCTTGTGTTCTTAGCAACATATATTCGATGATGCTAGACATATGAGGAATAAGTCGTTCAATCTGAACTTCCAGTAGCATAACAAGCGCTCTACAGACATTTTTCCGTACACCACAATCATTATCACAAGCTAGATGAAATAAATTTTCAATGAAAGCATCTATATGTAGCATAAGAGCTTGAGGACGATTGATAATAAATTGATTAACGCATGCTAGAGCATGAGATCGTATTTTGGGGCTTGAGTGATAGAAAAAATGCAAAAATTTTGGAATAAAAACATTTAAAGGTCGGTTTAAAGTATCTGAATCTAAAAGTTCAGCTGAATCTTCACAAATTTTTTGCAAAGCACCAAATGCTCCTTCACAAACGTTGTCATCCTGTGAATCTAACATTTGACATAATGCTGGCAATAATTCTGGCCAAGCAGTTAATTCACCTGTAAATAATGATTTCTTTATGTTAATATTATTAGTTATATTAATTTTAATTGTAAAAAAATGCTTTTCGTGAGTTTTTACCTTTTGATGCAATAGTTGTTATTAAAATTCCTACAGTAGCTCGAATCATAGGATCCGGATCTCCAACGGCTGAGAGGCATTCTTGTTTAATAAAATTTGTAACTTCTGGTAGAAATTTATGATAATGAGTCCTTACATTATTTTTTAAAATTAGTCCACTAAGAGACCTTGTCGGTACATCCGCTGTAGGATAGTAATAAAAATGCCAATTAATTGTAAATTTAATTTAAAAAACGAAGCATCAAGCATAAAAAGTAGTTATCAATATATTAAAGGCATTTTTTTCTTACCTTCGGATGTAAGCTTAGTTAATACAAAGATAAGATAATTGTTAAAATCTGGAAACTTGTTTAATTCTTCTAATTTCTATTTGATGATCGTTTTATTAAGGAAAATAAGGAAGAAAGCTAAATTCACAAAATACAGTATATTGTTTAAATTTTAAAGTGAAGATATGACATACTTTAAAACATTTATTAAAGTATGTATAAAATAATATATATATATATATACATATATAGATGTTATACTTATATGTTAAAATGTGTATTGTACACATATATTTGTATCTACAGATATTTCCATACAATTTCTTCAATGTAATTGAACAAATTAGTTGCATAAAATCAACGTAACGAAATGAAAAGTTTTGTATTTAATCATGTCTGAAAAATTATATATCACCGTAAATTTCTTTAGATACGATTGGTCAAAGAGTTCATGGATTAAAACTTATTCATGAAAATATTGCAAATAATAAATAATAGTAATACGTTAAACTTAAATAATTATGACGTAGAATATAAACGACATAACAACCGGCAAATCATGGTATAGATATCTGAAATTTTGTCAATAAAAGCACGCCCTGGACATAACGTGATTTTTTTCGGCATAAATTAATGTCGAAATTACTATTTTATGAAATCAATGATATTGTATAGAGAAAGGATACTTCTTGTACAGCACGTTGAGTTGCGGTATCGGGGCTTTGCGACTCACGAAGTAGCGTCAAAATTTGTCTGAGTCCTTCTTCCTGTGGTTGCCACGCCATTTTCATCGTGTTTTTCAATAGCACCACTACCACCACTAAACACAACTAACAGCTTCGTCAAGCTCAATGTCTCGCCACCGCTTGCTCGCATTTACTCGCACACTAACGGAAGTTCTTCATAAACCATCCCCACTCCATTAAACCGCCCTTGACAAACTGTACATCTCTTATGAAAGGTATAGTATCTTTATTACACAATGTGCACATACTATACTTACTGTTACTATGGGAAATAATACCAATTTTCACTTTTCATCATGAAATTCAATAGATTCAACTTTGGCACATTTTCGAAGAATAATATTATTAAAAATATGTGATAATGTTGGTTTGAATAATAAAATTGTCTAAAATATGCAAAAATTACTGTTTATAGGTTAGAGAACTCGCAATTCTATTCATAAATAAGGTTTATATGTCAATTAAAATTTATTAGAAAAAAACAAAAGAAAATCGAATAAAAACACTCGAATTCAATCTAATTGACGGTGCGTTTTCATATAATTACATTATAACATAAAGATAAATATGATCTCGTGTAGTATAGGTTATATATTAAATACATCGAATTTCAATAATGTATCAAAAAAAAAGTGTAAATAAACACTATTGAAATTTGATAATAAAACATGATTTGCCGTCAGCGACAAATTGATTTCTTTTAGTATTGATGATGTAAAATTGTAACATGAAATGTTAATTCATTGGTTAAATATGGTCATAGATGGCAGATGCGTAGTGCAAAACGTACGTCACGACCTCTACTCTTGAAGGACAATGATGATCTAATTTCCCCACTCTCTAAAGACGCCAATCCCGCCAAAACTCTGCTCCCCACTCTAAATGGAAGTCTGGCGGTAACAAAAGACTCAGTTCCTCGAATTCAAAGGAACAACTCTATCTTCTAAAATATAATCTAAATAGTAAATATTGCTGTATTTCGATATACTATAAAATTTTTAAGTATTGAAAATTGCAATTATGATATAATTATTGTTGAATTAATTATCAATGATAATTTATTTACCATATAGAGCTATGTTAGTTTAATGAAACAAAAAAACAATTAGTGAGTGAATATATAAGTTAATATACATCTATTTCAATGACAAACATTAAATTTCATATTATTAGAAGTGTTGAAATAAAACAAAGTGAACTCTGTGTATATATAAAGTGAAGTAGTGAATTTAAAATTTATTATGATGTTTATTTCTTCTAAGAAGAAATTATATCAAGTATTCAACATTTTAAAAGGGTTCATCTTCATTTTTCACGAAAAATTTGATCGGAAGACATCAACAATTTCTCTATTGGTAAGTAATAAATTTCTTTAATTATGTTATTCGATTATATAACTTGCAAGCAAATTATCGATCAGTTTATTAGAAAAAAATACACGTGTAAAATTTCATTAAAAATAGATCAAATGAATAATTTCGATAAAACATCGTAATTATTGAAACAAGTCATCATCATAATATATTATATGTATTGCACTTCGGTCTCCATATCTGTAGTGCACTGTCACCACATACAGCAAGCACATCATTTAAGTAGTCCATCTAAAAGAATGATTAATTTGTATAACAATAATAATACACAACATTATATCTTCTTTTTATTATACTCACTCCAGCTATGTCCCCGTGTGGACTTTTCAGAATGGTAAATTGTTTTGGTGGATCAGTTGGACTTGAAATTCGTACAGTTGAATCTAATGAACTAGTTATTATAGAACCTAAAGAAGCGTATATTCCTGTTATTCCTTTCGTATGTTCAGTCTTGTATTGTTTAACTATTTTGTAATTATCAGTGTCCAGAACATGAATATAAGCACCACTATCACCAATAAAAACTGATCTTCTGTACATACAGAGACTCATTGGAAATGAATCAGTTGATACCTAGAAAAAATTTCAGTGGTTTCACTAATTTTAATCATTTTAACGATTATAAAATTAATATGAGTCTTGAAATTTCAAAAAACATTACAAGTAAATGAATTGAATATTTTTTGTATATTATCATTTATTATTCAATAATGAATATTTTATTACCGTGATCGACTCAAGAGTTCGTTGAGATCGTTGGTCCCAAATTGATACAGTTCTATCTTCACTTCCTGAAATGATATACTGTGAATTCATAGTAATTTTTAATACAGCTCTTTGATGTGGCTGATATCGTGCAACAAGTGGATCTGATAATCGTGGATCTAATACTGAAATTGTTTTGCAATATGATCCAGTGGCAATTAAATTAGTCTGTTCATTTGAAGTAATGCATAATAAAGCGCTCGTGCTGTCTCTAATGAAATGATAATTCATTAAAATTTAGTAAATAAATTCAGTTTAATGCTCAATTAATAATTTATCCTTTATATTTACCTATACAATGCCATTCGATGTATAGGTTCGATTCCAGTGTTTTCTACACTCCATACGTGAATTCGTTGATCCCAACTACAACTGTAAATTTTGCCATGCAATGATGTAATATCTCGTATCCAGCCATCATGACCAAATCCCGTATATGTTTGAATCTTTTGTTTATCTACGTATGTATCTAGTTTCCAGCATACTAATAATCTGTCACGTCCACCTGATATGCAAAGTCTTCCTTCCTACAACAAAATTGTAATAAATTTTGTTGACTATCAAATAAGTTAAAATATTCAAGTGTTTACATACGTTCATCAGTAAAAGTCCATCAACACAACCATAGTGTCCTTCCTCTAAAGGAAAACTTTTAATATTTTCCATATTTCTCCATAAATATGCTTGACGTTCGACTGCAACGCAAGCCAATTTCCAAAATAATTCTTCATCTCTATCTGAAATATAATTCAAATAATTGAAAAAACATTTTTACAACAAGATTCTTCTTCATTGAAGTTATTTTAAATTTAAATAAGAGTTCGTTATAAGTTATTACAAAAAAGAATAAATTTGAATTATTTTTGGATTAGTTGATTAATCAATTTTTTTATGATTTTTCAAATTTTTATATCAATTTTATTATTATCAGAAGTTTCATTTATTTACGGAATAATTAGTTGTGCAATATGGAAGATGCTATTGAGTATGAAAGCTAACCAGGAGGCAGAATTGGATATCGTGAGTTGGGCCAGACATTGTGGATTTTTCTTTTCCACATAGAATCTTCTTTTAGAATATACCAAAATTGTTTGCAAACTAGGCTCAATCGATGAACTAATGTTGAAGCATCCAAGAATGAACAAATATACAAGAATATCTGTAATAAATAAAAGATAGTTAATTTTTTTCTTCACAAATAGTTGTTGTAGTATATTAATTCTTCGAAAAAAATAAATAATTTTACCTCCAATGGAAGATCAGTTAAATTAATTTCATCTGATGATTCATTTTTATTTTCTTCGTTATCGTCCAAATTAACATTATCATTTTTTTCGCTCATTTTTATAAAATGAAAATATAAATAAAAAATAATTTCATCAATTAATTACGTTTACGTGGTTAAAAAAACTATATTGTTTAATAATAAACAATTGATAATTGTTAATTATCACTAAATGTTATAAAAAATTTCCACAATTAATATCAACTTATTCGTACTCTCTCCACATCGTTAATAATACACAAAAGCATTAAACGTCGTCTTTGAGTTTCTATTTTTTCTTCTTCTCTTAAACATACACATCCACACTTGATAGAAATAATTATCAGTTTAAAATACCCTTTTAACTATTTATAATACATATTTTTACGTACAAACATGGGCATACTGAATGTTTAATAAGGTCAATAGTAAATATGTGTGTATGCAACCATGAAGAGTGTATATAACCTTTATCTTTATGGATTTGACAGAAGCTTGTTATGTACATATATATCGTGTTTCATCTCCATAGTTTGGTTTGTTTCATCTCCATAGTTTGGTCTGTTTCATCTCCATCTGTTTGGTCTCCAATCACATCCAATTACTTTGTCGATAATAATGGTCTCTGTAATTCTTTTCGAATCTGAATAGAATATTTTTTATAAATACTGATAAAAAATACTTTTTTTCTGTGTATATATATATATATATATATATATATATATATATATATATATACATATATGACAAACACATCAATTATAATTGTTAATAATTTTTATTTAATGTTATAATTGTTTTCTAAATTTATTTTATATTTAATAATTTACAATAATTTTTTTACTCCTTTTTTTCATTTTCTTAAAAATTTATTAACAGTTTTTTATTGATATCAATAATTAAATATTTCAAGTTTATAAATATATTATTGTCTAAAAAAAAAATCAATTATTTAAATAATTGTTCGATTTACATACATTTTTTTTAAACAATGTATAGTTATCCTGAGAATGAAAGCCTCTAAGATAACAATTTAAGTAAACGATTTATTAATTACAAAAATAGACATCAGTGATAATTTATTTAATTATTTTACGAAGTAACGATAATCTAACCACTGATAACAGCACATTTTGGAGTTTATGAACATAAATATCCCGTCACAAGTTCAAAATTGATTTATAATAATTGCTATGATAATAAACATAGTAATAAAACTTTATGTCTGATTAAGAATAGTACAAGGAGAATAGCTTTTAAATATTTCGGTATAATTAACTAACGCAAAAGAAGTAATTGCACCTGCTAATGAACCAACTTGGGTGGCAACACCAGTGTAATAAAGACCTCGACCAGGATCAGGTCTGAATAGTGTCGTTATTGACATTTTTAAGAATCCTATTAAACTGTATGTTATCACCCAAAGAATAACTATTATAAATGGACCCAACCACGAGTCTTGTAATGGTGGGTTTGGTGATTGCACAGCCAAATATAAAATTATACTAGAAATTATAATAACAAATACTGTCAGCAGAGATACAACTCTTACTGAAACTGGAGATGTTCTAATAAATCCTACACACATGCTAAGAGGTTGAGCCATTGATGCTAAAGTAACAGTTAAGTGATAGGCAATATTACCATATGGTAAGCACGAATATGACTGAATACTTGCTAGAGCAGTGTGCCCTAAGAAACAAATTATTCCCATAATACTTAATAAATATAAGTACATTTGCTTAGACATACGCCACTCTGTTGATGTCTTGTAACTAGGTGGTGCATTGATATCTGTTGGCAGTGTTTCAGTACATCCAGCTGGTTTCACGCGTTCATTAAGTGCTATTTGGAACTTATTGAGTCCTATGAAAGATAGAAAACTCATCCACAAGAGTGTACCCAAGATAATGAAAAAAGTTTCTAATGAAAATCTCGGATCAGGATAGTATTCTTCAAATCGTTGAGGTTGGCCAGGTTTTGTTACATTTCTACATTGTGCATTGCCTCCAACTCCTTGAATAAGAGCTAGAATACTTGGTAAAAACCCACTTAAACTCTCACCAACTAGATAAGATATTAAATATATTTCTCTAAAGTTTCTCATGTATGGCATGAATAATACCGAACTGGTACATCCAACAATTGCTATCAGAAACATAAAACTTAAAAGTACTGTTGAATGTTTAGTTCCCGATATAATAGAAGTTGATTTGTACGTGAAAGCTAGAATGAAAACTGATGTTGCTGCTACTCCTAAAAGCGTATAAATAATGTAATCATCACGAGACCACGATGAATATCTAAAAATGAAATATTTAATTTAGTTTTAATGAAATATTTTACCATTAAAAATGTAAAATAATAACTTACTTTGTAAATAACGTATAAAGTATTGGTCCCAAATTTGCAATTTGTACTACCATAACAATATAAGCTGGAAGACTCCATCCTTCAGGTGCTAATTGGACTAAAAGAGGTATTTCGATGAAAACACCATTAATTCCAATCCATGATCCAATACCGAACATCACTGCCAATACATCCACTAGCAGTTTTCTGTTACTTAATTTTTGTGATAACATTTTGTTTTTTTAATTGTTGAACATCCATGAAATTAATTTAAAACCAATGTAATATGTTTACTTGTATTATTTTATTTAATACATCATTGAATGTAATATAAGATATTTGTAATAATAAGTACTGTAATAATTTAGTGAGAAGTACTTTTTTGTAATTGACACAATTATCAACGTTGAGCTTGTGAGTGTTATGTGAACAGAATGAAGACTATATAACTACAGTGTAACCACGAAACTATAGATAAGCAATGCATTACTTTAGTAGGCACTGACACGTAGAGAAAAAAAAGAAAAATAAAATAAATGAAGAATGACAAGGATAAATCTGAGTCATTAAAATTAATTGCTTAACTCGCAGTTATGCGGTATATCTATATGTCTCTAAGGAGGTATGTACAATATGTATGATAAGAGGTTAATTTATTTTAAGTAGTAAAGAATTTTATATTGTCAGAGTTTAATACTTAATCTGTTTGTTCTCAAATACCATTCTTATTTACACATTTTTCATATGAACACAACTGTTGATATTTTAATTGAATGTATTTATTGATATTCAATAATGAAAGATTGATCAAATAATGTATTCATTCAAAAATACTCAATCTGGGAAAGTCCGAAATATTTTTTTCAGAATAATCAATATGATGGTTTTATTATCGATTGAGTAATTCAAAATATATCTGATACCGGTAATTATTTAATGTCGATAAAGTAGAAAAAGTTAAGAATTTTCAAAAAAATTTCGACTTTACACATTGTACGGTTTCTGGATTATTAAAAATTAAAGTAATAATGATAAAATTAATCCTGTGCTAAATAAAAGAGAATTTTAGAATTGAAATTGAATTAGTCCTACATGAAACAATGATGTAGATAAAAATATGTAAATATACGTTGATAGAAAATTCACAATTTTATATACATTTTAAAAGTAAGTTCAATGTGTCTTCATAAATATTTAAATTTTTTATATCTAAACATTTGATGAATTTTAAATTAAAAAATTTTTAAAACTATTTAAATTTCACTTTACTATTTGATTATTTTTCAATTAATATTAAAGCTTCTGGTATACTTGCAGCTAAAACTTGATTTTGATTCCAAAACTTTTGAATTACTTATTAAAGCATCGAGTGCTCAACTAAGTACTAATTTTTCTTAACTCTCTTGTTATTAGTTGAATTTATAGAGAAAAGTTTTTTTTAAATAAATGTCAATCATTTATTGTAATTAATAAAATTACCCCAATTTGTAAATTTATTTCTTCAAGATAATTCTTTTGATTTAATTTTAGAAAAAGTTTAATAAACAACTTTTTTTTTTTTAAGGTAAACCCACCATTGAGAGTAATTAAACATATTATGTTTGTTTTCGAAAAAAAAAAAACCGAAAGATTGAAACAAGTAGACGGAAAATAAACTGAGAGTCTTTAGAGAATTGGAATTAAATCAAGTAAAAAGTTGAGTGAATTTTTACTGAGTAAATATTGTAGTGTATTGTTTATTAGATTTAATGAAATGAATTCGGGCAACTTTGATAAAAGAATTGTTGATGAGATTAATGTATTAAGAATGTAATTTTCTGAATTGGTATCTAGGGAAGTGGGTTGAAATGAATTGAGTGTTGGGTCGTGTATTTTTTTTTTTATAAGAAAAAACAGTATTAAACAGTGATTGCTACAAATATCTAGTAACAAAAGATATATTATGTCACATTACTAGATAAAATGTTTATAACTTGTATCTTGAGAAGTTGATAAAAAAAGTTATAGGGATTACTTAATTTAATTCTTATCATTCTCTAAATATTATCAGCAAGTTGTTTTAATAATTGTAAAATAAGAACAAACTGTTGAAAGAAAATAAATCTTTTCTATTTTAAAATACTTCACGAATATCTGTCAAAAAATACAATAACCGACTAAAGTTTATCGTTGTTAATTAATAAATTATTATAATAAATTTAAATATTTATTTCTTTGGGGAATACTTATTTACCCTTAGCTCTGAAAGTTAATTAACTGTTGACTGAATAAATATCTAAACACGTGTGTTAATCATTGACTCATATGAAGTTTTGAGTATATTATAATATACTAATCTAAAATTTCTATAATAATAGTAGAAACCATTAAAAAAATTAAACTCAATTTCTGGATTATTAATGAACATTTCATCAATATATGTAGTTGGAGTGATAGAAAAAAAAAAAAAAAGAATACACAGGTTGTTTGAATGTAGCAAGAATTTTATAAAAGATGATAGGCAGGCTCACAAAGGATTCACAATAATACGGTCAATAGTACAATAATTATAATAGAAATGTACATGTATGTGTATGCATATCATCAGCATTAAAATTTACCGTAAATTATATTTTTTAATGTTGTATAGAAGTGTACATTATTCACAGTATTTTTTTTTTTAAAATCAATAAGTTGAACAAATGGAGTGTATACAAATAACATAAATAGTCATTATATATGTATAATAAATACATACTTATATCTTAGCGCTGAATAATTATCCAGTTTTATCATTTACATCATTCATAGTAGCTTTGCATGTGTGATTAAATTAATTAAATTAATAGCACTCAAGTTTTGAAGGTGGAGTAATTGCAAATGTTAAGTAATTCTATTAATAACGCGATAAAAGCACATGATTTTATTTTCCTCTTATTATGCTTTTATTTATGTACATCGCTGAAGAGATAAATAGACATCGCGTGTCACAATGATAAGATCACCAGGGAATGATAAAGGGTCGCGTTTGAATTGACTTGGTTTACAATTACCCTACTCATCTACAACATTATTTTAATAAATACAATGAATATTGATATGTTAATAGAATTAATTAGTCAGCAAATAACACTTTCAAGTTCATTTTTGTAAAATGTTATTAATCATTTTAATTGATTTATTAAAGTAACAATCTTATCAATATATATTTATATAAATAAAAATGTTTTTTTTACTTAATAATTTTATTTTAAAAAATTTCTCATAAATAGAATGGTAAAATTTAAGTACCTTGAGGGCTAAAAACATGTATTGAAAAATGGGTAGACTTTAGACAGAAAATTATAAATAAAAAGCTTGAATACAATGAGACTTACATTAAAAAATATTTTTTTTTCATTTTGTTTTTGCATAAATTAAAATGGATATAAATAATTTTTGTATTTTAGTGAATTTTTTAATTAATTATTTTCATAAAAAAAAATAACATAAAATTTCTCTATTGTTGGTAAATTAATTATTTATATGTTGTCATCTTTTATAGAAAATTTTTATTATTATCGTTCATATATATTTGTATATATATATATTTCATTTTATTTAAAATAGTATCGTTGAAATCCTTAAAGTGGCCACAAATGCTACATCTACCCTAGAGACTTTTATGAAGGATAAAGCTGTCCGGTTCAACGACAAAAAAAATACAAGTAAACTCTTCAAATTGTGAGGATAAATTTTTATATTTTTTTGTTACCAATTCAAAAATTTCTCTGCAATAAATATATTTTTATCGTCGTTATTTCTTTCTTCTCTTATTATAATTACGAAGAAAAATTTATTGTACTTTTGAAAAAACACGATGATCACTTTATATAATAAACCAGTTTGACAGTTTGAGTGCAACCACTTCGCAATTTAAATTTTTTTTTTAAATATTCCTGTTCAATATTTCCATACAATGAAAAAAAGAAACAACTTCAATGTAACTTTCATTGCACTGTAACTTTTCATTAAAGCTTTTTACTGCGCAAAATTTCTTTCCCATTTTTTTATTTTTTTTTTATTTCAACGTCCGAGGCGCTTAAATGTAAAAAAAATCATTGCAAAATTTTATAAATATTTTACATATATGTAAATACCATCAGTACAAATATTCATGAAAGTAGAAACGTGCTATAATTGACTGATTGACTCATCCACTAAAGTACTAAACATTTTAATTTACAATGATAAAGTGACAGAAATAAATGATTTTGCTGATTAAAATATATACATAAATATTTTGCTGATAAACATATACATAAATACAACTTTATTAGCAAGACTTTAAAATATATTATTAATAAGGTATATAGAATATATAGTCAAATATAAATTAACCACCACTTATGCATACTAATTTTATCATATGATTAGTTAAGTTAAACTTTGTTCTCGTTATCACAAATTTATTATAACAAGAATCTTATCACTTTAATTTGTCATTAAATGGCTTTGTTTACTTAATCTTTGGAATAGTCTGAAATTAAACAAAATTCATGATTACCCTGTTCAATGCCAATTAATTATTAAGCGCCTTCTCGAATTTATTTAATTCTTCGATATTAAGTAATATATTAAAATACACCTGAACACTTTTGTCAGTACGAAAAATATCTTACCGATTTATAAATAATTATAAATGTTTCTAACATGCAATTTTGATGCTATAATTTGTAAAAAAAAATTTTGTGACATTAATGTTTTATTTGTAATCAGCTGTTAGAAAAAAAATTCAAGTATTATTTTTCTAATCAACATAACTCAACATAATTCAATAAATTATCATTTGATTTTTTTAATGATGCCATTAAAGTCGAATTAATAAAGAATTTATTTTAAAATATATTAAATTATTATAAAAACAATAATTATGCGGCAAAAAATAAAAATTATTAAATTCGATGGCACTTATTTACAATAAATAGTATTTTGTATAAAATTATATCATTTTGCGCATATTTTATTCCAATAGTTATTCAGTATGATTATTAAAGATATATTTGTAATTTTTGTGCAAGTGTAAATAGCTTGAAAAATATAAACCCAAATTTACCAATTTATAAATATGTATTCTATACAATATAATAATAGCAGATATGAGAAATTGTACAGGCAGAAAAAGTGATATCAAGCAGATATATCCAATATGCATTTGTATGTGCTTCAAGTCTATTATTAATGTACAGTTGAATAGAAAAAAATGATTTAAATAACAGCATTCAAGTTATGTTGATTATTATTAGGTGTGTATAAAATGTTTCAAGTATTTTCTAGAGTTTAATCAGTTAAAGAACTATTTATGATTATTTTTTCATTATTTCTTGATTTCATTACAGCTGATTTTTGGCATATATTGAACATCTTGACTACTTGTTACAATCACAAAGGACATTGATTCACATCTATGTGTATATCTCGTTTAGTAATTAAAAATATGTACAAAGTATCGGTACACAGTACTCTTTGTTGCTATAAATTCATAATTAAGATAATATTTAGTAGTGTTGTTTGCATTGTTTCACCGCCATATTACTTTTTGTTTCAAATTGGTATAATTAGTATAGAAAAAGTCACAAATATGGCTTATTTTATCATGGTCCATATTTGTCAGACTCATTTCTTCTTTTTTCATTTATTTATTTATTTTATTTCATTACATATTATGTTATAATTATTTATTGTATTCAACTGATTCAATATATCCTGATAAATGAATCAAAAATTTAAATTAATTTAAAGCTCTTAACGTAATGTGTTTAAGAACTCATTGAATTTATTTTACAAAGCAGTTATCACTAAATATGTATGTGATGCTTTTATATGTTTGATGTATGTGAAAATTTTATTAGTATCATCCAAGATTGAGTCGAGTGTTTATTACAAGTAGCAAAATAGAGTTGATTTAATGTTGTATAATTTCTTAATATTTTATCTATCAGATCTTTTACATTTATATTTGTTAATATTACTTTGACATAATATTTTGACAAAAAGAAAATATTGATAAAAAAATCATTTTAAAATATCCAAATTCAAGATTTTTACTTGAGAAGTAATTAGTTTTTTTTTTTTTTCATTTTTCATTTTTCTTTATAACATATTTTAATTTTTCACAGTACTATTTATTAAATGATAATTTCATATTTTAAATAATTCTTTAATTAAATTGCTTATTTAAATAAATTAATTAAATGAATGGTAAATTTTTATCAATTATTTACTGTCAATATGCAAATAGAAATACAAAATTGAATAATTATTCATATATGAGTATCTAACGAAAAGGGAAATGTAACATCTTGTATTATTCTACACATATAATTACATTAATTTCCTTATTCTAGTCGAGAGATGTCATCAACTAAAATAAGTGTGTGCGTGTGTGTTTGGAGATAATAGTAGCTAAGTGAAATTGACAAAGTAGGTAAAAGTTTCATTTTAATGTAGGTTTTAAAATTTAGTTATATAATATTTGGATTATTTATATTTATCAATTAATATCATGTTGGTGTGTTTGATAAATATCAACTTCAAAGTGTTTCATTACGTCGTGTAGCCATTTTTGCTGCTCTTGAAGCCAAAGCCCCAAGTGAACAGACTAATCCAGCAAGAGTTTCCCATAGAGTGGGTCTACATCTTTTGATATTATTCTGTTGCCAATATTCATTGGGAAGTTGTCCTTGAAAATTGACTTTATTAAATCCTTTGAAATGATTTGTTTGATTGATAGAATGTGATTTTGGTTGTTGTTTGACAATGTTGGACACATTAATATTATTATTATTGTTATTATTATTATTAGAAGCTATTTGGGATTTATGAGTACTACGTGTACTACTTGCCACTTCATCTGTACAGCTATCATAAGAGTTATAACTTGACTCTGATTCACGGCGTAGCTTGAGTTGTACATTACTCAATCGACGTTCCATCATCATAACCAAATTTTGATGCAATCGATTATCATTATCTTGAATGATTGGCAATGGATAATTAGTACATCTTGAAGGGTCTTTAATGCGGTCTCGTCTACCATTTACATGATTCATATGATTCACATGACGACCTAAATGATTTAAATGACCTGAATGAGCGTTAACTTGTTCTAACAATACTTGTCAGGCGTATTCAGTGTCTGTGGAAGCAGATCTCTCTAGGGGCCCACTGTTGTGGGTTGAATGTTGACCACTAGATGCCAATGATCCACCTTGTGCTTGTTGCTGCTGCTGTTGTTGTTGTTGTGCTTGAGCATATGCCAAACTCTTCTGATAGCTAAACAATTGTCTCTCTAAGCTATAGTTTTCAGCTTGTAACGCAGCTATCTCACGTCGCATTTGTTGATTGTGTACCCGACAAACATCATCGTATTTGTGATAAGTTGCTTGAAATAATAGATGGCTTTCATTCCACTCAATGCGTACTCTCAATTGACCTTTGTCTGTTAGAAAAGGGCAATCATCGTCATTAACTTCATTCACGCCCAGACTTGTTTCCATAATAATACCCTCATCTGCAGCTTCTTGAGCATAATAACGACTAAATGGTGCACCGGGTAGCAAAATTGTTTCTGGATTAGACTCATCGCCTCGTATCAAGTAAGCTGACCAACTGATGTAACGGAGATGATTGCGGGGTACGTTGTGTATATCTTTGTAAACAAGATGCAGTCTTACTGTATCTGAGTGTAGATCAGCACGTATTGTCCAAGCTTGTTTATCTCGATCATAACACGGTGCCGCGGGAAGTTGAATAGATGGTCCTAGTGCTTGAACAGCTATTTCTGATATCGTTCTTGCTTCAATCATTTCCAGTGAAACACGGAGTGTGCCTTTATATGCAATATCTGACCAACGAACCCGAGGATGCCATCCATAACCACGACCTTCAGCATCAGATAGATCTTGAATTTGTCCAGATTCTATTTTTCTCTCACCTTCACCAAGTGTTACATTGTAACGAACTCGACAACGGTGATCAAAACCCGTCAATCTAACTAAATAAACACTAAGTCTAGTATCTGGACGTGTGTCGCTTTCTTTGTTACCCTGTGGATAAATAACTAAATTCCAGTCAAATCCACCAAATGTAAAGTATCCTGTTTCCAATTTATTCGACTTTGGTTGTCCTGCTGTAAATACTCCTGTTGGCATTCGCACCTCTGCTGTGAATATTGTCCTCACATTTGCCATTGACAATTCCAATTGAAATTCGCCGTTTGGGTCAGCGAAATTCCTACTATACAAGTCTGACACGGGAATGTAGTTTCTATTACCTTGCGCTGGTGCGTCATACGTAAACTTGACTCTCTTTCCAGAAAAACCCTCGTTCACCGAAAAATGTTCACGGTTCAATAGTGTGAATGTGAAGTCAACATACACACGAAGCCCTGGTGCTGCTCCTCTCCATACTAGGTACACTCCAAGAACCTGTATCGAAAGATTAATTTTAGATTACCTTCTTTTTTTATATTCTGTTGACGTGCAATATTGAGAAAAAAATTTTTTTTACTTTTTTTTTTTATTTCCACATAATATTTTCTATAAAAACAATTGCCATATTATTATTAAAGCTTATATTAAAATAATTTATTATAAAATTCATAATAATTTTCGAAAAATATTTCTTTTGTTAGCTTGATATTATTTTTTATAAAAACTCATTTATTTCTCAATATATTATTTCATTTAATAGTTTTAGTAAATTAAGTGAAATTACTCCATTTTAGTCAGACATTTTTAAATTGAAAGAAATTCATTTTTATCGACGTGAGATTCTTTAAAAATTCAATTATTAATAAATAAATAAAAAAAATGAAAAAGGAATAAAATAGTTTATTGTAATGGTATTTGAATTTAAATAATAAATATTTTCCCACGATCTGAGTGAAGATGAGTTAGAGTTGATAAATCTTATTCACGCTTAATAAATGGTGTGGTTTAATGTAGCAAAATGAATCTACTATTAATAGGTAATAATGAGGTAAACGAATACCAATTATAGTGACCTAGTCTCTATTAATGGCTATTGAAAAATTAAGTAGGAATGCCCTCATTAGCGATCCTATCTCAATTATCGGTTATGGAATTACATATTGAGGGTCAGTAATATGTAGATCACAGCATTGTTCATTCACTGAATGATACTAAGATATTATATGATAAGATACTTCAAATAATGACATACTTGTAAGACTTTTTATCAGCTCATAAGTTGGGAAAAAAATTATTTCTAATAATTATTAAAAATTATAAATACAAATACAAGCAAATTACTGTATAAATAATTTCACCGCAATTGATTTTATTACTAATTTAATACTAATATCTAATAGGAAATACGTGTGCATTAAATTGACAGGTTTATTATACCGGCGTTGAGATTAATTTGATGCATGTGATAATATTGGAATAATTATTTCAAAAAAAAATATACATTATTATCATAAGCTCATAAGTATAAGTACATCGGTAAAAAGAAATTTTATGTGATGTTGTTAGTGAAAAACGAGTTAAGTACATAATTCAGGTAGAAAAGTAGAAAATGTTACCATTAATATTTTCAGGATTTCACACATGTTTATCTTTTATCGAGTTCAACAAGTTTATTTATCTATAAATAGTTAATTCTTTTTCGTTATGAGAGACATAAAAATATTCAATTTATACATCAAAAGTATCATTAATTAAGAAAGGATTAAATATATGATTAGTTATTACACCTATTAAAGTAAAAAATTTATCGTCTATTGATACATTTAATTAACAAGATAAAAAACAACGTGGCGTACGCTTTTCTTTTTCTATCATGAACAATATATTTGAAATTCAATAATAAATAACTCAATTGTCAGTGATATATTCTATTAAAAGCGCGAAAATGGATTTCTAAAAATATCAAGTTGAAAACAAAAGTTAATAAAAATAGATTTTGGTCTAGGAGTTAACCAAGATAATAAATTGTAAAAATAATTTTTCTTTCTTCATATTTATATCATACAGAAACAAATGATCTAATAGTAATATCATCAATGTAATAAAGATCCAGTTATGAAATATAATTTGTAATAACCATTTCATTTTTTAAAGTTCTACAAATTAAGACATGATTCAATCTTATATTATTATTTCTACTTTATCTTATTGATAAATAAACTAAAAAGTAGTTAAATCAAAAATAGATACATCAAATAAAAATATATTCAGAGTTTGTTTTAAAGTTTTTCTTTATGTCTAGATCTTTGATCCGTAATCTTGAAACTTTTGAGAGCTTAAATTTATCAACAATCAATAATAGGGTAAAGTTATCTAACGTCAGCTTTTATAGTAAAATCCTGCTAAACTTGTGTGCTTGCATCAATGATTTAAATGAAACATCAACTAAAGTTTGAGTTTTTGAGGCTGATATTTATTCGAAAAAAAAAAAAAATATCAGACTGCTGAATATATCCACTTCACAGTCTACAATACATTCAATCTTTTCTTCTCATAACAATTTTATCTTTGGAAAAACAAAGAAACTTTTTGTTATTTATTCTCAAAGAGACTACAAATATCTATGGAATAAATTACCTCTCTTTATTGTAATATATTTTTCATGTAGGTTTTTCGAACTGATATTGCTACCTCATGTCTTGTTTAACAAATCGTGACAATACATGTTTTGCTCCACTAATTTTTATCTTTTAAATTCTACATTAAATAGAACATTGGAAGATATAGGCTACAATTAACACGCTTGAACACATGTTTCAACAGTTATGTACTGTCAAGTAGTTACTATTGTTATTCTTTATTTTTATTTGTTTGTAAAAAAAACATTAATTAAAGTTTGAGTGACAGTCGTTTAGATACAAGAAAAATTTTTTATTTGAGGAAGAAATTTTTTTATTAAACCTTTTTGTTTTAAAAACAGATTCTAATAAAGAAAAAATAATTAAAAGATTTTTTTTTAATTTTTTACTTGATTAACAATAAAAAATTAAATATAATAAAAATAGATATTCTTTTGAAATTTTTCGAGTAATACTTTTTTCTTTAATATTTCAAACTCTTTACAATCATAACAAATATAAAAACCATTTACACTTACTTCATACGATCTAGAGGGCATTCCTATTCAGTTTTTAAGCTTTCAACCACTTTTCATTTATTTATTTATTTTTTTCTTTTTTGTATTCTTCGTATTGATAAAATCCCTTTATGTGAGTGGGTATTAAAAAATGTACTCCAGTAAGTTAAAACCTTATATGATGAAGGTTAAGAGAAAAAAAAACCTCTATAAATTATAATAATAATGAAAAAAAAGACAAGAGTTAATATAATGATCATTATTTTTATTGGAAATAAATGAAGAAAATAATTGTAATAGTTGTTATCAAGATTCTTTGGTTTTAAAATAAAAGTCAAGTGATTTGATATTAATTTTATTTCATTTAATTTCTAATGAATAAAATGCGAAAAATAATAAAACAAAATGAAAGATTTTATTAGCAAAATTATCAAAAACTTGAATGATATTTGTTTAATAACTTTTTTTTAATCAAATGACAAATTTAGTTAGAGTATAAGAATCAATGATCCTTCTCGAATGTCACTATAGTTATAATGAATGCGCAAACTTTAGTTGTCATTTTATAAAAAATGAAAAAAAAATTTCATGTTCTTTAAGAGACTTTTTTATAATGGAATCTTTTTCTCAGTAGATAAAATAATTCAACTTTCACTCATAAAAGTTTATCTGAAATTTCTTTATTCTCTAGCTTTAAACATAAATTTATTAAAAATTAATAATTAAAAAATTTATTCAATATCATCGATAATTTATAAATGCATTCTATTGATCAAATAGTTTTATATAATTAAATATATAATCACTTAAAGAGTATTTATCGATTTTTCTAAATACTACCTGAAGTGGTGAATTACTTTTGTCTTTTAGATTATGATTATTATATTGTGTATTAATTAATAATTCCATAATTATTAAATTCAACATAATTATACCTAATTGATTAATAAATTAAATACAGAAGCTTAATTGATTAAATTTTAAAAAGCTCATTTTTATGGAGAAACTAACATCAAGTAAACATCTTTATTGAAAATATTTTATAAAAATTAATTATACCACTATCCTTATATATTTACAAGCACATATATATTGGAGTAAAATTTACGTTGTAAATATCTTTTAAATAATAATCCTCTTATGAAAAGTAAATGAATAATAGTGTTCTAGGTTTAATTTTATATTGAATGGATATATCGATCCATAGAAAGCCGAGTTTCCTAAGCAATACAGAGAGAAATTTTACATAAAGTGAGTGTGTATGTTTCTTTTTACATTTTTAATTAATTTAAAATAAAATTGAAGAGAAATTACTTTTTTACTTAATGAAATAGTTTGAACTTTTAATATTATTAATATATTGTTTTTTGATTTAATGCTATTTTAACTTTACAATACTGTGTTTGTAATTATCAAATTATTATTTTAAGATAAATTTTTTTATGATATCATACAATTTTTAAATTAATAGAAGAGGATATAGTTAAATGAAATAACTTATTTTAAAGTAAATGATCTCTAAGATTGTTTTGTATTTAGTTTATTCATTACTCTACAATTATTTATATAATGCATATCTGAAAATTTAAATTATTACCGTCGTGAACTCTGTTAAACTTTCAAGGTTCATTTATAAATCTTCTTAAAAGCATCTTAAGCTTTCCCAACGCTCTTCTTACTCAATTCTATGATTCAATACTTTGAAGCTCTTTTAATATTTTATTTTTATATTAAATTATTATATTAAACTAACTTATGAAAAATATCAATACAAAATTACGATTAAAAATATTGATAAAATGATGACTTTAATATGACAAAAAAATTGAATCAATGAGTCATAAAATATTTAATAAAATTGCAAAAATGCAAACTTAAGTGAAACAATTAAATCGGTAATATTTCATGGTCATTGATTTGTCATTGTTTGGAAACAGTAAATTTGATGTGGAAAACAATAATGCACTATTATCATTATTATACAATGGATATTCACTGTTTCGATTTCAGGCAGTAGGTTAGAGGCTTTTAGGGTCAGTCTTTATTGGCTTGGCATAATATAATTTCCCTACACTACTCTAACCCGAACATTTATAAACGGAGGAAGGTGATAAAATTACACAAACGGTTTAAAAGGGAAATTTTTTTTTACCACTTTTATCCCATTTGTTAAAACCCTAATACTTATTATATGCTGGCACTGCTCATTTTTTATTAGGTTAAGAGAAATTTAAATAATTTAAAAAATTCCCACATCAACAGATGGTCTAGTGAATTTGATAAAAGACAAGTCAAGTATGCTCATATATTAATATGATATATGAATTTAAATTATTAGGAATAATAGTTGATAAAATCGATTAGATGTGATGATCTAATAAATTGAAATATTTATTCATCGAATCAGTAAAATGGACTGATTTGATAATTGATATTTAAATCAATGTGACGTGTTTCAAGCTTTTAAATCTATCGAAAAATAAAATAACGGTATTTTATGCGGTAAATAATCGTTAACAAAACTCGAATACGATAAAAGTGACATAAAAATTTGTGTTGTTCTATAAAATTTTCAAGAGGATTACGTCATTTGGTGATGGCTCGTTGACAGCATACTTTTTTAAAAATTGTCAGAAGGTAAAAAAGAACATTTGAACTGTCAAATTTATTTATCATGCAAAGTTACAGGAATTTTCTAGAAACTTGACATATTATCACTTGTCATTTCTTCATGCATATTCGCATATTCGAGGATCAGTCAGCAAAAAATTAACTAAATTTTATATTATCTCTGTCGGTTAATTTCTAGGTTAAACTGTACAAAATAATATTTTATCTTGTAGTTAAGTGAATTAGTCAAATTTTGATGGATTAAATTTCAGTGTGAATTTACGGTAAAACACGCTTTCTGAGATTAGCTATTACCACTATCAAGTGTATGCACAAGAGTCCATTTTAATGAATGATTAATCATTAAAGATAAGAGCATTTATTTTATCATACTTGAATAAATTAATCTTCATCAAATTTATTTAAAATCCTTTCCTAAATTGTGACAAGAGAAGCATAATGAATCTTAATAACTGTTACGAGAATCTACGTCTCTATTGGTTAAAAATAATTCTTTAATTATTAAAAAAGTTTGTAATTAATAATTTTTTCTACACTGGCCATTCAAAAAAATTTTGTATTTGTTTCGATTCTTTTTTTTTTTTTTATTTGTGTTTTTAAATTGTGTTAAAAAAATTCAACTAAAATGATGATAGTACTGATGACCTTGTTCTTCATCATAATAAATGAAATATCTTTATTACATACCTTGTCACCTCGTGAAAAGGCCACAGCCCATTTTTGAAAACCGCAAACAAGCTCTTTGCTGGTTACATCTCTTTCAGGATCACGCACCACACTTCTGGTGACGACAAAGGAAAAGACCCGCGTGCCACCGCGATCTGGTAGCTGCGCGAATCTATATAAGAGAGCCATCACCGCATCACGAGATATCCACTTTTATTTTTGTTTATTCTTCTTCTATTCTCATTTAATTGTCATTCACTTGCTTCTTTTTAATATTATTCAATATTAATTCTCCTTCGCTTCAATTTATCCACCGTGTCGTCACCTGAAAACAGTCATAAACATTCATCATCATCATTCATGTTATAACATAAAATCAATTTTAAATAAATCAACAGCTATTATTTCATTTTGTATATTAAAATAATCTAAGAGAGTAAGAAATAGTGTTATTGTATATATTCGATATGTAATTAAAAACGAGATGATTAATTACTCAGAGGATTAATGGAGATGGCATTAATACTAAATATAAACGTAAAAAATAAAATTGGAGGAGAAATTAAAAGTGGACACGCAATGAATTTTTAAATAAATTAATTAAATTTAAAAGACTTTTTTTATTAATTAATGGTACGAAATTAATTATTTTTTCTTTTTTTCATTAAAAATTTTTAACAAAAAAAAAAATGAATATTGTGTTCTATGTAATATAAAACATGAAATACTTTATTGTTGAAAGTTAATTTTTTCTTTAAATTTTTGGTACAATAATGAACAGTAAGACAGAACAATGCCTTCAGGCGAATCGATTATTTTATCTCTTTTTGAGAGAAATTTTTAAAGAAAAAAACACAGGTACTTTTCTGAGCTCTTAAATGAACTTTTTTTACTGAGCTAAGCAGCTATTTCACACCTTCTTATTTTTTTTCTCTTTGTTTAGAATAAACTATTCTTTGTCTTTACATTCATTTGTAATGTTGGAATATATATGTATATATATTTTTATTCAAGTAAATGCTGTATTCTTGAAATGATTAAAGCTTTCAAGTATCACTCTTGAGTAAATTGCATATCAATGATTAATGAATCTTGGTTAATATAGGGAAATCTCGTTTAAGCTGACTATGAATGTAAATGCAATTCTGTTAGCCGGCATTGACATAGCTATTAATTGTTTGGAAGTAAAGAGGAAATAAGAGCTTTGCTATAAATTGCTATTTCACATTCAGATTTTCATTATACATTTATTTTTGTGAAAATGTTTAAAAATTCGTGAGATAGGTTATTTTTTTCCCCTAGTGAGTTGTGATAAGACTCGTGAAGAATAATTTAGCCAATTTTTAGTCAAACAGACTTATTTTTTCTCCAGTTTTTTTCCAGAATTTCAAAGAAATAAGAATCGAAAATCAGATAAATTACTATGATTAGATTATGATAGAGTATGTACATGATTTTTAAAGAATTCACGACAAAAATTTTCTACTTTTGTTTTAGAATTAAATAATCTTCTTCTATAAATAATATTTCTTTTTTATAGGATGCACAGTACAATATGTATAAAAATTCACAAAGCATATTCTGATTTTTTATTTATCATCTTACAAGAGTAGAATTTCTTATTTATGATAGATATATGTTTTACTGTCGTATGCATTTATGATGGCATGATTAATCTGTCAAAATCATAAAATTCAAATTGATCAACATGACACTATGATTTTATGATTACATTTTATATGAATAAATTTTTATGAATTTTTACTTTTTTATTCATTTATAGAATACTATAAATATTTTACTTTGGATTGAGTTTATAACAAAAAAAAAAATTTTTTTTACGCTTTGTTTATTTCAGCAAGGTGACTAGACATTGAATCATTCGATATTCTGTAGAAAATCCATTTCTCTTCAAATAATTAGAGGTCAAACAAACTTTTAATATTGATCAACTAACTGTATATGTTTTATAAATTATAAATGCAAATTTTATTATCTTTGGTTGGATTTTTTTTTTATTTCGTTAATAACATAGCCAATACTTTATTAATTGCACTTTTAAACTCTCAAGTTTTTTTAAAAACTAATTCAGCAATAATTCGTCTTATTAATTTTATTAGTTATTAAAAGTTTATTAAATAAACATTTTATTAAAAATTTAAATTATTTTTATTTCCAAAGTTAAATTCGATAATAATAAATTTACAAAGTTTTATCATTCTTGGAATGTTATTAATTAGATCAATAAAAAAAAATTTCATGTCTGACCAAAATAAAAAATTTCTACTTTCAAAATATTTATCACAAATAAAAAGGCAAAGAATCAATAAATCAATCTATTGAATCGGAATAGAATGTTTTTAGGTATTTTTTAAATTTACAACAATATCTATAAATCAAAAATAAATATTTCCTAAATAAAAAAATAAATCCCTGATGCATTAAAATTATTTATTTATCGAATTCAAAACTGTAACAACTCGATAAAATTTATTATTTGTCGCAATCAATGTATCATATCTCTGTGTAACAATCACCAGAAATTCTTTATTTCTCTCCAAAACCACATATAATATTCACACACATACATACCGGGAATTAGAACTATTATTTATGTTTCATCAAGCCTAAAGTAGAACTATAAAATTATCCCACTGAAATTTTCAAAATAACCATAAATGTGGTTACATCTACTCCTCCCCCCCCCCTATTTAATATATCATTTAACATCCACCATAAACATAAATCCGATTAATTTATTATTAAACAAAAAAATTAAATTATTCAAGTTTATATATAAAAAAATCAATCTGTTATTCTGCCGAAACAATTTATACCATTTTTATTATCACTAGATCACGTTATTTCGATCGAATACTTTTACTGTTAGATAACTTATCGTGTTTCGTATATTCTATAGATGTATAGCTGGTATCGTACATATAATGTGTACAAACTTGATCTTCAGTTACCTATGTCAACATGTGACATGCTAACAATCAATCTGTTTCGCGGTCGAAGACGAAACGAGCTTCTATTAAAAGGATGACGTTACATATACATGTATATTACACACAAACAAACTTGTACATTTATCATACGAGTTTATATTATAGTTGTCACCATTCGACAAGTTTACATTGACTAATGACAGACGTTATGCCTTAATGTTGCAAAAACCTTGTCGTAAATACGAAAATAATAAACTAGAATGATTATACTTAAAACATGGTGTTTGAATAAGACTACAATCATTGACGATGTTTACATATAAGCTAATATACCTGACAAATGTATTTTTTACACGTGGGCTTGTATATTATGAATGCAAAATACTCAAGCAATAAAAGCCCATTTATTATTAAAAGTCAACGTACTGGCATTCAGTGTAATAACACATTGGAATAACTTGAAGGTCAAAATACTTTAACAACTCAAGTTTTAAAGTACAAAATTTTCTATTTTTTACATATATATGTGATGCAATAATCATATATATATATATATATATATTAAAAATCCGTTAGTCTCCATGCTTGTACAGGCTTCAAGACCAGGTGAGTATTGATCGGCAGCTAGTTGTGCAGGCGAACTCGGCCCTCGATCTAGGTTCTTCCCTGGGACGAAATAATCTCAATCTCAAAAGCCACTCATACGGTCGACGTGAAGATGTACATAACCCAAGAGAACAAGAAAATGGATAGAGAGAAGAAAAATAATGCAAGATTTAAAGAAAAACGAGAAAACATGTTGAAGGATACATATGAGATAGAGAAATGTTTTATTATTCCCAACTGTTGCATAAACTTATTTCTTTCATTTATCAGTATGTGTGTATAATATTATTTTTCCTTACGTCTAAAATGACCACATTGAATTCACAGTGATGCTTATGGCAAAATAATATTGGATTGTCTTCAGAATATAAATACACACTGGTATCTATTATCCCTATATGGCATGTGTTATATACCATGTACACAAATATACAATTAATTATTATTTATCTTTATTTATTTATCTACGTGATCGTCTTCATAAATCAAAGAAATTGCGAAACGTGATACACGCTTGTGCTTGTTATTTCCACAGTAATAAATGTCATTTTTGACAAAACCTATAGATACATCAATCGATGATGGATATTAATACTGATGATGACCTAATAAAATGGAGCAACAGGCAATACAATGTCTTGATTGAGACCGAATCAACAGAATAGACGTTTCAGCGCGCGCACATATATTACTCACGATCTAGAGGAGTGTGTAAAAGAGAGAAAACCCATTACTCAATTAACGAAAAAATTATGCTTTAATTGCAATCATGAAGAACTACAATGTGATTAATGAAATTGTTGAAAAAAAAAAGAGGAAAAAAAAATTGAATCATCAATTTTTTGTTTTTCGTCGGATACAAAATATTGAAAAGTTATTTTTCTCGATATCAAACACGCAATAGTGTAATAAAAAGTTGGGGAAAAAAAAACATTCATGTTTGACGAACGATGGAAAGAAAATATTTCCATCGATTAACAGACGTTTAGGTTTGAATGTTATAAATATTGAGTAAATTCAATTTATTATATATAACAAATTTATATGACGAAATAAAAATTACTTACTAAAATATTCAAAGACCGATCAGATTGAAATAATATTAGGCTTTGCATTGGATAATATTAATTAATGTAACATTTGTTTCTTTTATTATATGATGGAAATCAATCATTGTCTTTAATCTTGAATTGAAAAAAAATTAAAGATATATTTTATCAATCTCTGTTTAATATAACAGTTGAGCAACTATAAGGACATTTTATTTGACATTTTTTTATTTCCTTTTTATCTACACGATTAATCTTACTCTATTCAAAGCCTTCACAGTCGATATAAACTATTTTCTTTGATATTAAAGTCGAATAAATACGCACAGGATTTTATTTAGGATTCGACTGAAATTGCGTGTGAATAAGGTGACTGGCATTTTTATATAAAGGTCGTTAAGGATGGTATATTATGTATCCATCTATGTTTTTTTAAATCACGATACATTTTTCATTCTACAGATATTCTTCAATAACCGGATGACAGTATGATTATTTCCCCATTTTTCCTTTTTTTCTCATGATCTTCAGCTTCCGACCTAGTTACCTGGGAAGGTCCATTTCTCGACTAAAAGGTGGGCGACGAGGTACTGCATACTAGAGAATAAAAGTGTTAACTGTAGCGAAAGATTATCTTCAAAGTCTACTTCTCACTTTATAATCAAGAATCATTATCTCTATATTTATATTTCAAAATTTAACATTTATTTTTATTTTGACTCCATAATGTACTCTTCCTTTCCAATGGAAAAATTCAAACAAATTCTTTACTATAAATATAATTTATTTTTATTACTTGCCATATAACAATAGCTGCAAATTAGGAAAAAAAAAATGATAAATTCGCGTCCTTTGAATTTAATAAGCATAAAAATGAGATGGAATTTTTTTTCATATCAACAAATTGGTAACCGATATTCAAGAATAATATATTCAATTATGCAGATTCTTTGAATTGTTTTTTTTTGTTTTTGTGATGTCATAAAACTATAGGAAGGAATAATAAATTTAGTAGAATAATAAAAAACGATGGCTGGAGCTAGGGTATTGTATCTATATCATCTGCGGAATGTTATACATCCAACCAAGCGGTTCAAGGCACATTGATGGCCTGACCTCCACCAAGATTATACATATAGTTGCATAGTAGTTATGTAGTTATGTTGTAGATGTAAAATTTTTCAAATTTCCCAAGTATGATATTTCAAGTCTTGTATGATATAGCTTACTCATTCAGTGGTATCTTATATGACATACAAAACAATGTGGAAAGTCTAATACGAATGAGAAATACATTTTTAGATGTTAACATATCGATAAAATGTGCATCCTATAGTTGAAATACATTTTATAAATCCTACTTTTATAGTTACAAAATATTGTATAACTTTTTTGATTACTTTATGCAAAAAGTGTGTAATATTTTTCCAATGTTTGCTGTAGACACAAAGTCATTATTGAAATGAATGATTATAAATTTGGATTAATCGTATGCACATATACAATAGACATGTAAATATAAACGTACATAAATATTATATAGACTATATTTAAATAATACCACCTGGACTAAATACATATATAGTGTATTCTTTTAGTTTGACTTGGGTAAACTTGATGCTTTATTTTTTTTTTTGAATATTTTTAATTCATACTACTCCAACCACCCGATTGTTGGATTCTGCTAAATTCAATTCCCGACTGTGCATACATTAAGTATCATCACTCAAAGTATGACTTAATCTAAATATCTTCAACTATTTGAATTTTTGAGCTTGTTTTTTTTTTCTTCAGTTAAAGTGTATATTTTCTGACATAGGCTGATTATGGTCGATACAATAATAGCAAACTAAACTATTAACATTCGAAATATGGCTCAATAAATTTGACTAATGATACTGAAATTTTTTAATACTAACAATAAATTTATATTCATCACTTTTTTTCATATCCATAAAAATCGAAATTCATCGGAAATTTTAGCCAACTTTTTATACTGTTATTGTTATTTTGACAGTGATGTTAATTGATTGCCAATTGTCGAAATAATTGTTTTGCTTTTCTTTTATTTCCTTTTCGACAAATAATAAATAATTAATACATTTTCGAATTAAAAGAATTACTATCATTTTGAAGATACAAATTGATGATGTATCAAATTTTTTTGCGTAAATAAATAAGAGTAGTGATTTAATTAAAAAGTTAATTTATAAATGAGAAAACCTATTGTGAAAACTGTCACAATAGAATAATTAATATATATATACATATAGTACATTTTATAATACAAAAGAAATGTGTTCCAATAGGGACAATTACGTACCTGTTACTCTTGGCGATGACTATTTTCCGTCGTCTGTTTTATTTAATTTATTTATGATTTTTATTCAACTGCAACATGTAAAATTGCTGTTGGCTCAATTTTCTAACAAGATCAAATAAAAGACTGATCACAGCACGTACTTATTCGCGCGCATTTGTTTTATTAAAATCCACAAAGAGACATGCTAATATAGAAATGATTGATAATGACAATGTGAGTAAAATTTATAGAATATTTAAAAAATATATTAATATAATTATATATTTATGTATATAATTAATTATTATTTAAATACTATTGATTGTTTGATTTTCATTTGTTGGCGGTCAATGACCGAATGACCGTACAACGAGATTCATAGTCAGTCAGTACACTAATATGTGCACTAAATGTTTTATTACTGATAAACTAAACGTGAGCGTACGCATCATATCACGACGCCGCTCTAACGGCGTTTCATCGCTCGACCCGGGCTTGCGTCGTCTTTCCACCCTGCCACATTATCCTGTTCAACGTTATATCAGCGCAAGCGTAATGATAGTATTTTATCACATATAACAAATATAACAATAATAACAATAAATGTACCTGACAAACAGTAATAATTGAGGTATATATAATTCATAACTAATCTTTCTATTTAATCATGTTTTATTCGTGAATAAAATTCGCATTTTCACCCATTTATTTTTACTATTTTTTAGACAATTATTTCCTTAACTTATCATTCACTTATACCTCTTTTATTCTATTATAAATCCACTCTGAATCTGATAATATTTTATCGCACTTCTATTCCTTTGACCAACATCAAAAGTATTATTGTCACAAGAGTTTTTTTTTTGTCATTATTATACTGGAAAATGTAATATCAGATATTGTTGATTGTTGCTTTTTCATTTTAGTTTTTTGTTTCATCGGGCTTTGAATTCATCCATCAACAATCGATTGGTACTTACACAAATACATCGAAATCAACCGGAAAATGAGTGAATAGTGTATTGACATCTTCAGCGGTTTCGCAATTTCCACCTTGTAATTTGGATAGAAATTGAATATCCTCTTTGTACAAAAAAAAAACCCCTTTGTACTTACTACCGTTGTTAGTATTTTATGCTCTCGTTAAAGCCTGCGGGTATATAAAGTACAAGAGACAAAGTAATAAGCGCCAAGAAGGGTCTATGGGTTATTCCACAGGTGTGAATAACCGGACCAATAGATGCATCTGACGGACAGTTAATTGGAAGGAGAACGTAACAAAAGGCTGTGATTGTACGATGTCGTTTCATAAAATTCGCATGCGCGTATTTTGCAATTACTTTTATGCGATAACTACTAGCTACGTATGACCTAACATTGACTTGTTCTTCTGACTTGGCTTGATCGGTCAAGGCTGCATCTATCATCTACACATTTTACTTTGTTTATTAAACTAAAAAATATTCAATTAATTTAAAAAATTTATAGCTCAATTTATATGCTATTTCATTCAACTACAAAAGTTTATATTTATTTAAGTTAATGTTGAGCGAATCATCAGTGTAAGTCCAGTTGATAATTATAATAAAAAGGTCATGGCTATATTTATTGAAACAGATGTGCTGATTAGATACTTCGGATAGTGGTACTATTTATAAATAAAATACTAAACTTCGATTTCATTTACTACAATCAATTACATTACTCGAACTTGTGGTACAAAATAATAAAAGAGAACCAATTGATTGTAAAAATGTATTGCAATTCGATAAAACTATCTCCACTTACTTACTTCTATCACAGGACTTTTTATTGATCTGTTAATTAAAAAGAATGTTCAATAATGAAAAAAAAAAAAAGGAAATTTTTAAATAAAACAAATTATTTTTTCATTTTATATTAATTAATTTAGGCTTGTTTAAAAGTTACAATTAGTACAACTTATTTTAATTTATGTTCAACTTGATGAATATACCGCAAGTAGTTATAAATATGACGAATTTACATTATCTGTATAATTATCATTAATATTAATGTTAATATGTTAATTGTTGTAAAGAATGTTAAGACTCTGACAGTATGTCTTCTAAAGTTTTATCATCATGAAGTGGTGAATGACCTAAAGTAGGATCACTTTCTAAAAATTCTCGTAGTTCAGATTCAAGATCATTAACACCAGAAGTTTCAGGAGCACTTAAAAGCGCAGTTGTTGTTTGATTATGTGGCAATCCAATTTGGATTTGCATTGGAGGTTGCACTGAGTTTACAAGACATATTGTTGGTTGATTTAACTGATCACTAGATTGATTATTAATAATATTTGTTTGTATAGCTGACATGTTGAGTATTAAATTTGATGCAGGTAATGATTGGTTAAGATTAGATTGGTTGATAAAATTGTTATCCGTGACAATGGTTGGGTTGTGTGTTATGGGATCAACTTCCATTGGTTCAGGTCCACCAACTGGCGCTATACCCATAGCTCTCCTTAATCCATCGATTGGTGCTATAGCTGACGGTGGCAATTTCTTAGCTATCTCTGTTATATTTTCAGTTATTTTTCCGGCAAGATTGGCTTCATTGTCCGATGCTTTAAGAACAGCAGACAAGTGTGCAGGTGGTGGAACTGACAGTCGTTCATGCTGCACTTGACGGAGTCTTTCCAACATCTGCGATGTATCATCGAGACGGTTTTGTATTAAACCACGCTCTTCATTGAGTATTATTTCTTTTTCTGAAAAAGAGATATAATCATTTATATTTCTCTTCAATTGTTGTTATAGTATAAAATTAATTGACTAGAGGAATTTCAAATTTAACTTGTTCGTTAGACAGGTAACATAGTGAAATGTATTTTAACCGACGAATAGGATTCTCTGTTAAATAGCAATTTTATTTCTAAACGTTGTAATTTTAAATTGAAATAACCATTTACGTAAGCATACTGAAAATTCACGTGGATAATAATATTATGTTTGGAGCTATTTTATGGGTACTTCATAAACTTAAGAAATTGATTAAAATATGCAAACAAAACAATGTATATTTTTGTCTATTTTTAACGACAATGCTTTTCTTTTCTAAAGTTTGTCGTTTTTTTTTCTTTTTTTTTGCTGTAATTACTTATTATTCAACGTGGATGAAATATTAAAATTTTTTTCTACATTCATAAGCAAACATTTGAAAAGATGGGTTGTTAATAATCCTTTAATTCGTCACCAAATTCACCCACTTAACTTATTGTGGTATTATTTTAATAATTAGAATGGAAAAAATGTTTAATTCTCTTCAAGATATAAAATATGAAAAAATATCAGAATAAAATCAAAATTTTATGCTCAGTAAATCTAGTAAATAGTGCACTAGGGGCTTTTGTATTTATTTACAAATCAAAATTGCTCAGTTAATTTTATATGAGTGTAAAATGCGAGAAAAAATGTTGGAAAAAACGTACATCATTATTTAAACTGTGCAGAAATATATATATTTTAAAACATATATTTTAATATATTTTGTAGTTTCACGAATAATAAAAAAAATCAAACACAAATATGATAATTTTTTCAATTATGTTTCAAATTCTTGAAAAATTTCAAATTAAATATGATTGTGTCAATTAAAAGAATTGCTCTCTAAATGTCTGATCACTTGTTAAAGATACGAAAGAGAATAGAACCAGTTTAATTCTAAAATATTTCTCATTTTGATCTGACTCATAACTAAAGTACTAGTTTGTAAAAATATTTAACGGGCTAAAGAGTGTTTGAAAGTAGGCAACTTAATGATAATATAAAACTTACCCAAGTCATCTAAAAAGTTAGTATTAATGCCTAGTTCAGTCAAAGTTTTCAGTTGATCCACATCGACTTTGATCCGATCAAGTTGAATACTTTTATTATTATTACAAAATTGTTGTGTTGGCTTTTCCAGTAAATTTTTAATACTCTCTTCTTCCTCTCTAAGTTTCTTTTTTTCCTCCAAAATCTTTTTAGTTTTTTTATGATCACCATTAGTGAGAATGTCCAATAAATCATCGACTAAAGTAAGAGTATAATCACAGTCTTTCGCAAAATCTAAAATAGATTCAGCATACTGCACAGCTGTTTCATCGCCGTACGTTTGATAAACAAGTTCTGTTTCTTCTTTAGTAAGATTTGAAAAAGTAGAATCATAACTGGGTGCGTATGAGCCAAATGCACCATAATACAAAGATTTTACTGGTTTTGACATATTCCTACGATCTTCACGAAAACCTGCAAGATTTCCAGTACCATGACTCAGTTTACCAATTAACTGACCAAGAGAGACTGGTCTTTGGTTGGTTCCAGGTATTACACCATCGCCATGTACGATTATTTGTAAACTTGTAGTGCCGTCTTTTTTCTGCCGAAGGAAACCCATTTTGGAATTTAACCGTTTCATTGACAATTTATCGGACGCCGATTTAGCAGCACCACGTGCTTGTTTAAGTATTTCTTCAGGTGTAAGATCATCTGGTATTGCTTCAAATTTACCTAGATTAGCTAGTTGTAATTTACGTTCATTCTCCTTCTTTATTTCTTCAGCTTCTTCATTTTGATCTTCTTGTTCTCGTTCTTTTTCAAATTGTTCTTCAGACATAAGTACGTCGGGATTATTTGGATCTTCAAATCCTAACTCAAAGCCTAATTCGTCTTTTGTAATATCATGAATGTAGGTTAAGACAGACCGAAGTTGTCGTATTTTTTCTGGTGTAACCATCTTCAAGCCAACATGCAGAAGCTTTTTAGCTGCTTTATAATAAATAGTATCTGAATGATTATAAATCATTGCATTATCACACATTAGTTTAAAATCACCAATAAAATCATTCAAACTTTGATAGGTATTTTCATCTATTTTCTGCTTTATTGTACTAAAGTCCATAGGATTTGTGATAATTTGAGAGTAACCAGGAGCAATATTATCCGTCACTGGCCATGCAAAAAATTGTTGTGGATCTCGTTTCTCCATTGATCTAAGTAAATGTTCTAGAAGCCTTTGTAGAGGACTTTTTTCTGCAATCTTTTTCAAAACACAACTTCTTGGTTCTCGATGTGGCGACAAGGAACTTCCATTATTACTAACAGAGTTGTTGCTACTTTTATTTTCTGTACTTGAAAGTTTCACTGATACTGAATGAAGATGATTATGATGAAGATTACTGTGATGATTTAGCACTTTTTTATGTCCCTCTAATAAACTTTCATCTGCATCACCAATAGATTCCTGGCTTGATTCTTCTCTACGTCGTTTCTTTTCTTTATGATGATGTTTATGACGTTTGTCTTTTTTCTTCTTTTTTTTCTTCAACTTTTTATGTCCACTGACATATTTTTCATATTCCGACTCTTGAGTTACTAAATAATTGTGACCCAATTGTTGTTGATACTGCTGATGTGATAACATTGTTGATTGTTGATTAAACGAATCGTTTGCGTAGTCTACTGTACTATTTCCACCAACTTTAAGGATTAGTTTTAATGCTGGCGGTTTTTCGGCATTCAAGTAATTGCTTTCTAGAATTTAAATAAAAAAATGGATCAATATTAACTTTACTTAACTTTATATATTAATATTTTGACGATACTTTTATGTAAAATAGATAATAACGAATATGATGGTAATAATAGTGATATTGGTAGTGATAGTTGAACAAATGTTAAAAAAAAAAATGTATGCGCATGTTAATTTAGAGATGAAAATTTAGTGTTTGGTGAATGTTCATGCAGAGTAGAAAATCTACTTTTACGAGCAAAGTGATGATATAACATGAGAAAGCATACCAATATTCCATATTCTATGAAAAATCTTTAATTTTGTAATGCATGAGATAAACAACAATTTGTTTTGTTTTTACATTAAAATAAATCAAGCTTAATAAAACATGTCACGTGTTGATAATAAAAAAAATCGAATAAAAGAAAGGTGATTTGTATTAATGACTTTGTCTTCACTTGAAACGAACTGAAAGCGAGTTGGAAGTAAATTTTCTCATGTTGTGAGGAACTGAATAGTTGGTAAAAATATTTTAAACTTTACAAATAATGCGCAATACAATTTCAACATCAACTTGAATACAAAAATAAAGTTAGTTTTACAACTTAAAAAATATCTATTTTAGGAGTCAATATTAAAATATTTAATATCAGCAAATATATTAATTTGCCAAAATATTGATAACTTACTAAAGTGATATCTTCTTTCCTCACATTTGAATTCAAATTGATATTAAGTATTTATCATATAACATTGTACATGTTATAATACATGATATGTATATATATATATATAGTAATTATTGTATATACGTAAAGTTGAAAAAGGGGATTGGGAAATGAGAATAATTTCCAAAGCATAGACTAGCTTTTCTCGTGCAACTAATCCAATTTTTGGAGTTACCCCTAACTTACTTTCACGTTGTACCTCTTGCTATGGGAACCTTCTCAATATTTTCCAATTCACCTTACTTCTACTCCAATCTCACTTAGTTCAGTTAGCCCATGGTGAAAACGCAGTCAATATTCCTGTACACCATTAAACCATGAGTACAAGATAATGAGGATTCAAACAAAAATAATAATGATTACTTTTCATCATCATTTATTTTATTTGATCCTCCTAAATAAATCGACGTACAATACACTAAGGTATTTGTAGAACAATAAAAACAACAACCAATCAAGTTTACATTCAAATCGATTTAGTTAAGTATTATATTATGATGGTTATCATGTTCCAGTCGAATTTTACATTTTATAATTGGTCATTATGATTGGATATTTCGAATTTATTTTTATCAAAAATAGCACCGTCTCCATCATGGTTGTTATTGTGATACTTTAATAATGAATTTGGAATTATATAATATACAACCATTAATCAGTTATGTTAATACAAATAAATATGGATTTAATATGAATCTGATAGTTATAAGGTTTTATAAATATGAAATAAAAAAAATATATACAAAAATAATTGATATTTGAGCACAACATTTAAATATTTACTCATAAATTGCAGTAAATATAATAATTGTCATGCGAGAGAACCAAACAGTGCTTGCTAATAATTTTGATAAAAAGAATCACAGCATTACCCTTTTATGTAGGATTGAAAAATCAGAATAATTCAAGAAATAATAATAATAAGAAAGTAAAGAAGAAAAAGATCAAATATACTTGGATGTTTTTGTACATGAAAATGATTTTATTTTTCTTTACCTTCATGACGTTCACGTTTGTGCTTTTTATGTTTCTTAGGACCCATGGTATGCATTCGTGCAACAATTTTAAAAAAAAATTCGTTAAAAATGAAATTGAAAGGTCCTTATTTTCTCCTATAATATGTTTTATAATACACTGTATTGTATTTTATTAATTATTAGGAGTACACGTTTGGACGCCATTAAATGACAGTCGACTGTATTGTGTTGATGCTATATACATCTCTATATTTTGTGTACTTAGATATCGTTACATAAACTATACACTACATATGTTTGCGTCATAAAGGTGCATTTGCACTATAAAGAAGAAATATTAGCTGTTTATTTATTTGTTTCTAATATTTTCAAGTTTTTTAAACCAATTAAATCATTAAATTCATATAAAAATTTTATCATTTTTAAATAATAATGAACAATTTTATTATAATTTAATTAGTGATTGAGGCATCATAATCTTATGAATAATTAATAATGTTATATGTATATTTAATGCATATTTTAAATTTGACGGTTATTATTTAAACAGGTACCTTTTTATTGTATATATGTAAATTTTATACATATGAAACAATGAAGCCACATAATATTTTAATATAACACAATCATTTTTTTTTTTTTAATAATTTTTATAATGAAGAGAATGAAAAAAAAATCATTATTATTATTATTATTATTTCTTAATGATATTTTAAATGAATGCAACTCAAACTGCAAATATTCGGTCATAAGATGGAGCCAACAATCATCAAGTATTAAAATCACGTGACTTTTATTTACAAACTATTAAACGGTTTCAATGCATCAGCGCCTCTTTTCCAAAACATTCAAGAATATTATGTGATGACTCAGTCTTAGCAATAGATAAGATAAAATTAATTAATTAATTGATATTTAATCGACAGTTAAAATTACGTAAATTTAATCTTATCATTGATATCGGAAACAATTTCTTAACATTAATTAAATACATTGACGTCTATGAAAGCCTAAATAAATATTTTTTTTTAGTTTTCTCTGATGATAAGTTGACTAGTTGATAAGAATGTCGATTGAGAGCGCTTATATGTTTGTGCGCCAAATTACAATTTATCTTTCGTTAAAGCAATCAACAATATATTTAAATATCCTACTAAATTTTATATGCATCTTTAAATTTATAAGAAAAAAATTTTTAATTTCACAATAATTTAAAGATTTTACTTTATTATTGTTTATATTTATTAAAAATTAATTTATTTCAAAGTTGATGAATTTTTGTATAAACAATCCAATGTTTACAATCGACACATCAAAATTCTGTAAGTAAAACTCTATTTTAAATGAAATAATTAACAAATAAATCCCGAAAACTATTTTTCTAAACAATAGGCTTAAATTGAATGCCATCTATAGTAGTTTTGACAAACTACGAAAAAATATCAACGACTGGAGTGCAGAAATGACGGTTTTTTAGATACTATTATTATTATAATCGTTATTGTGGCTATTATTGATATTATTATTATTATTACTACTACTATTATTATTATCGTTGCATGTTGAATGATATATAGAATCCAAATGTAAAATTTCACGTGTAATGTGGTTGAGCTGCATTTAGGAGTGGTGTTGCTAATAGAAATAAACAATTTTCTATAAAATAACATTTACTAGTAATTAACAATGACAACTAACATTTGAATACGATTTGTTATGAATTATGATAACATAAATAATGTAATTGGGGGTAGGACTGTGTAATTGTATAAATTCTCATGGTAATTAAGCAGTTAGTGTTTCGTATTAGTGTGCGTTGAACTGTTTTACGTATCGCGTGGATCGCGTTTATTACTTTGTACGTAGGAGGAATCAGAAGCAGAAGGAATAACTTTTACGATTCAGTAGTGCAGCTGCGCTCGAATACAAAAACGTGCTCTGCAGTTAGTAGCGTTCTTTTCTGTATATATCTGTATCTTTTTTTTTATCCCTTTTAAGTCTTACAAATAGTCTTTTCCAATCTTCGGAGTTTACATTGAGTTTTGCTAAGAGAATTATTTTTTTCCCCCCTTTTATTTAATATTCAACTACAGTACTTTTTGTTGACGATGAATTAAGAGAAATAATTTTTTTTTTTTTCTCTCGAAAATCGTTTGAAATAAACTGGAGTAGTAAAAATATTTTTTATACCGGCGAATGGAGAATTCATTTACAAAACATCGAAGAAAAAAGAGTGTAGGAGATTGAATTTCAAGTAAACTATTGATTAAATCAACGTATTTCAACTGATCAACATATCTGTGACTTATTTATTATTTTCTTTTTTTATAAAAAAAAAAAAAAAATTAAAAGATTGTGCAATTGTTACTTTTAATTGATTTTTGGGTTTAAATAAAAACCATCAAGATGCAAGAACGATTTATTGTGACTCCAGCCAATAACAGCAATGCTCATTACGATTGTGGTGTATTACAATCGAATCAATCGTCTGCTCATGACTATGGTGAGTTAACTTTTTTTTTTTTTTGTTTTTTTCAAATAAAAAAATTTTTTCTGCTGTTAAATAAGCAGAGTAGTCATGATTAAAATATTTCGATGTAATACATAAGTCTGTTATTGGTTAGTGGTTGGTTTAAAAATTAATCCAATTCATTCAAGTAACATTATTATGACAGCGAATCGATATATATGTATGTATATACATATGGAATATGCATAATAATAGTATACTCCAGCGAATATATGTAGCTATGATTCCTCATAATCATCAAAATGTTAATGGCCTTCTGTTTATATTCAGAGACAAATATTTATCTCGGAATTCCCGTGTGATAGTATTAAAAGAAGAACAATAATCACATTTTGTAGCTCTTTTTTTTTTTGTTTTTGCTAATGTCCTTTGCCAAATTTATGTTATAGATAAAATATTATATCAAGTTTCATAAAATAAATTAACAAAAATTCTTTGTGAAATATTTTTTCATCCATAAACATTACACATGAATGAATAATTTTGGAAATTTTAATACAGATCTCATTCCATAAATTATCATGTATTAATAGGATAAATTAGAGCATTTTATATATAAAAATAGCTGGAAAATTTAGTTTCATAGAGACAGTAAATAATGAATAGTATAAAAGCTGAATACCCATATTTTTTATCACATTTGATATTTATTTATTTCAATAGAGATAATAGTTATTGCTAAACTAGTCAAAGTTAGATAAATCTCATCTAAATGTGTAATATTATCTGTTTTGTTAGATACAGAGATAGAAGTGGATCTTTAAACATTCTAATCAATTAACATACCATTTTGTATCATTTTGACAGTGTTGATAGGATAAACAAACATAAAATTAAAAATTAAAATGATTGAAAAATGAGTTTTATAAAAATGTTAAATGATAAATAATTATTTCAATGTATTATTTGTTAATTCCCTTGAATATATCCTCCAGTGGTCCAATAATAAATTTATTCCAACATGTAGAGTTTTAAGTGATTTAGTTTAACACTACTGGAAACCATAATATTATTTTAGCTGCTACTTTAATTGTACAATAAATGTCACTATTTAAATGTTGGTTGATATTGTTCATGATATACGATTTTCAATTTAGTAAATTTATGAATACTTGTTACTATTTATAATCAAAACTCTATACAATTAAATCTATCGTCAAACTAAATGGGATCCATCAAAAATAATAAGTCAACAAAAAAATTTTCTTTAAAAAATTTATTGTATTGTTAATGAGAATAATTATTTTATAAAAATAATATTGATAATGATGATAAAATCATAAAATAATCATGCAGTGTGATTAAAATAATTGCAAGTATCGATCATAATTACACATGCATAAGATAACATTTTAGTGATAAAGCAACATCGATAATAGATAAGACTGTTTATAACATAAAGGGTGAAGTCGTCACGAAAGCCAAAGTGTCAATACAAAGACTCCTGCACTGTTGCTATAGAAGCTGATATTTGAAGGTCGATAATCGGAGCACCCTTTAGCTTCTTTACTTCAATTTTCAATACGACTGTTGAAATATATCACAAATTTATTATTATTTAACTATTGTATTTTATCAATATAAAAATGCGTTCAATCTACCTTTTCTTATGAAATCTTTTATGCTGCATACGTGTTTTTATCCAATTCCAACTTGCATACAGTGCATATATTGCTTTTAACAAGGTTTCACATATTGACGCCTCGTCAATTGATTTGATGACCTAAATGCTTTCGCTAAAGAATAATTGAGAAATTTATTAGTCTATACAGACGACAATAACTCTTACGTAGTAAAAAGTTTGAATCTGTATCTAGTCAATTGATTTTCGTGTTTGGATTGATTAGAATTCATCATCAATATCATCTTGATATCAATATCATTCCAAGAAAGGAATTAATCTGTTTTAATATTTATCTTTTTATACTCATTTTAATTAATGATATTTTTTGAATAATTTTATTAATTAATATTCATATTATTCATATCGAGAAACCTTAGAGATTGATTTGATAAATTTGATAGGATCTTGGGATATTTGAAATAATTATTAATTATGTTATCAGAACAAATAAAATTTATTTCTCATTCAAGAGTAGAATAGTATAGTTTTGATGATTCAATGTACAAAGTTGTTAATAATTTTTTTTCTTTATTAATAATATAAAAAAATTTAATGTAATATGTTTGCACAACAACTTAAAAAGTTTTAATAAGACTTTATGAGCTAGCAATTTGAAGAGATGTTGGATTCCTTAATTGAGAGTTCGTAGAAGTGAGAAGTGAATAGAATGTAATATTAAAGTAAATATGTATCAAGATCAAAGAAAACGAAATTCGACTGAATTTTATCTCTTAAATTGGAGTTATTAATATAAATTTCCCGTGTCATAACTAATTTCACTTCATTGAAATTATTTGTGCTCCAATAATTAAGACAATATTAATTATTCCAAATTGTATACTCGTTATTGTATCGGATTCAAACTTAATCACTGAAATATTAAAGTTGAAGTTATTTATTAATTATTGTCAAATTTCTGTCACTTAAAAATACTTTAGGTGATAAGGTATGGTGATTAGTGTTGCATTCATTATCGGTATGTCATTAGTGAAAAGTAGTTATAAAAGATGAGTAAGTATAGAAACCGACAATTGTCTTTATCTTCAACTCACATTCTAAGATTTCTTTCTGGAATTTTTTAATCCTTTGTTTGTTCATTCGTGGTTTGCATAATAATTGATAGGATTATTATCAATATATCAGTAAGATCGATGATAACTAAAAAAAAACTCTTGATTATTAATTTGAAATTATTATTTTATTCGCGCTTTAGCTGAGTTCAATCAAACTTTGAAATAAAAAAAAAATATATTGAACAGAATAAAGTTTATGGTCTTTGTGATTACAACTTAAACTAGAATAGAGTAATTGCAAATTCTACATTGACTTTTCATGAATATTCAACTATATTTATTGTTATTATTATTATTAGTATTGAATATTTAAATTCAATTTCATTTAAATTCCTCTTTGTAATTTTATTTAATATTGTTGAATATTTGGATGTAATTAGTAACATGAAAGTATTAAAAATAGTAATGTAATTTTTTAGAGCAAAATTATTGATCTTATGTATTATTGACCTCTGGAACTATTCAAGGAGTATACTTTATTTATTTGTTACTTCCTTATTGTTGTTACACGAGAAAAAAGATGGTATATTTTATTTTACATTTTATCTATAAAATTCTTTTTTTTCTTTAAAATAATGATACTTTCTTCACTATTCTAGTTACTTTTTTTCTGATAAGATTCTTTGTTATTTTTAACATTTTTGAGCATAAAAAAAAAAAAATATTAGTTTATAAAAATTTTGTATTTAATTTTAAAAAGATTTGTTTAGAGAAAAGAAAAAAAGGCAAACGATTGAGTTAGAAGGAGATGTATGGCCTCCAGGAAGTAGATGGTCAGGGCTCCTTGATAGATAAGACGTTTACGAGATAAACGGTCAGGGTTTTTTGATAGATATGGTCTCAGCTAAAATCCGAATTATGGTTGATGGTTTTTCTTACAGTTTATTATCGATTTCTTCATCAGTTTAATTTATCCGATAGAGTTGTTATAAGTTTCATACAACACACGGTTTAGAACTTGAGTTACATGTACAAGAAATCAGGGCAAGATAGTCCCTTTGAGAATTTTATTGATTTAATGGGAAATCAATTACTACATTTTATCGTACCTGATCTGCAAACATTCTTTTATTATTCAATTCTAGAAAATTATCTAAAAATAAGTCTATCTGAGTACAGTCGAATACAATATATTAAATAAGAATATAAAACAAAAGAATAATAATTAGTAATTAAAAAATGTCACAATTGGTTGAAAAGAAGTGAATTAATTTCATTAAATAGTTTAATTTATTATAATTTTTTTATATATAAAACTCTTGAATGTGTCGAAAAAAAATCAGTTTTAAATAAATAAAAAAAGAATTTTTAGATGAGATAAAATATATATGCAATATAGATACAAGATTGCACATTCCAGAAACAATTTTGTTGCTCGATTAGAAAATTTAATGCTTAGTCAGCATTTTGGTGTCACACTTAAATTCACATGGTGTATAGAATATTAATTGATAATTTTTATCGACATTTCATTATTGATTAAATTTGGTAAATTTATTTTAAACAAACTTGCTATTTATTGGTAAAGTATTTTATTTAATACTTAATGAACTAATGTGATTTTCCTGTCCGGTAATTTCTTTTACTTCTAAAATAAAATTTTTCTGCAATTATTACATATGCAGGTGAAAATTTTGCAAGATCAGAAAATTTATATTACTTGTATACAATAGTATATTAACTACCGAAAACTTATTAATTATTTATCTATCTTATTTCCAAATTATACAATTATTACAAACATTAAATTCTGTCAAGAGTGCGAACTATATATATCGAAATTTCTGAAATTACTAGATAGGTATGTACGAGACATTCCTAATATCTTGTGTATGAACTTACATAGTAGCATGTACATGTGCATGTATTATATCTTTAAGAGCAATTCATAAAAATGATTATAAAAATTATATTGTTATAGTTTAAGTCTTATTTTGACTCTGTTGTAATAAAATTACATTTAAAAAATGAGTTGATATAAAAAAAAAATCTTACAACTTTATTGTTGTATTTATTTAATTTATTAATACTTGAAATACAAAATGAGTTGTAATAAAGATAAATACATTTCCATTATCAAGGTCTTAATGTAATTTTTGAGCGTTTTTTGCACGATTAGACCCTGAACTAGGCCGAGGTTCATTGCCTATGACCTTAAAGGTATACTTTCAACCTCGTTCATAAAAGTATAAACCTATTGTTAAGTGACGTCCAGCATGCAAACTGAACCTTTTCATTACTATCCAGCTATTTTAGGTCTTGTGAAATGTGCCGGT